TCGAGAGCACGCCGCCGCCTTCAGCAAGCTGAGGCAACTGTGCAAGGAGTTGGGCACAATTTTTTCGCTGCGGGAGCTATATGCCTTGATCCAGATTCAACACATCTCCGAGGCATCGTGTCTCTGGGAACCCAATTGCGCTACTGGTCATACAGTTCATTTGCAGCAGATCAATATAAGAGTAACAAACGCCGTTTACGATATTCGCAGCGTAGAGGTAACCGTTCGCCGGAAGTTGATCGTTATTCACATACTGGACGCGGTGCATTACAGGATTTTATCATGGATGAGCGTCTCGAACTGGAAAGACAGAAAAAAGAGCAGGAGAAAGCGAAGAGACATCTCAGCGGCAGATTTGGGGTCGACCTGTTTGGTCCGGGGGCAAGTGAGGATGAGCTCCTTGCCTACGCTTGCATGCTCAGCGAAGAATCGTATACCAGCGATGAAAGGAAGAGAAGGGAAAGCAACAGCAGTGCTGGAGGGAGCTCTTCAAGCGGAACTATTGCTGCACAGCTTCCAATTGGCGCGCATGCAGAACCTTCCATCCTGCCCTCTACACTAGGGCATGGGCTGCCACTCGAGCCTCAAGTCCTGGAGCCATTGGATGAAGAACTGGAGCCAGATCTCGCAGAAGCCATTCGTCGTAGTTTGGAAGATGCGCCGACATCCTCACGGACGCCTACACCACTGCGTGAAGACAAATTTGAGCGCGTTTTCAACGATCCCGCAGCCGAGCGGTTACCCTCCTTGAGCGGCGCTTCCGGTCCTATGGCAGAACGAAGCACCAGCCAGCAAGAAGCTGATGACTTTGAACTTGCACTTCGACTAAGTCTCGCAGAGCAAGAAGGCCAAACATGCGATGTAGATACATTCCAAGAGAGTGGCTCCTTTCTGGAGGACCGACTTGAAGACTTTCCAAGTCTAGATAATGCAGCGGGTTCACGCTCCAGTCATGGACGAAGAGGAAGGGGAAAGGGTAAAGGGAGGGCATGACGCACCATCTATTATTAGACATGAATGAATGGTTTTCGAAGCATTTAAAAGATGGAGGAGAACAAAAAACAGAAAGAAACGAAAAAAATAAGAATCTTTGATATGATGTTTGATTATTTTTTCCTTTTTTTTTTTTAAACTACTTTGAGTGTTGTATTTTTGCCTGTTGATACAGAGTACCTTTGATATAACTAATCAATCGGGACACCTTTTCTTTGGGCTGATTTTGTAACGGCAAAAGTGCAACTAAACCTTCCCTTGCTACTCCGTACACGCACCCGTCAACCTCACAGCTACGCGAACCGTATGGCTTTTTGACTTGCAAAATCTTTACTCTGAAGATTTCATCAATAGATGGCCTTCCAGCCAATTGTAGGAGAATGTTGACCTGGTGGATGCTGGTTTCCATGCTGGCTGCATCTATTTGTGGAGAGGTGCAATTTGAATATATGTACTCCGTATAGAGTATATAGATTAGAGCATCCTTGATCTATCGAATTTGCTTTGGAATATCAGCGTTTTCTTGGTCTGTGATTCACAGCCTTGTTTCGAGTTTATTGTAAGAACTGAATACAACAAGATTTAATGAATAGTTGCGAACACACACTGGATATAGTTTGATCTAGAATACAGTGCTAGCACGGTCCGAACAATCAGATTAACAGGCCATGTGTGCATACATACAAACACCTTCGAGTAGGGGGGAAAAAAGGCTCACAGCACAGGACTATTGTGGAGCTAGAACTATTTACAACAAAACACGACTCTGCCTGGCACGACGCAAATGGGGAATCATGGGACACGTGGAGAAAGCAAAGGACTTTGACTATCTTCACTATGCCAGGAGGGCAAAAGCGGCAGCAACAGCGGCAAGCACGGGAGCAGCACTAGCCACGATAGACTTGGCTCCAGCGCCGGTCTGCTGGGAGTTGGAAGGGCCGGTCCTGGATCCCTGGCCTGAGGTGTTTTCACCGGGGGTGTTGGACTGGTCCTCGCCCAAGATCTTGAGCTCCAATCCGGTGATTCTGTTTCCATCCTTGTCCGTCACTTCGGACTCGACCTTGGTCTTCTTGACCTCGACGAGCTTGCCCTTCTTGGCGCCGGAGATACCGCCGTCGAGAAGTGCCTTTCCGCCCTCAGGGAGTTCGGGGAGTTCGAATTTGTTGTAGAAGCCCTTCGATTTGATGAGGCTGGACTTGCACTTTGGTGGTTTGACCTTGGTGGTGCTGGGATCGAGGTTCTGAAGCCTCTTGATGTCAAGCTTGCTGAATTGTCCCATCAAATTGTCATAGTCGACGAGCAGTTTCGCGCTGCCGTCGCCCTCGAGGGAGACAAGGCCATACTCGTTTTCTTCCATGGAGTACTCGTAGACAAGACCGCCGCACATGGCCTCGGTCATCTCCTTGCCGTAGATGGCCTGAACCTCGCTGAAGATGCGGGGCTTGACCTCGTTGCAGCCGTACTCGGAGAAGAAGATGGGTAGGGAGGTGCCGGAGAACATCTCAACTAGCTTATCGTATCCACTGGACTTGTAGGTCGCGTCGCCGCACCACGAGTACGAGTTGAGGCCGAAGAAGTCGGAATGACCGTCGTCACCAGCGTCACAGGCGACATATTGCCAGGTGTCTTCCAAGGACTGGCGGATGTCGGCGGCGGAATATCCGACGGGGATCTTACGCGACGAATGCTTTTCGATGTATTGCTTCAAGTCGCGTTGGATAGCCTACAACTGTCAGTCTTAGATTTAATATCCTTTTTTTTTTTTTTTTTTTTTTGGTTGTTGATCTAATAACTTACGCGAATATAAAGCGGAACGTCGTCGGAGGAATCCTCGTTGATGATTTCATTGGCACCAAAGAAACCGAGGAGGTTAGGGTAGTCCTTGAAAGCCTCGACCATGGAGAAGATATGCTTCAAGTATCCCTTGTGGTAGGTTGACGAAGGGTCCTCTCGGTTGATGTGCTGGCCGTAATCCGGGTTGTTGACATCCACGAGGAGGTAGATACCGGCGGCGTTGAAAATTGAGACGCACTCATCGTGGTTGACGTTCGGGCTGAGGTTGTAGATGCGGATGGTGTTGACCTACATAGTGATCCAAGTCAGCTCTGTCGATGCAGATTAGGGGGAGCATGTCCAGAATCGGGTACTGACACCGAGTCGCTGGAGGAGAGTGGCGTCGCGAAGGCAGATATCCGCGTCGCTGAGCGGATCTTTGCCGTCCTTGGACTTGTAGCCAGATGAGCCGCCCGGTTGATAACTAACAAGGTTATGGGGGTGAGCGGCACCGATCAACGGCGGGACGGGAAAGACGTGGTTGGCTGCTTACTCGACGCCAATGATCTGGAAGCGATCTTTTGTCTTGCTGTTGACGAACTGCGAGCCTTGAACCTCGATGGGGGTGACGGCAGAGACGGTGGACAGCAGGCCAAAGAAGGCCGCGAGAATCTGGAGTTTGCTCTACACGATGAGATGTCAGCGACTGAAACAGAACAGTGATTCAGATGAACTTTTTTTTTTTTGGGTCACGCACAATGCTCTTCATGATGGCCCTGAAAATGCGCGAAACAACTTCTCCTACAGGTGAGGATCTTTTGAGTGTTTCAGCTTGCAGTCAGGCAACTGCGAAGATGAAAAGAGCAACAAGAAGTGAAGCAATCAAGTAGTGAAAGAATAAACTGAAAAAAGAAAAAAAAAAAAGAGCGTGAAGAAGAGAAGAGACAGCGAGTGAACAGGAGAGAATAGGCACGAAAAGGAGAGACAGCACAGCGCAAAGCGTGTGAAACGGCCGGAGAGATAAAAAGGGAGATGGAGAGATGAAAAGAAGAGCGTGAAACCGGCGCAGCCACCCGCCCTTGGTTAGTTAGTGAGTTGGTTAAAACGGCCCCCCTGGGATGAAGGTCTTGTTTAGCGCCGAAACACCTGCAGTCGATCATCGCCCTGGAGGAGGCATGTCTTTAATTAATACTTTTTTATTAATTTATTACTCCGTACTCCGTACTCCGTACAATGATGGAGTTATACTCCACCAGGGCAAAAAAGGGAGAGATCGCCGAACCGCGCATCACCAGGTCCATGATTGTTTTAGGGTCTACTCTTGTATTCTGAGTCGAGTGTCTCTCTCTTTTCTCTCTGCCAAGATTCCAACACTAACCGTAGAGTGCAGTTCGCTCTGTGGTAGTCTAACTGATGATGACCCTTTACCAAATGGCTGGGGTGGTTCATCACTCACTCTCTACTCTGTGCAGAGTACAGAATACAGTCTGCATTTTCCGGTTGTTCTGGCTAATAGCTTGCAGGTGGCCAGGGCATCATGTTGAAAATAGCCCCAGGATCGCCACCCAAGTGCTATATTTATTATATTGCGTGGAGGAAGAGATGAAATTAGAGTGGCCAACTGAGGCTGACGATCAGCCTTCTGCAGCCCTAAGGATCTGGATCGCATCTCAGTGTAGGCAGCTTTCACGGATGTTTTACCTTGAAAAGCATACCGGAGAACACCTTTTATCAGTGTGAAATGCAATATGATATATCTACCAAAGTGAAGTGGGACCAGTGGGCAGCGAGAAGAGCACATGAACCCATACAGTGGCGGATACAGCATCCTGTGTCCCATGCCGAAAAAAGAAGACCATTTTTTATTGTTCACTAAAATACACTGCAAATCCCCAACAATGCCTGGCCGAGCTGCAAAGAAAAATCACTCACAGAGGGTCCGTCCTAAGAACGCAGCAGAAGACAAAAAAAAATGAAGAACCGAATGGAATCCCTGCTCCGAGGCCAATGCCAAGTTTTCATACCACAGAAGAAAGAATTTGCTGCCATCGAAGGACGATAAAAGATGTACAGTAGTGGAGATTGGAGCGGATATCGTAGATGCAAGTCCAGCGCTCGTCCTGCCGCGCGCCCCCTCTCGCCACGGTAGATACATATACCATCGAACAGGTGGACGGCGCTATTATTATTTAATTCCCGGGTGGGTCGTCGTCAGGACTTCGGTGTCGGGTGTTTTATTCGACGTTTTGGCTGTCCATCCCGGGATCGCTGGTGAAAGAGCCCAACTTCAGCGAGGAGTCCATCGCGATCATCTCTGCTAGGATCTCGATGATGTCTTTGGGTACCGTCCTGTCGTAGATCGCGATCAGGTCCTTTGGCTGGGGGTAGACCTTCAATGCCTTGTAGAACGCAAGAGCCGCCTCGATGTTGTTCGAGCCTGTAGCCAAAGCTCAAGTCAGTACTAAGCAACGAAATGAAGAGGGAGAAAAGGATACAGGAAAAAAAAAAAAATAAAAAAATAAGAACAAAAGGGCAGACGGAAGAGGACAAGGTGAACGAATGAAAAATTGGAAGCTGGAAGATCGCCGAGGCACATACCATCAGCGCACAGAGCTTCACCCTTGGCCACCTGGCCCATGAAGAAGCCCTCTCGCTCCTCAATGTCGGTAGGGAAGCCCTCATCCTTGGCCTCCTGGACCGCCCGCTTGATCTCCTCCTTCTGCTTTGCACCCTCCGCCTCCGATTCCTGTCGGACGGCTCTGGCGAGTCTTCGGTTGTCCCGCTTCAAAGCACGGCGGAACTCTGGATCGGACTGTCTCTTGTAGTCGAAGTAGATGGCATAGGCTAGAAGAATGTTAGGACAAAAAGGCAGGCGATGCATTTCCGGCGAACAAAAAAAAGGAACCGTACCCAGTAGGCCTGTCAAGAACGTGCCGGCAGAAGCGGCGACAATGGTACTCGTTCTCATTGTGATTAATTGGTTTGTGCAAGAAACAACCTCGGCGTAGGATGAGAGGAGGACGGAAGACGGGCGACTAGCTGTCTTCTCGAGCTGTTGGGAGGGTTCGCGGCTTGCTGGTCGGGTCTCCGTCTAAATTTTCAACGGCAGCAGAAATGGCTGGAAAACGCAACCCGAGACGAATGGATGTCGTCTGAGAAGAAGACAAAAAGTACCAAAAAAGAAAAAAAAGAAAAAAAGGTAATCTCTTCCGGGAGCACGAAAACAAAGGAGAAAAGGTGAGAGACGGAGCGAAGAGGGCGATTTACAGGGAGCGCGTGGGTGGTTGTTGGCGCTGGACTCGGTCTTTTGGAAATTTTCTTTTTCTGCTTGGAGTTGTTGTAAGTTCGTCGTCAAGTCGGATTTTTTTTGGCTTTTGGTTTTTTTCTGGGGTGGAGCTTCGAGCTGCTTCAACCATCATTCATCGCGAAACTCTAACTAAACTACGGCCTGGCTGGCATCTTCGTCCACCCAAACCCGCAGCCAAAACAACAACAACAACCAGCGCCATCTTCCTCCCAGTCTGTGGCGGTCACCACTACTCGTCGACAATACTACGTTGATGACATGGATGTCCGAGGCCTCACGCTTCGCAGCAAGTCCCGTCGTCCCCAGATCAGTGCTCCGAAGCCCATCGTCGATCCCAACTCGGGCTCCAGCAGGTCTCCCGGCGGCCTCCCCTCCGCGACCCCACGCCCGCAGCGCAATGGAGGAGCGACGTCGGACCTCGTGAAGAGACGGTACTCCGCCAAATTCAACCAATTGCCCAACTTCGCTGTCGGAGAAGCCCCTCCCGTCCCAAGTCTGCCGGCCAATGTTCGCTCTGCGAACGCCAGCCAGGAGCAGATCTCCGAGCGCCCATCGACCTCTTCATCGTCGCAGCCGCTGCGTGTCGAGATAAAGGCGCTCAAGGACCCCGGCCTACAGGTGGACAACTGTACATGCTCATCTGCGACTCCCAGATCCCAACCGTTACTGACACACGCATCATAGATGTCGCGAACTTGCTCGCAAATGCCTCTGAGCAGGACATCAGAGAGTACCAAACCAGCCTTCGCAAACTCAAAAACAGGACTTCCGCCGACCTTCAGCAGAGCGTCTACCAGAACCGCACCCAGTTCATCAAGATCAGCAAGGAGGCCGAGAAGCTCAAGGAGGAGATGAGCACGCTCCGGGGACTCATGTCCGAACTCACCACCGCACTGGGCCAGGCCGGTGCCACCACCGGTTCGAACGGATCTCCCAGTCTCGAAGAGACTTTGGTCGGAAGAAGACATGCAAACCGTAGCTCCGTCGCTAACCTGGAGAGCATGTGGAGTATCCAGCTACAGACGCTCTGGAAAACTGTCGAGAGGTCGCAGAAATTCCTCCCCGCGATTCCAGGGCGGCATATCGTCCTCGAATCCGGCCAGTGGATAGAACTGGACTCTGCAACGTGGAAGCCCAGACGCCCCATCCACATCGTCCTGCTGAACGACCATCTGCTCGTGGCAGCGAAGAAACGGAAACGCATGGACCCCAATAGCCAGAACAACAGCAAAGCGCCTGCGCCGACAAAATTAGTCGCGGAAGAATGCTGGCCTCTTCAGGACATCGACCTCATCGATCTCGGCGCGAACCTGGACAGCGACTCAGCCGATGATAGCGAGGAACCCGCGGTTCCCAATGCGGTCAATATCCGGTATGGCCCAAAGTCTTTCACCTATCGAACCGACCAGCGCAACGTTAGGGCCAAGAACGACCTCGTGATGACGTTCAGGAAAACTGTCGAAGAACTCCGAAAAGGTCTAAGGACGGAAGCAGAAGCAGCGGCCAAGTCAACTGAATTGATCAGCGGCAGCCAATCGCTATCCCGACGCTCGGAGATGTTCGATTCAGATGTTCGTGACAAACTAGACATCCTCATCGACGTAGATGGAAAACAGCAGAACATGAAATGGGTAGACGGCCAATTGGATGAGTTGGATATCAACATCGCCCTTCAGCAGTTCGAAGACGCGGTCGCACGGGTCGAAAAGCTGCGTAAACTAACCAAAACGCTAAGAGGAAATCTCACGGCCCAAGATGTGATCAATTCGAAAATCGACGTGCGAGCCGGGAAGCTTGCGGAAATTCTCATCCGTGCCCTTGTTGATACTCATTCTTTTTTGAATGCAACCAAGTTGAACATCAGCTGGCTGACTCGACTGGGATTTGACGATCGCGCCCGGGAGGCATACCTCCGAGCAAGGTCAGAAGTGATGACCAAACGGGCTAGGTATTTACGCTCTATAATCCGCCTGTCAATTCCTCTTTCTAACAGCACATTTTAGACACTGTGTCTTCGAAGGTGACCTTCCCCTCTACATCTTCCAGGTTTCGTTTATCTATTTCACCATGATCAAAAACACCATCGGCATCTATCAGCAGTGCTTCCCGTCCAACATGACCAGTGCCTGTATAAAATGGGCCAAAGGACACTTGGATGCCTTCAACGCCACCCTATCGAGACAGCTGAGCAGCGTGGAACCGGATTCCCAGATCTGGGTGAGATGCATGGACATTGTGCATGAGCATGCCGGCACCTTAGCGGAAGTTGGTGTTGATTTTAAGAATCTGATCCACCTAGATGGCAATAACCACAACGGGCATTCAGGGGGTGCCGGGGCTGAAAGCTAGGTGATGGTTTTGATCTTCTCTTAGTTTTGCTGTATATCTTTTGATGTTTCGTCCGCCGTCCTTGGCTCTATCATGAGTCTTTCTATTTTGCATCTTTCATCATACCCCATTGATAATGCGTCCGCTTATCAATCTGATCTGCATCCTTATTCCTTGCTATCTATAGTTTGGATTTTTTTTTACTTCTCCAATTGATGTCATTCATGTTTCCTATCACAATCCGCATGCATACTATCCTTCATCCAGTCCAACATTTGCTGTGACTCTTTTGCCACTCTCTTCACCCCCTTGATCAACATGGAGCCACCCATCCTCTACCAGTATTTCTTCCATCAACTTAGAGTGTTCCATACTGCTAAATGCTTGTGCTACTTTCCTGAATGGAGCTAAAGAGCAACTCTTGCTCATGTAACTATAGGCTTATTGGCTTCTCAGCAATTGTTCAAAACATTGAACAGCTGCCTGCCCAAGCGTTTGAAATCAGCCTCTATGAACAAAATATAACTCTGACCTAGCCAGGTATCACAAGGTTTCTTTGGGGGTGGGGGGGGGAAGGGAGAAGAGTACTGCAGCTTCTTTTGCCCCTGGACCCTCTGGACCCTCTGGACATGACATGTCGTACATTTGATCTCACGTGGATTTTGGTCTTGTCAGAGCCAAAGTTAGTCACTGTTGGCTCACATTAGATCATGTAACACCTCCATTTTTCAGGTTTCATTATCCCCCCAAAAACATTCTCTCGCATTCATCATTCAGCTCCTAGGGCTATTATCCCTCTTCAATCTCGCCACATGTATGTCGTGTAACCACCAGGTTGTAACCTTAGAGGCCCGCCTCCAGGTGCGCATGAGCTGCATTTGACACAAGCAACATGGCCCCCACGTAAACGCTGCTGGAATATCTTCCACTTTTGGTTATTTGGACGCGTCGAATTTTATATTGCTGATGTTCATTATTCGCTTGATAGCAGCAAACCCGGCAAGATGGCATTGAAGTTGTTGCTTCTCATACACAAAATCCGCATTCTATGCTAGCTAACTTACCAGTGTCAAGGTCTCCATTTACCTCACTGAGATTTACAGCCGCAAATACAGGAATCAAATATGTAGAACTTTCTTCGAGAAGGGACTCTTGAAAGCTGATGCTCTATCACGGTTCCACTTTCGCAACCCATTCCAAGATGCTTTCTCGGCATACTTCAGGGGGTTTGGCTTCAGCCACCTTACTGAACCGACCTCCGTCGTCAAAGGGGTCCACAATCCATGGATGCTGCTGCAGCTGACGAATTTGCTCCGCGTCCATTGTTCCGTCCTGAAGCCACAACCCATCTTCGTTGAATCTATGCCAATTGAAAAGCCTGGATGTTGCACCCCACGACTGCTCATCTGCATCGCGTTTCGCATCGGGTTTTATCCTGCACAAATAAGTATTATAATCAACAAGAATGATAAGAGTAACTCACTCTTCTAAGTCCCACTTGCTGCCTGTCTCAAAGCATTGCAAATTTACTTTACCAGCTGCCTTGAGTTGGTGCTGCGGACCGGCTGGGAGCCTCTCACCACCTCGCTGATTCCAGTAGCACTTCCATGATAGAGGGATATGTCTATGGCAATAATGAGATCTAATTTCAAGGCCCAAGTTTTCAATAGTCGTCGACCCGAATGGAGGAGCTGGTGTCCATGGGGCCCTGACCTCTGGGCGGCAAAAGTAGGAAAGACTAAACTCATATGCACGGGGAATAGATATATCCATTGAACCATCAGGGTAATATGGTATTTGAAGGAACGATTGATGCGTATCGGTCCAAAAGGCCGCAGCCAGGCAAATAGGGGGAAGGCCGCTTAACACCAAGTTCAGTATGGGCATTGCCAGATGACTATACGCAACAGCATGCCACAGGAGAGTGAGATGGGGCCGTCTGTATGCTACTGCGTGCAGTAGCTTCTCGAAATTGTCACCATCATGCATAAGGAGAGCTTTTTTAACACCCAAAGATGCAGCTCCGATTAGATTGCAAGGAACCCTTGGATCAAAGAATGCGCTACAAAGCAAAGAATCAAGAGCATCCTGCGTGGCACTGAGAGACATGCATTTGTCAAGCGACTCCCAGAGCTGCCGAAAAGTAGAGTTATGTTCAGGCTGTTTCGCAGGAAGAAAAATCATCGTCGGTGGATGAAGCTTTAACGAAGGCGCGTTCCTTGATGTTAGCATCAAAATGGCTCCAAACCCTAGGAGCAACTCTTCCTCTAGTCCGTTTGAAGTGCAAAAGTCGAGCAGGATATCAAATGCGAGTGACGAGTTCGGTGAGATTTGAACCCAGCCATCACTGGAAAATTTCTTAGCCGACATAATCTATCGTTTTAGTAGGATTCAGAACAAACCTTTGTGCCGGATTAGAGTGTCTGTTGGATATCATCCATGGTGCATAGAAGGTCGCTTTCCCACGGGTCACCTGAGCCGACCACCGACTGTGTATGACCAGATCCCAAAAGCAGTTTTGAAGCTGTTCGCCATCAGCATGCAGCAGCTGGCTCTTCATGCCAGCACACTCGAGTATTTCAACCCAGCGACAACAGAATACGTACGACCAAGCCAAAACGATACTCGTGAAATAACCTTGGTGTTCTGGCAGGCCGGCGGAAGAGAGTTGCGATGTAGTCGTAGACTCATATGTTCCTGGAGAAGGAAATCCAAGACACTGAAAATAGTCTATGGTCTTTTGATGCTGCTCACAGGTTGGGTGGCTTGTTGTTTCCAGCTCAAGCGACGAGCGCAAGACAAGCGGAGATCTTCGTCCCTCTGTGATATCAACATGTTTTGGAGGACTGTGGAAAAACTGCGGAACATTTTGGACCATTTCCAAAAAATCATTCAGGTAGAAATAAGATGGGCGGTCCGGTGGAAGTTTCGAAGCTGCATCATTCCAGGTGTCAAAGCTAGCTCGACAGCATGCATCAAATGCATGCCGCGAAGGGCAGATTCCATCGCCGTCATACCACTCTCCGATATCTTCCTCATTCTGAGAATAGTCAGAACTTTCGTCTTCCATATCTGACATTCAAGCAGGCTTCATGTAGACTGAGAAATTAGGGCATCATCAACCTGCAAACAGACACTTCTCTGGGCAGGGCGTAAAACCTGAGTTTCTCGCTGCCTTCGCCGCATGCATTCTGAGCTCGATTCGATGAGAAGAGATATCTTAGAAGTCAAAATTTAATCAGACACCCAAAGGGTACAGACACCTAGTCTCAGCGAGCTTGGATGGTTGGTGAAGTTGTAAGACGTTGGCAAGCTCGAGCTAACTCTATGGGTCACGTGAGTGGAGGGCTTGCTGGTCAACGACCGAACCAACAGTTAATAGCCGCCGGATATATCAACTGGATAACAACCTGTACTGTCCACTCCAGGTTAACCGCCAGGAATTGTGCGCTTACCTCCTAGGTGGAGAGAGTCACAACCTACAAACTCTATCAAACCTGATTTTCTCTAAACACGACGTGCAGATTGAAACCGGAGAAGCCAGGAATATAGCACCCCTAAAAATGTGTGATGATGATCAGAGCAGTGCCTCGCGGGGGGATAATCATGCGGTGCTGTAGCCTTGGACAGCCACGAGTCAGCCGTGATGCTTGTTCTGGGGCAAGGGTCTAGTGATTCTGAGCTCCAATGATACTAGAGATGTGAAGGGCTGCCTCAAAGTTGATTGTGGCGCTGCTCTTGACTCTATATAAAGACTACAAACCTGCGCTGGCTTTACTGGAATTGGCAAGATGAAACCAGGCCTAAGAGCATTCTACTTTCTGCAAAGGCTTCCAGGTTATTGTCGTGCTTTTGCAGCGGCTAAGGACCCTCCAACTATCATGCGATCAATCATCTATTCCGTTTTGGCTGTTCGGATAGATTTAAAAAGGACGCTTTAGAAGCCGCTTTGATCGGTATTCAAAAGTGTTGTTGACCTCTAAACTCTTACTTAGCGATCCTAGCTACTTGAATCGAGGTTCGTTCAAGGCTGGAAGCCTTGCTTTCTTTGCTTTTAAGCGATGGAGACTTTATTGATAGAGGGTCATCACTAGTTTCTCACCGATCGGAAATGCCAGCAAGCTCTAGGGCTTGTGACGTTTGTCTTCATGCGAACAATGAACATACTACGGCACCGTGTCCAGCGTCTCGTTGCCGTAACCTGTGGAAACGATGCCAGATCACTGGAGAATGTTTTAAGCGATCCAACAACGGGAACCATAGGATGTGCTATGGCTGCAAAGACCATCCTTCAGTACGAAACAATCTGAAATTCGGTGGAAGGAGGCAAATAGATGTCTCTCGAACCCAGAGACAGAGTTATATCGAGACGGGCGATGCCGGTGGAGATACATCGAAGAGCGAAGTTAGTGATGATGATACCTTCGCAAGCAGCAACTTAGAGTGATCTGAGCGGGGAATTTGGCAGATGAGATTTGTTTTTCTTTCGAGTGCGGATTCTCTGGAATCTGACGTATTGGATATTCTGAGATGATTCTGTCTGGTCTAAATCAATATATGCAACTAGGAGAATTTTGTTTTTGTGCTCAATTATCCAGGAAGTAGATATACTGGTGGCTCCCACCACTGGCCCTGCCTCGACTCACGAGCTTTAGGCCGGAAATGCTGCCACATAAACTTAACACCTATTTTAGCCAGCTGTAGGATGTGAATGCTGGTTTCATCATAAGCTTGTGCGCGTCTTGATGAGACAAAGACACAAAATTAGCCTACTTATTTGCTCTGTGTCAGGTAACAAGATACAGATGTCTATCTAATATTTGAAACAATACCATCCGCTAGCCCAAGTCGATTTCAAATTATATATTATTAGGATTCTCTATCATTTATTTAACTACATATACTACAGCATCTTCAAATAGCCAAAAGCCGATCAAGATCATTCATCATGCCATGTTCCAAATTCTTTCCCAGATCTCTTTTGATGCAACTCTCTGACCCTCTCCAATATTACCTACTCTCAGCTTCAACTCGCCACCCTCTACTCTCTGTGATGCTCCAGGTAAAGCCATCCAGTGCGAAACAACGTCAGGCACCTCTTCCTTCACATGGCTAATAACGATCAGGCTCTGTTTCTCACTCAACCCCGTGTGCCTTATCCCAAATGCAGGGTCATCAGGAGGTAAGTGCCATAAATCGCGACCACTCACTTTTCTCGATCCAATGCTAGCTGTGGTTCTCTCCCCAACCTCAAGAAAATGCAAGCACTTGTCTCTCAGAGAGGGCGACATGCCGGCAAACGGTTCATCCAGAATGATCAGATCTGGCTTGTGGACCACAGCGCGAAGGAAGAGGAGCAAACGCTGCTGCGCCACAGTGAGATGAGTGAATAGGACCGATGTTGACCAGTTTGTATTAATCTTTTCAGGAGAGCGCGATCGCTCTGACCAGGGGACAAAGCTTGGATTCAATTCCGCCTCGAAGAACCTGAGCGCAGAATCAACATCTTGCCGTCGCTGATGATCCAGCTTGGGCTTTGCAAGAAACGTCTCCGCCCACGCACTTTCAATCACGGCGCGGACCGACAAGGTACGCGGGAAGAAACCGTGTATTTCTGGAGATGAATGTCCGATCCTCTTCTGCAGATCAAAAATCGAAATTCCCGGCTTTCCTGGTTCGGGCAATCTCGACCGACCAAAGAGTTTGATGGGCAGGGCGTATGTTTGGGGATGGTCCGATGTGATTAATGAAATCAGTGTAGTCTTCCCGGAGCCATTGAGCCCAAAAACGCCCCATCTCTGGCCGCGGTGAACTTTCCAATGTAATCCGGGCTTTAGTTGACCGTCGACGATTTGATTCCAGTCACCGAGCACCACTTTATCGCCGTAGCTCACTTTAACGCCGTCCATCTCAATGATAGGTTCACCGTAAGATGATAATTTCTTTGTCGCTCCCGATTCTGCTGCCTCCCTCCGAATCAATCCAAAGTCATTGAGGATGCCGGCATTCGTCTCGAAGAGGCCATCTGTACGGAGCTTCTCCGCCCGGTTATATATATCCTGCTCCTTAGTAGAGAGAGATCTATAAAAAGCATCCTCCGCCGGACTCCGCGGCGACAGCGTTAGCTTTCCACCTCCAGCTAGCTGACCTTCTAAGGATTCAGGTGTGTAGATGGTTCTTCTGATAGAGACAGCCTTCCATATGTCTAAGTTTCGCAAAACCTCCGATCTTTCACCCTGGAGAGCTACCGTGTTGCCATCGCCCAGAACAACCAAATGACTGATCCATTCAGGCACCGGGTCTTGGGGTCTCAGAGTCATGATAAGCCGCGGTGCACTCTTTACCGCCAAGTTGTGCAACAATGGCGAGAGCCCCTGCACCGTAGGCGGATCCAATCCCACTATCCAAAAGGTCTCAGCCCAATTGATCAAAATAAGACAAGAATCCTCGCAGACAATAAAAACTTACTGAACGGCTCATCTAGCAGTAAGACCTCCGGCCCATCTAGTAGAGCTTTTGCAATTCTCGCCCGTCTCGTCTGGCCATTACTTAGATTCGCCACAGGCATGTCGAGTAACGCGTCCAGTTTCAAATCGTGAATCACCCGGCCCAACACAGCTTGGTTCACATTACTCCCTTCATCCAGCGGATTCAGCTCCGTCTGGCCCTTCAGATACTGCAAGACGGTGAAATCGGTCTCCTCCCTTCGACTTTCATACCTTGCACTCAGATACGCTCCCCGTACAGCTCCAGCAGAACCGCTCCGGCTTGCGTCAGCGTTAAACCCGACATACTTAATCGCGAACCCAGGAAATCTGAGACGATGGTCTTTTCGCTCGATCTCATCTGTAGCTAAGTAGGGATACGACCTTGCAGTGGGTGGTATGCATATGTATTGTCCATTAAGGACATTGAGGAACTTAGCCTTGCCCGACGAGCCGATGATGGCCCAGTGCTGAAGTTCCTTGGACGAAGGGGCCGTAGAGGGAAGCGCGAATGAGAGATTTGGGAATATTGGGAGATTATCTTTCTGTGGAAGCTCTTCGGTGGGATAATCGCGGTAGAATGTCGCGTTTGTGATTTGGATGAGCGGTGGAGACGATGTCGCTGAATAGGAGACGCGTCGGCATTGGCAGAGGAGACTCGCTCGCCAGGGACGGGCGGTATACAATCTCCTCATCGCGGCGACATGCGTATGCTCTCCCAGTCCGTTGACACGGCTTTGGTCTTTACCCTTGACTTCACCGTATAAAGCGTTTGTATGGATATGTCCTCATTGCCTTGAGTCACTGGGATGATGGTTGAGGCTAGTGATGCGTGCACACCGATGTCGGAGAGAGCGCCAACTGCCGGATCATCCACGAAGACCAATAACATTGAGTGTTGGCAAAGGCTTGGTAGCAGAAGATGAGAATTATTTTGGATTTTTATGTTGTATCTATGTACTCCGTAGCTATATCCATGTGCGGAGCATATTTGCTATATACAAGGCCATCATCATCGTCATCGTTGTCATCAGTCCTGGTAGTAAGCAGAGAAGCCTCCCAAGCAAAAAAAAAAAAAAAAGAAGAAAAGAAAAGAAAAGAAAAAAAGAAGAAAAGAAAAGAAAAGAAAAAAAGAAAAAAAGAAAAAAAGAAAAGAGAAAAGAGAAAAGAGAAAAGAGAAAAGGAAACAAAAAAAGGGAAAAAAAAAAAAAAAAAAAAAAAAAAAAAAAAAAAAAAAAAAAAAAAAAAAAAATGAAATGGACGCAACACACACACACAGAACACACCAACACCACCCATGCTGAATATACAAAATCCATTCCTGGACACAATGGAATCCTTAAATTATACATAGAACTCATTACGCATGTGAATCCTGCTACATCTCTATGTACTAAACAGAAAGAAAATGCAACTTTTGATATTAACAAAGAAGACAACAGGAAACCAAAATTCAAAAGAGACAGCGCCATAAGTGGAGCAAAAAAAAAAAAAAAAAAAAAAAAAAAAAATAAGGGGCTCTAATAAATCATAGAGCTATTGACCACCACCCTTGTATCGCTTGGAACTGAAGGCCTCAAGGTGCCATCACCAAAGCCAACAACGCCATGCGACAGTAGAGGCCGTATCTCGTCTACATCAAGTCATTAGTAAGGATCCAGTAGCAGCGACAATGTGCGGGACCTCGACTCACCTGTCTAAAATACGAAGCCCGCTGATCAAAGTCCACCTCTTCACCAATCTCTGCGTTTCTTGGAAGAGGGTGCATCACAACCATCTGGCTCTTCGCATGCTTGAGCACAGAGTTATCCACAACGAAACTATTCTTGAGTCGCTCGTACTCCTTCAGGTCCTCGAAGCGTTCCTTTTGTACGCGGGTGCAGTACAACACGTCAGAGCGAGCAACGACCTCGGGAGTCAGCTCTTCGGTTTCGAGAACAAGCTGGCCAGAAGTGACGAGGTGTTGGCGGACATCTTCAGGGAGAGCAAGATCCTTAGGGGCCACCAGTTGTACGCGAACCTCGTAGAACTGGAGCAACTTAATCAAGGAGTGCACCGTGCGGCCGTAGCGCAAGTCACCGATGAAAGTAACCGTGATGCCGCTGACAGTGCCCAATTCTTCTCGGATAGTGAAGAGGTCAAGGAAAGCCTGGGTAGGATGCTCCATACTTCCATTACCACCGTTGATAATAGGAACCGGAGAAAATCTAGCAGCGGTGGCAGCGCTGCTCTCGAGCGGGTGGCGAAGAACAATCGCATCGGCGTAGCAAGCGAGGGTGCGAACAGTGTCCTGAAGTGACTCTCCCTTCTGAGTTGACGAATGCTCAGTAGCAACGGCAACGGTGCGGCCACCAAGGCGTTGCATGGCTGCATCGAAGGAGGCCGATGTGCGGGTAGAAGGCTCATAGAACAATGTTGACAGAACCCGTCCCTTGAGGATATCAAGAACGCCGTGCCGCTGGACACCCAATCGCATTTCCTGCGCAACGGTGAACAGAAGGTGAAGATCCGCTCTATTAAATTGGTTCACCGACAGGATATGTTTTTGCTTGAAGGAAGACTGAGCAAGCAGTTCCATCAAAGATGGAGACGCTGTCGGGACGCTTAGTAGTTGGGTATACAATGGAGGGCCCAACTCGTTCCCAGGCGAGGTGATAGCGGCGTCCGACGGTCTCAAGCGCGATGAGCGAGCAACAGGCGTTGTGGAGAAGGAAAGGCGTCGTCCGACGGATACATCCCGTCTAGGAGACCTGGGCGGCTCCTTGATAGAAGGTGATGCTGGAGGAGCAAGACGATGCGCTGACATATCCGTACCACGCGCAGCATCGCCAACCAACTCACCATCAAGGCAAGATGTCTTACCTTGGAAGGTAACTCGCTGAACCGATCCTCGAAGAGTTTTGTCGTTGAAAGGAGACCAGACTCCTTCGCTCTGGAAGACATATGGGCGGTCGACCTCGATTTCAACCGAGGCATCAGGCTGGTCATGGAGCTCGAAAATCCTCTTAGGGTTGTCGTAGAGTCGAGAAGTAACGTCATCAATAGTCAGGCGCCCCTCCGAAACAGCAGTCAAGAGTAGTGGAAGCGCGTCCGCTATTCCAACCTCCGGCTTGGCTTCCTTTCCAGCAAGTTCATACGGAAGACCTCCAATGCAGAAGATGTCGATGGTGCTCAAGTGCTCCCAAAGAGCCTCCTGGTCCTCTTTCGATGGCAAATGAGTGCATTGCGGGTAGTCCTCCGTGGAGAGGAACAGAGAGTAAATCGCAACGTCACAGGTGACCCGCAATCCTTTCTCCTTGCTCAGGGCAATTAAATTGATATCCTCCTTCGAAGTAACACTCATGACATGGATGTCCCGGCTATGAAGGCTTGCAAGAAGCAGGACCGAAGCGAGATCAGTTGCCTTGGCATCCGTGATGATCGGTTTCGTGGGTGGCCAAGCAGCAAAGTGGGAGGTGACAGTGCCAACCTTGTTGATGTTTCCAGCCAAGTGATTAAACGGGATATACAAGGAGCCGACGTCAGCAGCGACCTGACCGATCTGATCCGCATTGGACGTCGTGGCAGCGACGGACAAGTTGTAATCGCACCACGTCCCCTTCTGACTATTGTGCTGTGCAATTTTCAGTGCACGGGCATCCGTGAGGAAGCTGTCAACACCAACAGGCATAACACGAATCATCGAAAATCCTGCAGAGATAGAGGCCTTGGTCACAGATTGGAAATCTGACGAGTCGGGATTGGCAACACCAGGGACAAATGCGGCGACGTTGATCAGACCAGGGAGAACCACGGTACGATGACTGGTCTGGAAGTCAATGGGTTGGACAGCCATCTCAAATTGGCGGGAAATGGCTTCAATCAATATCTTTGCATTCTTCACATTCGTCACAAGAGGAGTCTGATAGTCGACGGCCATACGACGAGTCCGATAACCTTTACTCATATAATTTGCCGGTCTTCTGAACTTATTGCTGGATGGAAGGTTGATATAAAGGTCAATCAAGTTGTTGGCAAGATGTTGAGTAAGGGAATATTCTGACTTCAGATCCTCTTCTTCTCCGGCGAGAAGTTCAAGGTACTTCACTGGAATACCATGCTCACGAATAAAGTCTGCAGTACCAGCAGTCGCAAAGAGATTGTATCCCATCTGGTGAAGTTTTCTGATCGAAGGAAGCATCTCCATCTTCTCCTTGTAAGAACCGATGGAAACAAGGATGTTCTTGTTCGGAAGCTTGAAGCCAGTTGAAATAAGGGCCTTGAGGTAAGCTTCGTAGCGATCGCGACCGAAACAAGCGACTTCACCGGTGGATGCCATCTCAACACCGAGGACTGGATCGGCACCGGACAATCGCGAGAAGGAGAATTGAGGGACCTTGATACCGACGTAGTTCTTTGGGATGTTCACTGGTGGGTATTCGACGAATGGCTTGCCAATCATTGCCTTTGTAGCCATCTCGATCAAATCGACATTCATAACCTTGGAAACGAACGGGAATGATCGCGATGCTCGTACGTTGCACTCGATAACCTTGATCTCATTGTCCTTGGCAATGAACTGAATGTTAAATGGACCGGTGACGTTGAGAGCGTTTCCGATCTTTCGAGTGGCTTCCTCGATCCGACGAACGGTCTCCGGGTCCAAATCTTGTGGCGGCAAGATGAGGGTCGCATCACCAGAGTGAACGCCGGCATTCTCGACGTGCTCGGAGATGAAGTGGCCGACCATCACACCATTCTTTGCGACAGCATCCATTTCAATTTCCTTGGCATTTTCAATGTATTTTGTGATAACCACTGGGTGGTCCCTCGAGACCTCGGCAGCTTGGTTGAGGTAGTTGGCCAAATCGTCCTGGGAGTACACCGTGTTCATTGCAGCACCAGACAGAACATAGGACGGACGGACAAGCACAGGGTATTTGACTTTGTCACAGAATGCCGTAGCCTCCTCAATACTGGTGAGTTCCTTCCACGCTGGTTGGTCGACGCCGATGCGGTCAAGCAATCGAGAGAACTTGTAGCGGTTTTCAGCAGCGTCGATCATCTCGGGAGAGGTACCAAGGATGTTGACGTTCAAACGATGCAAGGGCAACGCGATGTTGTTTGGCGTTTGGCCACCCATGGAAATGATGACTCCACTCGAGGACTCCAGCTGATAAATATCGAGCACGGTCTCCAAAGTAATATTCTCAAAGTACAGACGATCAGCTTCATCGTAGTCGGTACTAACAGTCTCAGGGTTGTAGTTGACCATGACCGTCTTGTGTCCTTGCTCTCGAAGGGTGCGAATAGCCCTAACGGAGCACCAGTCAAATTCGACGGAAGAACCGATCCGGTAGACACCGGATCCAAGAACCATAACGCCGTTGTCATTGAATGAAATGTCACTCTCCGAGCCATTATACGTAAGATAGAGATAGTTGGTGTAAGCGGGGAACTCAGCAGCAACGGTGTCGATCTGTTTTACAACAGGCATAATACCTGCCTCAACACGAAGGCGGCGGATTGCCAACTCATTAGAGCTCAGGAATTTGGAGAGCTGGCGGTCGGAGAAACCAAGCTGCTTGGCCTGTCGGACAAGGGAGACAGGGACAGTAGAGGCGGAGTAAGTGCTGATTAATTTTCCAAATTTGCTGAGACCCTCAAGCTTGCGTAAGAACCATTTGTCGATCTTGGTTAGCTCCCAGATATCATCAACGGTGTAGCCGGAGTGCATTGCATTTGCGATAGCGAACAAACGTTGATCAGATGGAGTCTGGAGCTCAGTCTTGATGGACATCAGCGCATTGGTAGCGTTAAAGCCCAGATTAGTGTAATCGACGGCACGAATGGCCTTTTGGATGGCTTCTTCGAAAGTTCTGCCAATACTCATAACCTCACCGACACTCTTCATGGAAGAACCGAGCTGGGTGGAGACGCGAGTGAATTTCTTCAGATCCCAACGAGGGATCTTAACCACGACGTAATCGAGGGAGGGTTCGAAGCAGGCACATGTAACCTTGGTGACGCTATTGGAGATCTCATTCAATGGGATACCAAGGCCAAGTTTGGCAGCGATGAAAGCCAATGGGTAACCGGTTGCCTTCGAGGCAAGCGCGGAAGATCTGGACAATCGAGCATTGACTTCGATGATGCAGTACTCCTTCGAGAATGGGTTCAGAGCATATTGGATATTACATTCACCCACAACACCGAGATGTCGAATGACATTGACCGCTGTAGTCCGGAGCATATTGTAATCCTCGTCCGAAAGGGTCTGTGAAGGAGCAACGACAATGGAATCGCCAGTGTGGATACCGAGGGGATCGAAGTTCTCCATGTTGCAAACAGTGATACAGTTGTTTTGTGCGTCACGAACGACCTCGTACTCGATCTCTTTCCAACCCTTCATACTCTTCTCAATGAGGACCTGGGGACTGGCGGCGAATGCCTTGGCGCAAAGATCGCGAAGTTGCTCTGCATTGTCCGCAAAGCCACTTCCAAGACCACCGAGAGCGTACGCGGCACGGACGATAACGGGGAAGCCAATGCCTTTGACAACCTCCATAGCCTCTTCGAGGGTAGATGCAGATGCAGACTTGGCGCACTTCTCTCCGATAGACTCCATGCTTCTAGCGAACAACTCACGATCTTCGGTGGTAATAATGGTCTCAATTGGGGTACCGAGGACCTTGACGCCGAGCTCTTCAAACTCGTCTTTGAGCTGTATACCCACCTGAAGGGCGGTCTGTCCACCAAAGGTGACGTAAATAGCATCAGGACGCTCATGCTTGATGACCTTTCGTACGAAATCAGCATTGACGGGTAAGAAGTAGACTTTATCGGCGAGACCCTTGGACGTTTGGATGGTCGCGATGTTCGGATTGATCAGGATGGTGTAGATTCCTTCTTGTTTGAGAGCCTTGATGGCCTGACTGCCAGAGTAGTCGAATTCTCCGGCTTGACCAATACTCAAGCCACCACTGCCCAGAATGAGAACCTTCTTAACCGAGACTCTGGGGTGGGCGGCCCGGTTCTCTTCAATGGTGCCACCAGGGAAATTGACCGGCTCGTTCAAGCCAGAAGGACACTCGATACTCTTCTTCACAGTATTAATGAAGACATCGAAAAGGAACTCGGTATCCCGAGGGCCAGGCGTGCTCTCCGGGTGGAACTGAACACTGAAGTAAGGCTTAGAGACGTGTCTGATACCTTCATTGCTTCCGTCATTGGCATTGACAAACAACTCTTCCCATCCTTCGGGCAGCGTCGATGAGTCCACGGCGAAACCATGATTTTGAGAGGTAATATAGCAACGGCCTGACAGCAAGCTTGTGCAAGGAATGTTATGACCACGGTTGCCGAACTTCATTTTAGTGGTGCCTGCGCCGGCGGCTCGAGCGAGGAGCTGATGGCCGAGACAGATACCAAAGATTGGTGTCCGGCATTCTTCCAGGGCCTTTGCAAGGTTTGTGACGGTGGAGGATACCATGGCCGGGTCACCAGGGCCGTTGGACACGAAAAGACCATCGTAGTCCTTTGCGAGTGCATGGAAGTCATAGTTCCAAGGCACGACGAGGACCTCAACACCACGGGCAAGGAGGCATCGAAGTTGGTTATATTTCATACCAACATCGACACAGAGAACTCGGACAGGCCGGCCTGAAGGATGAAGTAAGCCAGCCTTTGGAGGGGTATACAGGCGAGGCTCCTTGATTGAGACTATGAAAAGCAGTTAGTGGGTCTTCCAACGAAAAAAAAAAAAAATAGATTTCGGCCATTGCCCCCGGTGGGTTGCCTTACCCTCATCGACAAGATTTCTCTTGTTGGGATCTACCCAGGCGATTTCTTCAAAATTCTCCCGCCACATCTCAGCATCCTCGCCGTCAGCGGTAGTGGGGACGCCATTGACTAGGTCTTTGCCGCTTGTAGACTTTTGGAGCATCATGCGGCCAAGCATGCTACCCTCCTCGCGGATTCTCTTTGTGAGAGCACGAGTGTCAACACCGTAGATCGCAGGCACATCCTGTTCCTTCAGCCACTTGCCCAAGGAGCTCTCGGCCAAGAAGTGGGAGTAGTCCTCTCCACAGTAGCTGGCCACGACCAGACCAGCGATATGGATCTGGCTGGACTCGAAGTGCTTGGGGATGTCCTTCGCCAGCTCGTCCATCGTCTCGCGGGACGGAACACCGTAATTGCCGACCAGGGGGAACGTGACGACGAGGATCTGACCGCGGTAGGAGGGATCCGTTATGGACTCCGGGTAGCCCACCATGCCGGTCTGGAAGACCAGCTCGCCGGCGACGCTCCTCTCGGCGCCGAAGCTGAGGCCGTGGTAGATGGCTCCATCTTCGAGCTCGAGGAGAATTGACCTGCCAGAGTCCTCTGTGATCTGTGCGCAGGCGGGAGGGATCACCGCGGGGGCGATTGACGACTGGGCGGACTGGGCGGGCTGCTGCTCATTCTGCACGTAGGCAACGGCACCACCGGCGGAGGGGGCAGAGGGGAAGAGAGAGTCGGATCTAGAGGTCCTCTGGGGACTGGTCGGGGTTTGAGGAGGCTTCGCGTCCGAGGAAGACGTGAAGAGCGGCATCTCGCCGTCCTCTTGAGAATTTATCGCGTAACGAGCTGACCTTTTTTCAGTTTTGCGTGCACAGTCCGACGACAGCGGGGGGGTGGGAAGAATTGAAACGGAGATGCAGGGAGTGCTGAACTGGCTTTTTAATCTTGTGGTCAGGCCAGTTCAGAGAGGAATGAAAAAGAATGAATGATTAACCTGGTCCTTAAGGATTGGACAGGGGACCAGAGGAGGAGAAGAGAGAATGGGAAAAAAAAGAGCAGTTGAGAAAATTTCTGTGAAAGACTTTTTTTTTTTTTTTTTCCTCTGCTGGCGGGCAGTTTCTGCGGTTTGGTTTGCGGTTGGGGCCCACCGCCGCTGGTGATTGGCGCCAAGCAGGTCCACAGTCGACAGCCGACAAAAAAGTACGGAGAAAACAGAGAACAGAGAGAGAGAACAGGGCAAGGAAGTCAGAACTGATGCCGGATCACCAGTCAGGGATGTCCGTCCGGACGAATCTGCAAGGTGCCGGCGAATTAGCCACCAGTAATGGAGTTCTTGTCTCGGAGAAGCATCGCCATGGCCTGGACCCTGTGCTAGTCGACTCTCATCCTGGCATTCAGCGCGGCACATCCTTTATTTTTCTTGTCTTCTCATCGTATTTCATCTGACACAATTATGGAGCTTCGAATTGAGATTTTACGGATGTGGAACAGATTTTACATCGCTAATGCAGCTCTATCGTTCTAGGCGTACTATCCCGTCTTGCAGGCTTGAGCGATGATCCTGAGGGACACAAATGGAAAGAAATTCGCTCAGCGAGGACAGCCAGGGAGCAGAAGAGTGAGAGGAAGAGAGAACCAAACTCCAAATCTTGCACATCTAGTAGGACACTCATCCTCAAGTCTAGTTTCAGGGGAGCAGAGGTGAGGCATCTGTTTCTTTCAAGACAACTGGCCTGCCTACTCGTGTAAGGGGTTACCGATGGACGGAGGCGGTTCCATCGCCATAGCTCGTCGCAAGGTACGAAGGAGTTTACTACGATCCCGACACTTGGAGCCATTATTCGAGGCCCGTGGGTACACCGTGCTGCAGAACACTCTCAGACTCATGTACATAGTCTTGATAGTTATGTACATGCAGCATGCTGTGAGACCTCGTGCTGGAGCAAAAGACCGCCGTTCCTCGTTTCTTTGTGCCCCTCGCCGGGCGGGTGGCCAATCGCCGAGCTGGACGCGTGTGAGTGCAAAAGTCAATCTTATCTGCTTATCGCGCTCGCCACCTGCTTCTGGAGATGACATGTACTCAGGAGGAACAGAGGGGTGGAGGAGAGAAAAAAAAAATATATAACACAACCGGCTCGCCATGGAGACATCATCTCACCTCCCCTCACCTGCTCCTCGCCCGGGCAGGCCTGCTGTTGATCTAGTGTCTTCCTCCTCCTTTTCCTAGTCCTGTCCTCTGTGTCCTCTGTTTCTTCAGTCTCTTCAGGGTGGTCTTCTGTGTTTTCTTCTGTCTCCCATTTTTTTTGTTTCCGTCCGTTTAGCTTTCGCCTGATGACTCTTACGCCCTCCTCTTCTGATCATGTGCTGGATGGCTTTTTCAACTTGACACCGTGCCGTGGTTTTGTCCTCTTGGATGGGGCATCGTGGTCTCAGCAGCTGCCCGGTTTGAGAATTTCTACGCATATTGCCAGTGTGGGTGCTTGCATCTTTGCTCTGGCCCAAGACGGAGCCGACTCGTGCCCGTGGGAGTCCACTCGCGTCTCTCAGCACCGCGGACATGTCCCCTCCAAGCCCCATTGCGGCGAGGCGTATGATGTTTCATGGGCCGCTGCGTGCCCCAGGCCAGAGTAACCAGCCTGCTCCCAATGACGAGGAGTACGGTGACGATGGCCATGGCGTCGATTGCGAGACGAATGACGGACATGACGCCCAGGATACCACTCCCTTGCTCCCCATCTTCTCAGCGCCTCACCTTGGTACGCATTCTACCGCTTGGGCCCCTCAGAAACGCTGGTATCTTAACACTAATCTGCTCACTATCCTAGACTCTCTCCCCGTCTACCATCTCACATACGATCTGTGTCTCCTTGTGGCTTCACGATGCGAGACCACTCTCACCTGGGAACAGCTCCGTTCGCCGCAGGTGTCGCAGTTCCTTCTAAAACCGATTCTACAGGCGATACACACAGCTCATTTCTCCAGGGCAACCCTCTACTCCCTCATGGCAAACTGTCTCCAGTTCCGTAAGGAGGCCGATATAAAGCCAGGGATCAGTGGCGCTAGCCATACCAGGGCCATGGTGTGTGAGCTTCTGGCCATCAAGCTTCTCAAGGAGTACTCCACGAGGGAGTTGATCGATGCTCTTTCCTATGATTTTCATCCATTGCAGGGCCAAACGCCTCCGTCGACGAGCACCACTGCACACGAGACCGGAAGGTATCCCCACAGTCGCAGCCAGCGACATTTAAAGGGCGTTCGTATATCCTGCTTGGAAGTCGCCATCAGAGCGCAGGCGAAAAGATTTTTAGCCCATCCCCTGGTTGTTCAGCAATTAGAGGCTATATGGGCCGGCACCATTGTCTTCTACTCGGCTGCTGACCATTTGCACCGTCTCCCTCTCAGGAATGCTACCAGAACTCAGTACGGGTCCTTGGGAGCATCCGTGGATCCTGCGAACGGGGCTTATACAGACTCCACCTCGTTCATGTCGAGACGCTCTGCTTCACTCTATGACCCGCAGGATGCTTCCCTATTCAAACTGTCCCGCCTGCGGGTCCCGCGCTATCGCCAGGTGCTCTCCACATGTTCATTCGCTGTATTATTGTGTCTATTCCTCACCGTCATTCAGAGAAGGTCCTTTCTCCTTACCACCTTGGAGCTTGTCTTCTGGTTCTGGAGCGCTGGCTTCATGCTGGACGAGATTGTCGGATTCAACGAACAAGGTTTCAGTCTGTACCTAATGAGCTTCTGGAACACCTTTGACGTCGGGATTCTGTTTCTCCTTTTCTGTTACTACTGTCTACGCTTGTACAGCGTCCTGCTTCTGGACCATACTGTCGCAATTCTGGCCTACGATGTCCTTGCGGCGACTGCCGTCCTCCTAGTACCAAGGCTCTTTTCGGTCCTGGATCACTATCGCTACTTCTCTCAGCTGCTCATAGCCTTCAGGATGATGGCTGTAGATCTCTTCGCTGTTCTTATCCTGATCATAATCGCCTGCAGTGGATTCTTCGTCGCCTTCACCTTCTCCTTTGGACACGGCGATTCTCCCAGCTCCGTGATCTATGCTCTTTTCCAGATGATCATGGGTTTCACCCCAGCCGCCTGGCAGCTTTGGGATCGTTATAACCCCCTCGGAAAGGCCATCCTCATCCTATTCCTCTTTATTTGCCACTTCCTTGTCGTCACCATTCTCATTACAGTCCTAACAAATTCATTCATGGCCATCGTCCAGAATGCAAACGAAGAACACCAGTTCCTATTTGCCGTAAACACAATTTCCATGGTCAAATCCGATGCTCTATTTTCCTACATTGCACCTGCAAACATTGTGGCATGGGTCGTTGCACCCTTGCGGTTCGTCATGCCTTTTCGGAGCTTCATGAGGCTTAACAGGACAATCATAAAGGCCACACATTTCCCGATCCTGTTTAGCATATACCTTTATGAGAGGATTGCATTACGCTCGGCGGTATTCGAGCCGACTGATCTGGTCGATGGGCCTTTGCGCCCTAGCCAATCTAAAAACTGGGTTAACAACGGTAACAAGGGTCATGACCTCTTTGCACTCGGAAATACTTTTCGCTTGAGAGAGCCATCGATCGCCACGCACCAGAAGGATGAGGCTTTGGAACAAGTCTTCCGTCGTCCTTTCAGACAGACCGCTCACCGCGTGAGGCAGGACACCCGTGCTCAGCATAAATCCAATGCCATAGTTAGCGACTGGATGCGGGACATTGGACCTGGCGGCATCGCTGAACCACCTGACGAAGAAGATCAGGCGGTGCTGGAACGACTGGAACAGCGACGAATACTGTGTTATCCAGGAGCGCGGAGAAGATTAAAACACTCTCTGCGCGACCCGACCATCACGACCCGGTCAGTTGCCTCTGATCCAGAAGATTTTGTCAATAGCGGGAAAATCCGCCCAAAAGCTCCTGCTGTCGGGAGAGGGTTTGGGCACCCGCTTCGCAAGCAATTAACCCAGCAAACGGACATGGAAGGCGACGACGAGCTTAGCAGCGACCACCAACAGGATGACGAGGTGTCGAGCCTGCGCCAAAGAACCACAACGATAGGCAGCAGGATACAAAACGAGCAGGAGGATTTGTTCAACCTTACAAATGGACCATCTTCCAATTCATTCGAGGGATCGTCACGGCCCTCGACGGCGAAGAGGCTCTCTAGACGAAACAGCCCAAACCGCAAGCCGAATACGCCACGACGCAAGCATTCCAGAAATTTATCGAGCGCTACTGTCCTCTTAAACCCTCTCCGTTCATGGACTACAGGTGAGGTAAATCCCATGCCATCGGGGAAGCCGGCTCTCAGGAGAGCTTTCCAAAGGAGCACACCACCCACGCCCAGCCGCTCACCCAAGGAAAAAACCGCTGCGCGTACCGGTCCGCGGCCCATTCACCCCTCAAAGCCCGAAGCAAAATCCGTTCCCAATCTCAACGGGGTGCTGCTATCTGGCGACTTTCTCAAACTCAATCGCGGCCGTTCGTCCATCGCGATAGGGCTCGGTTCCGATCTGGGCGATAACAAGGCCGTCGGCGGTGGGTTTGTCGGCGACATCCCCGCGAGCTTCGCCACGCAAATGGCATACGCGACCGGGGATCTTCAGCGAAACCGTTCGAATACCGATCACAGGGATACATTGAATAGATTAGTTCTTGCGAGGATGAAGACTCTCGAGGAAAGTTTCCGGGACGTGATAAGGGAGGTGAAAGACCTCCGCAGAGAGCAAATATATCCGCCGGACATCCGGGGCAATATGGCTTCGAAAGCGAATATTCCCACTTCTAAACGTCAGTATATTGAATACCACTCCGAAGACGGCGGCAACAACACTGATCTGATATTTGATGACGACTCATCCGAGCTAAAAGCGAGTTCTGTATGATTTATGATTTCCTCAGGGCATTTGGTGCGGTTTCATTTTTCAGGCGGAAGATTGTTTGCTTGTATACTATGTATTGTAATCGCTGGTGGCATTTTGTGATTCGAGCTTTTTAATGATTTGAGGACCCCTATGAGTTTAGCATGTAAGTAACTAACTAATGTTTATGAATGTTGTGGAGTACGGAGCTCTCATTGTACGAAACATTCCTTTTATCCACCTGGTTGCGAGAATCCAGTCGCTGTCTTTAGCTAGCTGCATGTCAAATATTATCTTCCAATTTTTTTTTTTTTTTTTTTTTTTTTTTTTTTTTGGACAATGGCCAGTTCATGCATCCGCCTCGCAATGTTGGGCCGTTGCAGAAAGCGTGAAGCCAAAAGGAAGTTTCCACGTGACCCCGGCCGTGAGCCGCGTCGTCATGACCTCACTGCAGCTAAATAGGGTGCTAGTTAGACAGGAAGCACATTGCTTTGCGAAGGCCCTCTCGCCACCGTCCCAATCAATTGTTCACGGCAACTAAAGCTGCTGTTCAGATCTGTTGTCCAGTAGCTGGTCTCAACAGGGGGTTTGATCTTCCGAGAAACAAGTATCAGGCTACCAGGCCATCAAGATGGCGTCCTCTTCCAAGCCAGCGACATCTCTCCTCTAGTAAGTCCAATGCATATCTATGCTGCCAGTGCACAGCTAACCAACCTTCTCCCAGCGCCTGCATTGCCCATAGAACGACCATTCTCGCGGAACACTCCTCCCCAGGCACCTCGTCCACCTCCGCCTCCTCGCTCGCCTCCATCATTCTCCCCAAGATAAGCCACCAATCAGCCCAAAAGCTCACATACACCCATGACCGACTCTTCATACACTACATCGCCGATTCTCCCTCGGCATCGGCCTCCTCCTCAGAACCCGATTCGCACGCCCCACTCAGCTATCTCGTCGTAGCCACCGCCGAGCTGGGCCGCCGCATCCCCTTTGCCTTCCTCCTCGAAATCAAGCGCAAGTTCCTCAGTGCATACAGCCCGGAAAGCATCGACTTCGGCTCCCTGCCGGCGTACGGCTGTGCGGCATTTAACAATGATCTGCGCGCTCTGCTGCAGCAGTACAACACGGCCCCGCCGTCCGATTCCCTGGCGTCTGCGCGCAAGGAGATCGACAACGTGCGGGATATCATGACGGAGAATATCGAGCGGGTGCTGGAACGTGGGGAGAGGATAGACTTGCTTGTGGACAAGACGGATCGGTTGGGCAGCAGTGCGAGGGATTTCAGGGTTCGGAGCCGGGATTTGCGCAGACGGATGTGGTGGAAGAATGTAAAACTGATGGCGTTGCTGGCGGTGGTTGTGCTGTTTTTGATATATCTGTTCGTAGGCATTGGGTGCGGATTGCCTGCATGGGGAAGATGCGTTGGGAAGAAGGAGTAGAGGAGAATGGTTTTCTTCGGTGTTGGTGAGGCTCATGTTGTTCTATTTTTGATTGATATCCTATCCCATCTTCTTAATCTTCATCTCCATTTCTATGTTATTGTCATGTACGGACTGGAAGCAAGCTCTCTGTTTGTTTTACAAGAGTCTTTGAAGAATCAAAGAGTATCAGCGTTTTATTGAGAATGATATATGATTAGACGTGTATGATGCTATCTGACATGCCGAATGCACATATTTACGAATTATATATTTTGGGTTTGTAGCTTCCCATCAAACTTGCATCCCTCATTGACATAAGAGTCTAGGAGCAAGTCTGCAGGCAAGCCTTAAGGCTACAACATGCCAACCCATCACGAAGATAAGTGGAAGTTGAGTCACTTGATATACGCCAGCCGTATACCTCGACAACCATTGGGGAGCAATCTGAGACCGCTTTTCTGGTTGGCGAGGAGATAATACTGGCAATGAGATACTCTGAGGAGATCATAATTTTCACGATGGCTTTGGGGAATTCGGATGAGGTCGTCTCTTCGAGCGATTTCATGATGGAATACCTGGGTAAAACAAGGAAGTTATATGCACCATCACAGCCAGAGAGTCAAGATCAGAGAGCACAAAAAGAAAAACTTGGACCTGTGAATTTTCTCCTGTGATATTTTCTCAGCTGTTGGATGTGACATGGGCAGTGATCGACTATTTTCAGCATCGACTGCAGAAAATCGAGAGACGGGGGAGGGGGTGTGGCATGCGAAGAAAAGGTTGGAGGAGAAAACGCCCAAACATAACAGAGCCTGCCTTGTAGAAAACTCCAGTTGAAAGAACTCATGCCATCAGAGGTCCCATTTATTCATTTCGTTTCTTTTTTTCCGGGAAAAAGTTGGAAAAAATAAAGAACCCCCTGTCATTACTAACAAGAACGAAGCAGCCCCAGGTCTTTACACTTATGCGGACGCAGTCTTCGCTCTGGTCTCTCTTCCCTTGCCCATGCGCTCCAAGATGCTCTCGCGGTCCTTGTCCAGCTTGAGCTTGGTGATGACGACTTTGGAGGGGTGGATGCCGATAGGGACGCTCTGGCCGTTCGATTTCTCACGAGTCACGCGCTCGACGTGAACGACATACTTGAGGCGGTAGACGCTGGTGATCTTGCCCTCACGGCCCTTGTTGGTGCCGCGAACGATGGTGACCTCGTCGTCCTTGCGAATGGGTATTGAGCGAACCTAGAGTCACGATAACCGATTTTAGAACCTCTCTCAAATTTCGTGTAGTGGCTCGGAGCTCTCGTAGAAGGGGAGAAAAAAGGGTGCAGGATCCACGCAAATCAAAGATTCAAGGAGCAGTTATTTGCCAATGCGATGGGGAAAATATTTCTAGGACGCAATCGTACATTGTGCTTTTCTCTCAATTCCTTGCTCAATGGAGCGCTCATGATAACTCGTCGCTCGCCGGAGGAAGCACCGAAATGGGCCTTGCGCGACTTTCGGCGCGAAGAGGCCAGTTCTGAAAAGGGGAAAAAAAAGGATAGTCCGTCAGCATTCCAGTTCCGCAATATCCTCTCCCCGTCCTTTCCACCTTTGCAACCGGTGCCTGGACAGCCACTCCAGCAAGGCAAAATCAGGCAGATACGCACCCTTGTTGATCTTCGTCATTTTGGCAGATCCGGAGGGAATGAAGAGATCTGGCGGCCGAAGGTATTGCTGTGCTTGGAATTATCGACCCTTCGGGGATTCGCTGGTCGTCGTCAACTTCGAGATTCTCGCTTAGTGTCGAATTTTGTTTTCCGCGAGAGTGTGTGCGAGAGCAGCCTTGGCGCTCCCGCGTATAGGGTTTGGCTGACTAACCTCTGTGCTGACTAAGCCCCGACCTCGCGAAGGAACTTTCCGCCTCTGAAGCATAAGCTGAGAGCTCGCTTTGCCCTGGTTGCTAGAAGCGTCGCTAAGAAAATTGGGGTGATAGTACTGGCGTGTGGGGGAATCCGTCATACTCGCAAGATCTATCCCCATGGTGTGACTTCGTGCCCTTTACTCTATGCCCGATGACGGCTTGCATACCACTCGTCCTACGACTGCCACAAGCTACCTTCCGCGCGCCGTGACTGCACGCTTTACGACACATCTACGTGCAAGCAACTTGAATTCTGTGCACGGGCGTCTTTGAACCAGCTGCCCACCGTACGCGATATGTCTTACTCCGGATACGGCTTTTCCTCAAATAGTGCCCATCCTTCGAGACAAGCAGTCTCAAATACTCAATCCTCTTCGACGCCGTCCTCTAGCTGGCAGAACGCGGACCGGACCTATTCTCAGAAAGAATACGGATGGCAAGAGCAGATTCCGAGCTTACACGGTTCCAATACGTCTCATTCGGAAAATCCTTGCTGGTCTTCGAGCAATGACGCTCAAATCCAAAGCCAGAATTATCCCCCACAGGTTACGTCCCGGAACTCGCAATCAGGGCAGTATACCGCTCCACATTCAGGTGTGAATCAATCTCACGTGTCACTTGACTCCTCGGCGGTGGACGCGTTGTATAACAGTACCAGAGCAGGATCGACCGCAGCTCCAATTCCGGCAAATCCTTCCAGCAGGGCAAACTTCTACTACTCCGGGGCCGCTCAGGCACAAAGCCGAACTCCCTCTCCCAATGTTCATCCGTCCTATCAGCAGAGTGGATCCTCCTTGGACCTAGCCGATCGGTCAGACTCTGCGCAACGATCTAGAAATGCTGCCGCGAGTGCTATGACTGTGCTCTCATCTTCCGTACCCGCCCGGCGCTTTTCACAAAGTGTTCCAGTAGGATCTTCATCGATTTACTCTGATCAAACGCAACCCTATATCTCTACTGTCCATAACGCCGCATCCACGAGGGACTCGAGTCTACCCGAATATTCGGCCAATCCTGCGCTAGCCCCTCGTCAGAACACGACGCATCAGCGACCGGCCACATCACAACCCCCTGCTGTTGAGATAGGCCAAAGGAAAGATACTTTGTCGTCCACGACCACAAACCCCGTGTCGTACTCGAGTCCCTCCGGGCAACCTTTCGATACCATACCTCCACCGAACCCTGCACATCATAGCAGACACAGTCAGTCAATTGCTACAACTTCAGCACCTAGCTACGGGTCGTCACGCCCAAATATTCAATCAAACTCGATGTACAGCCCCACTCCCGTGGGTACAAGAAGCCCAAAGTCGCATGTTGCGCACACACAGGGCAATACAGACCAGCACTCTAGCTCAGAAATTCACAATCAAGACGCAACCCACATAAACATGTCCCGTAGAAATAATCTCCACGGAGAAAATCACGGACGCAGGTTGTCGAACTCCCCTTCACAAACGTCGCTACCAACCTTCGTCGATCCAAGCAAGATCAATTATGAACAAGCCAGGGCATCATACAGCATGCACAGTACACAAGCCCATCAAACTCCGCAAACTACTTTCGGGGAATCAAACGAAGATACATCAGTTGAACAAGCACTCGTCATCGCCCTAACAGGAAATACGGTGCAATTTCAAACCGAGACAGGCGAGAGGCCGGTAGAAGCACAGGCACCTCCTGAAACTTCGACAAATAACCAGGCCGAAACCAAGTCGGCAAGTTACCCCCGTAAACCCAGTCCAAACCGTAGATGCACCCTGTACGTGAACCCATCTTCCATTGGCTTAGCTCTTGTAATAATAATTAGTGATTAGGCCTGCAGCCCAAGCCGAACGTGCGGACGCAAATGAGCCCTCTCAAGAGATGCCACAGGCGGCTCAGACTCGAAAAAGAGGCCGGCCCCGTAAGGCCCCTCAAGACAAGCTTATGAACGTGCCCGGAGCCATCTGCCCTTCGCGGGTATTGGAGCCTGATTTATCTACCACAGCTCAAGATGAGTCCACCAAAGGTTCGATGGAAGAGAATATGGCTTCTGAAATGAGACAAATGATCGAGAAGATGAGACAATGGAGGTCTAAAGACCCTTCCTTATTTGCAAAGCTGTGGGATGATGTTAAAAAGGTACTTTAACCTTTTCTTTTTGGCTTCTTAATCTAACTGGACTGATCGTATAGGGGCCTTCTACAGACGCTTCTCAACCTCCTTCAGCCAGCAAAGCGTCCATTGCGAACCCTGCGCCAAAGCCGGCGAACGGACAATCTTCCATGGACCCCCCCGCCCAGGTCACACCTGCAGAGAGCCTACCAGATCTTGGAAAGTTTCCGGCAGCAAGACGCAAACGGTTCGCAAAAAATCGGCTCTCTAATGTCTATCATGCTATGCCTGAAATGGGTTCGCCGAAGGCAACGACTACCCCAATACAGCAGCAAAAAGTTAGTCAAGCGAAGGCGACTGTTGATGAAAATAAGCGTCAACCAACACACTTTGAAACTCCAGAGCCACGCCGCACACCATTATCATCCTATAATAACACCTCCCAGGAAGATAAAGTGGTCCAAACTACCACTACTCCAATTGCTTTGTTAAAGGAAGTGCAAACACCTCAAGATAACAATCGCCCAGAGCCTCAACCCAAGCCGAAGGAAATGAAAGCGTCGAATATCTGGCCGCTTGCAAAACGTCAGGCATTAGCTGAAGCGGCATGTAATTACCTCAAAGAGGTCCCGCAGAATGCGGGGAAGGACTGCCCGACATCTCTAATTCTCAATTTAATCGATCAGGATCCGTCATATACACAGCTCTGCGAGATGCTTGAAGTTAAGGGGCTCTCTGTGAACAGAGTACATTTTGCAAAACATCTCCTCAAAGCAGTTCCTGACCTATCAAGCAGTGCCCAACCGAAGCGGCCTGCGAATTCAGATGCTATTACGCCCCCTGTTGGCCACCCTTCAGAGGGTAATGCTACGACCAGTGTTCCTGTGCAATCCCACCCACCATCCAGGCCAGTTTCAGAGGCTCCACGGGCTAAGCAGCCAAATAGTACCATAGCACATACAGCGCCGTCCCCTTCTATTCCCCCTCCAACATATAACACAAAAAGTCAGGTCCAAATGACTGCTCCCCTTACTTTTCACCATTTTACTGGAGTTTCAACCACAATTTCTCAGCCACCTCAGAGCACTCTGGTTGCCTCACAAGATGCGAGCCAGCCCACTCAAAGCGCGGCTGCTTCATCCATACCGCAGTCTACAAACCCGGCAACTCTACCCAGGCCACCCCCTATGGCTAATTTACAACAGTCCTCAAAGCAAGCACCGCCAACGTCATCACAGCCATTTTTTCCTCCTCTTCCGCCCGTTGCTAAACTTGTTCCCCTTCCATCAGAAACCAACTCCACAACCCCCTCAAGCAATGCTCCTCGGTTTGAACCTCCTAAAGTTGTGTCATCTCAGGTTCCAATGGGACAGGCGGTTCAGTCCCCTATTACGGCTCACTCGTTCATCCACTTCGACGCTAAATCTTCCAAGGTCAATGCCAAACGCACTTCGGAAACATCTGCACCCGCACCGCCACCGGCGAGTGCACCGCCAGGGTCAAAGGAAGCACTAGCAAAAAAGCGCAATTTCTCCGAGATTGTGGACTTGACACGGTCGCTGAGCGATGATGAGGATATGGTGGATGTTGCAGATGTTGCAGATGCGGAATCTGCTAGCAAAATACCACGTTTAGATGAGTGCAGAACGACAGAGCCATTGGTGCCAGCCACCGAGCCCACACCGGCGCCGTCAAGTACTGTGGACCTATCCAGATTTAAACTCGCTGAAACAACCGATGTGGAGAAAAGGGACGCATTGCGACGCCGCAAGGATATAGTGAAGCCTTTCAATAAAGCTGAGGCATTGAGAAAGACTTACTACAACCCGAAAACGATTGCGAGGGACGTCCTGATCGCGGCAGGCCGACATCCGACCGAACGACCATTAAACTACCATCTACTCAAACTACGAGTGAGTTTTCAAGCAGTGGACTATAATTCAGACCTGCGAACGTTTCGATGGGACCTCGTTGACCCTGGCTCTCCGCCCCCAGAAGTGGCCCTTGCACCTCTACCTTCCCGCCCGCCGATTCCTTCCCGGCCGCCAAACTCCGACCTAAACTCCGACGCCTCCACGACCGAATTATATAATCGAGAGTCACGTGGTTCGGAAGTGACCACCACACCTCAACGCGCTGTGCATCGCCAGAGTGCTGAAATCCCCAAGCTCAATTCATCGCCTTCCAAGAGAAACGTCGTACAGATCCGTCCATTTCATACTTTTTCTTCAAATTCTACTCCTCTGATGCCCGAATCGACGGCGCTGCCGCGTCGTCAGCGAGGTCGACCAGCAGGGTCGAAGAACAAACCAAACGCCACCGGCTCAGTCTCAAGAGCCGTGGAAGTCGTCGTCCGACCAGGCCCATATGCATCTCCCCTCTACAGAGAGTATATTTGCTCCTGGAAGGATTGCAATGCCAAACTACATAACCTGGAGACGCTGAAGAAGCATGTGGTGAAGCTGCATGTTCCTCCCAGCAATCATTCTACTCCGTGCCAGTGGTCAGGCTGCGCATCGTCTCGGAGCCAACACCTTTTTGGCGCTGAGGAGCTTCAAGAACACTTGGATAAGATGCATCTGCGCCCGATGGCCTGGAAATATGGCGAAGGTCCCACGACGAAAGGATCTGGTGAGAATGGAAATAATATCGCAACTCCGATAGTTATTCTCTAATAACTAGTTTAATTTCTCTTCCGTTCCGAATTCTAGTTCTATCTATCGACCCGGAAAACTGTTCTAAAGACCAAAACGGCCGGTCATACACACCGCGGATATCAGAGCGAGGGCCCCATCCGGCGCTAATATTCCCCGCAGCATCGTCATCCATCAAATCTTTCAACAAGATCCATGGTAACAAAACTGAGAGGGCGAAGGCTTTGGAAGTACTAAGGGCTTTGGAAACAAAACAGGCGCGAGTTGGAATTGGAGTGAACAAAGGTGGATGCACTCTTTTTAATTACAAGAGACTACCGACAGTTGTGGCTTTTGAGAACGTTCGAAGGATAATACCCGCGGAAAAGAAATAACCTGTGAATACAACCCCAAGCGGACATCGGCATCGCCGGGCCGACGTATGTACCGTGAATATTTATGTAATGCAATAAGCGATGGCGCAAAAGGGGCTTTTGGTTTTGCCTGATTTTATTTTTGCCAGGCTTTGCGATTCGTTTTTACATGATACAGATACCAGGCTTAGGCTTCAATTGCTTCCAATTTGAAGGCTGGCTTTTGGGGCCAGACATGATGTCTATCTTAGATTTGAAAGCATTTTCCTACTACGGTCAGACCCCTTTAACATTTAGTGGTCTTTTCTTGACGGCCAATGTTCTATCGTAGCGTGAAAACCACCCTGCCTTCCTCCGTGTCCTGCACGAGCTTTGAACCGCCGCTAATACAACCCTTTCTCAAATTCACTCTGTATGTCACCCTCCTCCGGCGTTAAGAGGCCTCACATCCCGTTGTGAGACTCAGGTTATCGTTCCTCGCGTTCCATGCGTAGCCACGTCAGCGATTCTCCGTCTTCGCTGTCGTTGGTGTTGTGTTCAGGGTCGACTGGGCTTTGTCGGGGCCCTTTGTCAACGACGAGGGTGTGACCACTGTGTCTTGATTGTTCTCTTGCGAGTTCACTTCTAGGAAGTGGTAGAGAACGATGAGGAGCATCGCGCAGGAGCCCAAGAAAATGGCGAGCTTGTAGAGCTCAGTGTCGGTAATCATTTTCGCTCGGTGGGGGATGGGAGGTTTTGATATATAAATTGAGAAGTTACGTAGGTCGGATCAACGGTGTAGGACTCTGTAGGGACGGTGCTTGCGACAGCCGCCGCAGGTCAGCAGAAGGAATATGACAGAGCTCGACGGAATTGGGGGAGCTTACTTTATGTTCGCGTCAAATCCGGCGGGGGTTTCAGAAAACAGGCATCTGCTCAATTCCTATGGTGGATTGGCCGGGCAAAACGATTCCCACAGCTCGTCGTCGATACTATTGCCTGCATCTTCTACCGGAGCACGGATCTGGCACAGCTGGCCGCTTCGCCCTCCCAGACCCGGCCTCTTACGCACACTACCAAACACTAACGCCACCTTACAAAGTTTAATTTTCCCCGCCAATCTCGAGCCACAGGCGACCGCCAAAGCCACTGCTCTCATACTTCAACCCTCAACAGCACAATAAACACCCCGTCATAACGGGCAAAGATTCCACCAGCTTTGCATTGCTCATATTACCAGGCATTTAACAACTGAGCCGTGGTTGCCGGAATTCATCACAACACCGCCAAGATGCCGCCCAAGAAGGCTGAACAGCCGAAGAAGAAGAAGCAGACGGTGGAGGACAAGGTAGGTCCATTTTCGATCGTTCAATATCTACCTCACCACCCGCCCAGTACACAGCGAAAACAAAAGCTAACTTCGCAACTAATCCAGACGTTTGGTATGAAAAATGTGAGTACAGAGTCTCTTCCGCGTACGGCGGTCACCGGATAAGAAATGGCAATGTCGACTGTTTCAAGCCATGTGGATGGCTTTTTCCGCATCGGCCAAAGTCCGGAGGCATAAGAGCATGAGCACCCATTTCTTTCCTCTACCTTCCTGAGCAGCATTTGCTAAACTAACTTTTTTCTTTGCTGGGAAATAGAAAAAAGGAGCGACGGCGAAGAAACAAATAGCTCAACTCCAGGCACAAGCGCAATCAAACAAGAGTGCAGATCAGAAGAGAAAGGACGCCGAGAAGGCGAGACGAGAGAAGGAGAAGGCTGCCGCTGAGCAAGCCAAGAAGGAGGCAGCTGAACTCTTCAAACCAGTCCAGGTGCAAAAGGTGCCTTTCGGAGTCGACCCCAAGACAGTCTTATGCATATTTTTCAAGAAAGGCACATGCGAGAAGGGCAAGAAGTGCAAATTTAGCCATGATCCTGCGGTTGAGCGGAAGGCGGAGAAGAGGGATCTATATTCAGATTCTAGAGACGCCGAAAATGACAAGCAAAATGATACCATGGACAGCTGGGATGAGGATAAGCTACGAAAAGTGGTCTTGAGCAAGCATGGAAATCCGAGAACGACCACCGACAAGGTCTGTAAATACTTCATCGAGGCCGTGGAAAATCAGAAATATGGCTGGTTCTGGACGTGTCCGAATGGAGGAGATAAATGCATGTACAAACACAGTCTTCCACCAGGGTTAGTCTCTCCCCCCTCCCCGAATTCCCAAACAACTTACCCTTGCCTCATGATCTAACACGCCGGAAAACAGCTTTGTATTAAAAACCAAAGAACAAAAGGCCGCCGAAAAAGCCCTCCTCGATAAATCGCCTCTCAAGACGCTCACTCTGGAAGAATTCCTCGAGTCCGAACGTCATAAGCTTACAGGCAATCTTACGCCCGTCACGGAAGAGTCATTCGCGAAATGGAAACGAGAGCGTCTCGATAAGAAAGCTGCAGAGGAAGAAGCCCGTAAAGCTAAAGAAGCCACAGGTCGTGCCTTATTCGAAAGTGGGAACTGGAAGGATTCAGAAGATGAGGATAGCGAAGAGGATAGCGATGACGAGGATCAGGGTGCCTGGAACTTGGAAGCTATGCGGAAAGAGACAGAGGATTTGCGTGATAGATCGGAGCAAGACCGCCTCGCAAAGCTCAAAGGCGAGAGCCTTAGCAATGGAATCGATCCGGGCTCAACGTCCGTGGCGGGCGCAGGATAATACGAGCGGCCTCGAAAAGGGCTGCAGCTTGGTTATTTTCCGATTTCTATATACCATGAATATGAGATCAACGACTTGGCAGGCCTTCTTCCATTCCTTTTTTTTTTTTTTTTTTTTTTTTTTTTTTTTTTTTTTTTTTTGCTTCCTTTTGATCAAGCTTTCGAGTTGATGGGAGGGCATTTCACGTATATTAGCCGCTGTCAACCCTTTTGGCTCAAATCTACTTCGGCTTTATTCTCGACTTCGGACGTGGTCATATTAGCATAGCCCCATCCCTTCACTACCCGAAAAGAAATTCTGTGCAATTTCGTGTGGAGACGTGAATCCAAATATATGCTGCCCAACGGGGTCTATTGGCCGGGGATGTATCACACAATTACTCTTTAGTCTCTGGCTTGTTCTACTGGTTGATTGGGCTGCCTACGGCTTGGGAAAATGGTTGATTGATGCAAGAAGATAAAGCACATATTTTCTTTAAGACGCCCTGCTATCACCACAAACACAAAGAGACATATTAGAAGTAAAATTTCTTATCGCATGGAAGTGTTTTGATTGTTCCCATGGAAAGGACTTTGGAGGGCCATCTGCTGCGTTCGGACTAAGCACCATAGGCGTAATGTATGTCAAATCAACAATAGCCGTTGTCGTTGAGTCATGCCTTCGTTTTATATCCTCTACCGCTTTATGCCGCCATGCGGAACAGAACGGATTGTAGCAAAAAGGTTCGGCCGTTTTGATCTCACTTTCGAACACAGCGTCGCAAGGAATAAATGACTTAGGATACCTCCTCAATCTTTGGTTTGGAGGATTCTGGAGCGTCGTCTTCCAATGCAGGCATCTCGTCGTCGTCATCCTATAAGTCGACAGTTGTTAGTGTCAACCGTCACCGGCAATGCTTGGCTGAATACATACGGATTGCGCCTCTTCGGCAACATCTCCTTCTAGCTCAGAGAGGTCGCCGCCGCCCAGTTTGGAGAAGTCGATGCCACCGAGCCCGCCTGTCATATTTGAAAAGTCGTCTTCCTTGGCTTCCTCTTGCTCGTCTTCATCGACCCACTGTAAAGATAGACGCGGGTTAGGAAAAAGTCTCAAGACCAAATCAAGTCGCTAGCATGACCTTGATTCATACCTTGTCGAAATCGGTTTTAACGAAGTGCACTTTCTTGCTTTCTTTTAGCAGGCGTGGCCAGAATTCTTGCTTCACCTCCTTCTTTCGAAGCACCAAATCGACTCCACGAGCTGAATGATGCCGCTTTGAGTTTGCGACGTCAATCTCGGCATACAATTCCAAATCGACCTTGTAATCTATGTTCTTTGTCGACGAATGTCCGCTAAAGGATACAGTCGTGGGAGTGACGTCGAGCTTGGCTGAAGATTCAGGCACATCGGGAACGGCAAGCGAGAGATAGATGATGTTCTTAGCAGGTTCAGTTTCGGAGGAGCGCTGGGCCCAGAGAACTGTATGGAGTTAGCGCCTTTGCCCGCTTCAATTAAAAACGTAACTGTTGATTGAAGGCTAAAGCAGTTTATTCTGCGCCTTGTGAGCTGCCCTGAGACCGATGCGGCAAGCGGCAGAGGCGTATGTAGCTTCAGTGCCCTGGTAACCATGGTCGCTCGCGCTTCAGCATAGCAGGAGGATTCCCCTCACCTTCTGGAACTTGAGTGCTAGCCATTGCGATGTTGCTATGACGGCCGAAGATAAGCTGCAGGTTGAGAAAAGGTAAGATAAGGAACGAGATCAAAGATGAACTACGAAGCACAGGCGTCGGTGTTGTTGCCGGAGCAGAGGCGAGAAGGCCAGAAGAGGGATGCTTTTGACGGTTGGCTGGCGGCTTAGAAGCTGCTGGAAGCCGGCAGAGCGCACAGGCCACGTGGGTTTGCCCTGTTTGCTGGCTGACTAAACTGATTGGCCGCCGCTGATAAGATAACCACCCAGCCCCGGACGTGACGATGATGCCTTCTCGCGCGGCATTGAGGGAGAGAGAAATTCCAGACTGGACGAGAGATTTAACAGCTTGCCCCGTCCAAGTGTCCACTTATTACATTGTCCTTTGTCTCCATTCTCTATTTGACCCTGCCGCTCTACTCTCGCTATCTTCCCCCCTTATTTTAGTACGCCATTGCAGCCGAAATTTCCCGCCCCCCGGGGCGCAGAGTTGTCCCGAAGAACATATTCTCATAAACAAGCACCTGACCTGGCCATAGATTGTTGTTTGGAAGGCGATAAATTGTCCCCTTTAGCCTGGGGCTGTCTGCTAGCATGGAGACTCTTAAAGCGGTGTTCTTCAAGCCGGACCCGGCGGCCCAGGTACAACCAAGCCACACGCCATCTCCCCATCAAAACCTCCGCTAATCATTAATGTACAATCTTAGATGAGAAAATGTAACGCTTTAATTCGTGGTAATACTCGAAAATTGGACCGCGATATCGCGCAGCTCAAAGCCCTTGATATAAAGACGAAGCAGTTCATTGTCGCCGCCTCCCGCAGGGCACAACGGAACCCAGCACGGGCTAGCCAAGCAGCCCAGGAAATGAGGATATTCGCCAAAGAATTGATCAGGATTCGAAAACAAAGCGCACGCTTGAACACCAGCAAGGCGCAGCTGGAAAGCGTGAGAATGCAGGTCAACGAAGCCTTCGCCGTAAGGAAGATTGAAGGCAGTCTGAGGACGTCCACAGGGATTATGAAAGACGTCAATACGTTGGTCAGGTTGCCACAGTTATCAGAAACAATGCGGCAGTTAAGTGAGTCAAACGTTCCAGTCCGCAGATGACAAGGGGAACTAATTATGTGCAGGTCTGGAACTGGTCAAGGCCGGCATAATTGAAGAGAGTATAGATGATGCACTCCCAGACGACCAACTGCTGGAGGGCGAAGAAGAAGCAGCCGATGCGGAAGTGGATAAGGTGCTGCAGGAGATCTTGCAGGGCAAGCTTGCCAAGGTCGAGGGCCCGAGAGTGGAGGAGCCGCTGGAAGAACCAGCCGAGGAGGGGTTCGAAGACCAAGAAGCTACCCTCGAACAGATGCGTGGACGTCTGGAAGCTTTGAAGAGCTAATAATATGTCGCCCGGCCCCTCAACCTGTTCCATTTACGACTTGCATGTGAGGCGAGCGCCTTCCGTTGTATACTTGCTCATTGTGCGCTGAATTATATCTATGTCGAACACGACATTATGTGTCTACGGCTTTACGGAGTACTAATATACTGTTTGGAGTTGGTATTTTGCTGGCTTGATTGTTTATGCTGCGGGGTTTGTATGCATGAAGGTTAGGGGATATTGGCGTGGTTTACGGAGGAATGCGCCAGGTTTTATAGCACATGACAAATAACTATTCTACGGTCCGCGAAGCTCCTAATACTTAGAGCTACCATTCCAGCACCGCAGCCATAGCGTCCGTCAACCCAAAAGAACGAATTAATCAACTTTCTTTGGGCCACCCATTCTGCAAAATGGAACTCTCATCCACAACCAAGCCTAATATAATAAGCCTCTACTGTAGGGTGGAAAGAAAAATAGGATGAAAACATAAAGATAAAAACGAAAAAGAAAAAGAAATAAAAAAAGTCAAGAATTGGAATGATCGACGCAGGGTTCGAACCTGCGATTTTCCGCGGTACATGAATGTAAAGCGGACGCCTTGACCACTGGGCCAGTCGATCTTCACCTCATAAAATTCGCCGCCGACTTTTTATCACTGCTTATGCAAACATGTCGCAGGATTCGAGAGGTACTTCGCCTATTTTTACCATAATAGCTTGACCTACAGAGTACTCCGGTGTATGTATAACATATATCATTACACAGTAATTCCGAGAGATCAGAACTCCCCATTTCTCTCAGCGCCGGATTGACTGTCCGCTGGTAGTGCTGCTGTTATCGCCGCAAGCAACAACGGCCGAAGCCAAAAATAGCGCTGAGATAAGCCGGAGCTTGGCGCCCAAAGCGGGCTAGCGCCGGATGGACTGAAGGGCTTTCTTTGACGCCCTCCAAGGCAGCCTCTGCCTCTTCCCTTCTCCTTCAGACCGACTGCATCGCCAGACGCCCGTCTGCTCATTCACCGCCGCTGCTACTTTCACTTCTTCGCCCATCTCCGATCACCCAAGAGCCGACTCGAACATCCTATTTGTTGTCTTCTTTGCTCTCCATTACTCCATCGTCGTCTCCTCGCCACATATCTGCACTTTTCTCCGTCGCGTCATCAACAACAAAACATCGAAACAACCCGCCGTCGAAAGCCCATCGCATACTATCACCCCGTACCTTGATAGCTATCCAATACATCATAAACTCGTCAATCAGTCACCATGTCTGGAAAACTTGACACATCTCTTGATGAAATCATCAATACCACCCGTGCTTCGCGCCGCCAGCGTCGCCGTGACTCCAGATCCACAAGAGGCAAAGCTGCCTCAGCTCCTGTTGGAGGTGTCAGAAAGCCGGCCCGCCAAGCCAAGGCTGCTGCAAAAGCCATCCCTACTGCACCGTCCACAGGAACGGGCGAGAGCAAAATCATCGTGAGCGGCTTGGTATGTGCTCTACCCTCTCCTCCCAGGCGCATTCGGGGATACGCAGTGATACTAATATCTAACAGCCCTCCGATGTCAATGAAGCGAATATCAAGGTATGTTGAACAGAGGCGCTCTCTGGGTTTCGTTCGCGAATGTCCGTTTTCAATCTCTCTTCGGTATTACGATCGAAAGCGTCGCTTTTCTTCACCACTGGTCATAATACACTGCAATTACGATTGCTGTGGACGATCCGTGTATATTCGTGTGCACATCGTTGGCATTACAAGACAGTTGGCACCTCCATCAACTTTTGCTCGCCCGGTTAAGGCCTGATGCAAAGCTAGTCCCGGAGTTGAGCCCTGTCATCAACATGCAGATGTCTGGACATGCCCTGTCCTCCTGCCCGCGCAGCGACATCCGTACAGTCGGTCTACAAGCTGCACGTCATCCCAGCCACTTGAAGGATCAAAAACTCTTCTTGGCTACGTTTTGAAAGCATTCCTTTGCTTGCGGAGGTGTTGAGAATCAGCGAGCGCAGCAGTGAGAGCAGCATAGCACCCCCTAAAACTCTGGCAACTTGTGGTTGGCCCACGCCTATCCATGTCCGATGAGAGACGAGCGCCCTACTGGTAAACGAACCTGAAGACGGCCTTATCGTCATCGCTCTCAGCCTTAGGCAGAGATAATAATTCGACTCACGCCATCTTCCTCCTTTTCAAAAGCGACGGTCTGGCTTTGTTGAGCATATGCGGTGCATATCGCCCCCTACTTCCAATGTAGGGGTCTATGTTTTCGGGTGGGAAATGGTATAATTTGGAGTGGGTGCCCAAGAGAATTGGGTGGTTCGGGAGGTTGAGAAATCGTGCGTTGCCTCGAGCTATTGGGTTCGCGTAGCATGAAGATCGGAATGGGAAGAGGACCAGGGAAAATCCTTCTGTCCTCTCCGCAGCGATGGTCGCTACTACTTACTAATGCTGTTATTGCTCTGTGCTCGCTGATCCACGGTGCCTTTTTGCTGGCGGTCTACTGCTTAAATTGGATTCTTTTACTGTTCTCGGTCGCGTCTGCATCGGAATGGAATTCAAGACGCCTTTTACTGATGTGGCTTCGAAATAGGAATACTTCCACCAATCCGCTGGACCGGTTAAAAAGGTCATGGTCACTTACAACCAGAATGGCACTAGCCGTGGTATTGCCTCGATTACTTTTGCTCGCCCAGACACCGCTGCCAAAGCTGCCAAGGAGCTCAATGGCTTATTGATTGACAAACGCCCGATCAAGGTACGTCTTAAGATCTCACAAGTTTGCATGCACCATTGGCTGACAGTGATCAATAGATTGAAGTTGTAGTCGACGCTGCCCGGGCTCCCCCGGTTCCTCCCGTCAAGCCACTCGGTGAACGTGTTGTGTACGTAGAAACAATCCTTTCCCTGTGACGGAGCATATCTAATAGACCCCAGCCTCCCAAAGGCCCAGCCTAAGCCTGTATCCGCTGCAAAGTCCGGCAGACGTGATCCCCGCGGACGTACACGACGTGGTCGTAACGCCAATCGCCCGAAGCCAAAAACTGCCGCCGAGTTGGATGCTGAGATGGCGGATTATTTCGAGGCCTCTGAGGCCGCCGGTGCGCCAACAAATGGAACTGCCCAGCCGGCAGCGAACAATGAAGATATGGGCATGGATGAGATTTCTGTAGGTCACCGCGTTCTATAAAGACATAACTCTTGGCTGACGATCGTGGTACAGTAAATCCAGTTCAGTTAACGGTCGACGGAGAAGAACGCGCATTTGTACTTTTACTTTCTCGGTCGGCGACTCGCCAGTTCAATGACTCGCTCTTTCGTGAACTCCGAACCTCTTCACGTTTTCCGCAAGAGGAGTCGTTGATCTACGGCATCAACAAGCGACTTTCCTTTCTTCCTTTACCCTTCCAGATTGTTTAATCGTTTCTTGCAACCTTTAATTCAATGGCTATGCTGGGCGTTTGGATTTCAAGAATGGTTTCTTTACTATTAGTGATATAACATTCAAAAAAAAAATATTCCCAGTTGCAGATTGTCAGAGCCTTTGTGCGAAGTGCACTTCTCTTGTGATCGAAGGGTCGGACGGTCGGGGAGCTGGTAGATCGGGGGCCTTTGGGGGGACTTTCGCATTCAGTTTCTTATTTCCTTTGTAGCGTGAGCGTAGCATGGGGCTCAATTCTAGGTAAATTAGGCGTTTCGGACGGACCTTTGCTTATTGAGTAGTGTCATCTGGATTATTTTATGTTCTCAAGCAGTCAGCACAGTAAAAGCCAGAATCGCAAATGAGACCAGATCTCAGGTAAACAGGCAAAATATAAAAGTGTAGAGCACAAGACCGCGGTGATGGTTTCACGACCTCCATGTCGTACACGTCGCTGTCGTAATGTGAGAGAGCCCCATAGGAGATTAATGGTCAATCAGCTGGCAATTATGGCAATTGTGGCATGATGGATGGTATTCATCACTGACTACATTGTAGGGATGCGATGCTAAGAACAATCGATAGACAAGAGGCGGTGAGAAGGACCCGACACAATGGTGATTGAAACATCAAACCGGAGATGCTGGGGAGATGCATGGAAGACCCGACGCGGTGGAACAATCAACTATTCAAATATCAAAGGGGGCCAATTGCGGAGGTGGCGAGGAGATCATAATTACTTTGCACGTAGCCTACTTTCTTTTACAGACAAAAAACAAGAACTAGCTTAGTGCGCAAGGTACCCGACAGAGTGGGAATATAGCTCGTGCGTTTCCTTGGGCTTCCTGCTAGACTACGAGACTGGGGGGAGGGGTTTGCAGCGACTAGGTCAATGGCGAGGGGAAAATAAGGGTATCTGACGGGAGGGATCACAGACCAGAAAACCAGATATCAATGGGCTTTGACGTGGAAATGGGGGAGGGAGGCGAACAGGGTGGCCAGACGATGAGAAATCAAGGAGTGCGGGGTAGAGCATAAAGAAAAAGGGACCCGATAGCATAGGAAATATCTCGCGTCCAACATGGGTTGGACAGAGAGGATCGAGCGAGATCAGGTTGTCGAGAGTGGCGATACGTCGCAATCAAGCATATAGGTGTGGACGAAAATATGAGGCCGGTGTGTGGGTGAGTCCGACGGTGTGGATTAATGTCTTTGTTGAATCATAACTGTCCAGATCCTCACTGCGGGCAGATGACCAGATCGGACATGTTCATCCAGTTTGCACATTAACCAGCTAGTCAGCGGTGATGGAGGAGGTCGACGGGGTGGCGCCATCGAGATGCAAAAGAGATCATCATCAAGTAATAGTGCGAACTGGTCTGGAACATATACATATGCACAGACAACTCATTGTAATATGTGCTTCAGCAAATTATCGGCGGTCGAGAACGTCCATAATAGGCAGATCATGTTATCTATCACAACTCCAACGCCCCAGACAACCCCCGATCGACTCCTTCGCCCTACCTACGCACAGACTCCATCCCCCAGATCTCCGCGCAAACTCAATCGATATACGACGCCACCCTATCCAAGGTGTAGAATATGAGAACAAACAGGGAAAAAACGAATGCAGGAAAATAGCACAAAGCTTGGGCAAATGATTCTCCGCGCCACCCCACCAGGATTTACCTCTCGATCAGTGGCGTCGCCAGGCCACGAAGAAAGCAAATCTTGTGGAACACGGACGGGCAGACCCGAGGGGGTGGATGTCAAAAAGCGTACTCAACAGAGGTCTCGAAGAGCTGTATGCGGCCTCTGGCTGGCCCTCTCAAGTCTGGAGAGTTTGGAGGGCTGGCGTTAGTTTGTCAGGACCGGTACATCGGCAGCCTTGGTTGGGTTGTACATGCCCAAGATTGCTTGTACCTCCCAGATAGAAAGACGGGGGAGCTGCATGGGATCGCACCGCGTGTGTATTTGACATCAACACGCGTTATCGTCCAAGCTTCAAGCCTTGCCGTGAAGTTCGAGAACGCATATGACGTAAATCAAGGGTCGTTCAAAGGTCAACACACGTCAGTACCGGCTTCCGTATCATTTGCACCATATACTAACGTAAGGGGGTCATGTAAAAAGAGAGAAAACCAGACAGGCATAGCTCGGCGACTATGCTCATATACTAAGCTTTCCAAAAGTTGGAAAGATCACTGCACACCCAGAGTTCGATGTGAAGAGCAAACTCGAGTTGAGGCTAAAGAGAATGTCGACTTGGTGAAGACCTCGATGATTTTACAGATCTTTGACCTTGTGATAACAGTCCTCTGTTAGCACTGGTTCCTATCACCGAGCGCGATTCCTCTCAAACCATCGCATCGTGGTCCTTTTCCTCTTGTTCAAAAACATTTCAGGGCTCAACTATGCTTCTCGCGAAGCGTTTGGAATACTGTCGATGTGTATTGGAGGTTGTGCTGCCGGGCTGTGTGATATTGTAAGTCACTGGCATGACCACGTGCTGCATCCTCAGTGCGTATTATGTCAATTACCACAGAATCGGGGGATAATCCAAGAGGCAAGGCAGAGTTCCAAGGCTTCCGGAGATGAAACCAACAAGATACAGATCACTTGTATGTAACTACATATCTGCGATCAATAACTTATGAGAATCCATCACAGAGAAACGTGTGGGCTTCATAGGCAAGAAAAATTTTTGAATCGATTGGACATTCGCAGCCCATATCGTTTTCAAAACAAAGGGGCCATCTGGTTGCAATTCACAGTTGGTGCATCCTCCGGAGTTTCCCACTCTGGTCGAGGAGCCGGGAACCCCTCGTGTTCCGGGTAAAGAGTCCCGTTCGTCTACCTGTGCCAGATGAGGAACGATAGGAGACTTGTGTGATCGTATCCTAAATTAACTATCGGTCTGTGGCTTCGCAATTTTCCTTGAAACAAAGATTGTTTTCCTTTTTTTGTTCATGAGGAATCAAAAATATCATCACAACGCCCCTTGCACACCGCAGTGGCGAGACAAGGTCCTTCAGCACAGCTGGGGTATGTAGAGTGGATGTTGGAACCTTTTCTGTGACGAGAAATCCAGCTCCATGGACCTCCGTGGAGAAATTGCCTGGAGAGCCGCGCGGGATGACAGAGGATGATACTCCATGTCGAGTGTTCAGTGATCGTTTTGCTTCTTTGCAAGATGCCTCGACCATCCCTCGTCGAGTCCAGAGCAGGCCAGGCAAACCGTTGGGCATCCTGCGGGATAAGGGAGGATATTCAAGGCAACGAGCGGGGGGAGTGGGATGCGAGCGAGGACCCCAGGAGGAGAGTGATGGCGAGAAGACACATCACGTTGAGATGTGATGCATCCATGTGCCTCGGGCCACGACGCCCATTCGATCACATCCATGTCCAGGGCAGAAAAAAAGGGCGCCGAATCTGCTGCGTAAATGCGCCTGTTACGCGCCCTGACGAGCCGTGGATTGTGATTTGTCCGGATGTGGAATATTACACCCGTTTACAAGGGGGATTACCGCTTCTCTGTGAATTATACGGATTTTCATTGGCTGAATTATGAGAAAATCAGCGAATCAGGTTAAATCCCGGGGCCCGGCGGAGGGGAAGGAACAAAAACGCGGGCGAATTCCGAAAAGAAAGACAAAAACGCAAAACACAAGCCAAAACAAAACAAACCCCGGCAGCAGCAAGCAGTAAGCAGTAAGCAACAGGCATAGTTTGCCCGATAGCAAAGGCGATGAGGTCAAACCCCTCGATCTGACGAATCCCACACCGCAATGCACGCAACTCCTGTTGAACTATCACAATCGATCGATCAGGCCGGTGTGCATACTGCGCTCTCCCAGCACCCGAACAATGGGGATTTGGCCCACCGAAGCCATCCCCGTCGCGTCGCAGCGCCAGCTCCATGCCCAACTGAGCAAAAATATACCGAGAATGCCGACTAACCCCCACCTCCACAGCGCGCCGCTCCTTGAAGCAAAAAGTAAAAATGAAAAGAAAAAAAAGGGGGATTGATGCCGAAGAAACTAGTAGCCTGCGGAACCCCCCATCCGCCGACGGCGTGTTCCAACACCATGGCTAGTGGGCGGTTAGCGAGTTAAGCGTGAGGGGTTGTCCGGGATCTCGGGTTACCCCAAATTGCTTGACCTTGGGCATACGGAGCGAGGAACAGAAGCGCGCACTAGTGGACAAGTGAGGGGTGGAGGGAAAGGGCCTGGCCCCCTTTTGAGCTTCAACTGCCGTTTTTGGACGATTGACGGCAAGCATGATGGCACTGCGTGTGGTTAGTCCCCGAACCGTTGGAAGACGAGGGAGGGAGTGAGAGTCCGTCGAGGGGACGAGAGAGCAACCAGCAGATCGATGCCAATAGTCTTGATTGTCCTTGGGTTCGGGGGGAATGGCAAAGACGATTGAGCGAGCAGATCGGGTGCCGAAGACATCCCCGATTCCAGTCCAGACCGCTCGAAGAGTCGAGGGCTCGGACAACGTCAAATTGAATAGACTCGCATAAGTCAAGGCCGCATACATAGCACAATTTGCCACGATGCTTTCGCTTCCGCCTCTGGCTGCCCTTGAACTCAATTACCCCAGAACGTTCCGAAGGTTGATTCTGCAAGCCCCAAAGGGCTGATGGGCATCTCGCATATTTTAAGAAACTCCTAATCGGGGTAAGATATTCGACGTAAACTTCCGGGAGGCATCCTCCCTCCTTTCCGCTGCCCAAGAACCGCATCCCTGGAGCGAGCCGCGCGTGTGCACCTTGCCTGAAATAGCAAAGTGCGGTGGGGATGGTGTGGTCTGGGCGGCGCAGGAACAATGCAAGCTGTGCAGGGCGGAGACTGCAGAACTCAGGGGGAGGCGAATAACTGGACGGATCCTGCACCTACATACGCTCCATGCCCTGAACCAGGTTGTTGGATTTTGAGCTCAGATGGAGATCTGGATATGTCCGATTGTGCGTGTGAAATATCAGATAAACACTCTTCGTATGAAGGAGAAATATGAAATAGTACCCACGGGGAGAAAGGACTCGAACAAAAGAGAGAGAGTCGAGCTAGGGGAATTCCCCAGCATGCTCCGGCTAGTGAGTTGAGGAGTCAGACATCGCTGATCTTCCAGCCTGCGCTGACTCCTACGATCGTCAAGATGGCCGGGGACAGGGCTCTTTGGTTTATACTGGGGTCTACGGAGTATTATGCGTCCAAGAACAACTGCCGTCCTGCTATCACGGGCACTGCCTCGACATGGAAGTTGAACAGGGCTCAGAGGCATACCAAGTAAACTACTCCATATTATTGCTATTATTATGATGATTATGGAGGTACTCAGTAGTATGGGCTTTCTCCTGTCTGATGGGTTGTCGCGTTGGGGCGACCGTTTTCCCCCCTTTTCGACGTTGGTTCTAGAAGACTAGTGGGTGCGGTCGGGATAAACTCGGCGTCTCCTGACGCCGCCACAAGAAATGAAGACCGCCAACTCACCAAGGCACCCCCATGTCTTGATGTTCTGACAGTGTGGATGAATTCTCCGTCCTGCGAATAACAACCAACGTCCTGTGGTATGTACTCCGTAGATGGAATGTAAACCGGCCAGAGAATGCGCGAAAAAATAATAAGCCGACGGAAAATTAAAAAATTAAAAAATTAACATGACAAGGGTGGGATTCGAACCCACGCGGTTTCCCATTGGTGATATATTACCTAAAACCAACGCCATAACCACTCGGCCACCTTGCCCTTACAGGTTATGTAATAACCTGGGCCCTGCAAAGTATTTCTTACATTGGAAGCTACACAGGCGCCGCACATTCGGTTATCCTTTTTTTTCCCGCTGCTGCTTTCAAGCTTTGGCAAGCGGTGTGGGCCTCTTTGAGTCCCATCAAAACCATCGACGATTGTTTGGTTTACACACACACACACACACAGACACAGACACAGACACAACGGAGCACAGAGCATTGCTATATTGAAGAGCCAGATCATTCACCAGTCATGGAGAATGACCGAAGGTGCGAAACGAGGGGCCCATCTGGTTGCTTTTTTGGTGTCGGCTCCATCATGCCGCGGGATCGCTGACCCGGACGGTTGGCGGGAGGAGACAGAAGCTGCCCAATGAGGCTAGTGTGGGTGGGCACCAAGGCTCCATAATCCAGCGGGAGGGCCGGGTCGTGAAGATGGGCGGCGTGGCCCTCGGAGTTGGGAGGGAGTGAGTGGGCGAGCAGCCATGACGAGTCTGAACAGAGACTTGGGGGGGGGGGGGGGGGGGGGGAGGGGAAGTGAAAAACATGTGTTCGCCTTGCTGGAGTTTCTCTATGGGAGAAGAGTGCTTGGGGTGAGACTACACTTCCAGTCGTTACAGGCCATCGTTGACACGTGCTGCCAGAATGAATGCCCAAGTTCCCAAGGCAGACAGCTAGACAGCCAGAAGAGCTGTCACGAGCTCCTTATTTCCCGCGAGGGAGAGCATCCTATTAGCCGGAAGGTTGTGTGAGGGTGAAACCGGAATAACGACACGGTCTCCCTTCATCAGAAGCCAAAATGGAAAAAGTAATTCATTTACCCGCTGGGCTACGCTGCTCGTTCTCCTTTCTTTTCGGCTCCACTCCTTAGCTTCCCACGATGACGGTTCCAGCCCAGCGGTGGATTCCCGCCTCTTCTTCCAGCTCTCGGACCCATGTCTTCGTCCCGCCCGTGCGGATTCCCGAGGTTACTAGTCAGCCATGAGCAGCTCTCCAAGTCGCGGAAGCAGGTCCCGTAGCAAATAACCCAAATAAAAAAAGTGGATTCAAGGTCCAGCTATGCGAGAAGCTTACTCGCCGTTGGGTGATCACAATCCGGCGATGAATTCCAAGGGACCGGAAACTGTTGCAAAGTCAAAAGGGATCGGTGGGACTGTTCCCTTGTGGATGTTTCTTCGGCCAGAAGGGTGTTATTTAAAAGGGACCAGAGTCCGCTCAGCAGAGCGTGAAGAACCTTCTGTTATTATGACTAGGTCATCAACATACTCTGTTTGGAAGTCGATGTAGTACATTCGCTACAAAAAAAAAAAAGAGTTTGTCACACTCCTGTCATTCGCTTGTTACATCTGCCATAACACCCTCCCCCAAATCGTGAAACATTCCAGACCACGTTTCGACACTTCACCAGCACCACGAAAACATCGCGTCTGTCAATTCTGCCGACGTGGAAATCAAAGCCAAACACAGACGCGAGGCCTGATAGCGCGACGTCACCGCCTTTCTACTTTTGTTGCGTGTGCGGAGAAACCGAGTCGACCACCACGAACTCCGACGTCCAATCCAATCGTCGCCAGCAGTTGAAACGCGGACAGCGTGGGGAGAGAGCCGACACTAAGGTCGGGGAAGCGATATTTCCCCTCCGTATTTTGCTTTTTTTTCTTTGCTGTCTCTCTCGCCCTCTTCAAAAGCCGCCTTATCGATTAGGTTGGGTATCTGGCCCCAGCGATTGGGCGACATCGCTCGAGTCGAGAACCACCGCCATCCCACTCAGAGGCCCAATCCGATCCCACACGCCTGAAGCATCGATTCCCATTCGTCGGAAGTGTCGGTGTGCCTTGTCATTTCGACAGCAACAGGTATGTGTGTGTTTTTTTTTTTTCTTATTGACCCTGACTCACTTTGGTACCCTCTCGCGTGTCAAGTTACTTGTATGGAGAGGGGGTGGATGTATCTCTGAATTTTAAACACAAGCTATCGGCAACCATTAACCAGAGACTCACACTTTTCACAGACACAAAGGGGCTAAATTCCAACTTCGCCTGAATCTTCCGCCGCGTTGGTTGGTCTTAGTCACCAAAGTAAACCAGTATCCGCACTTTGCAGAGACTTTGGATCTCCAAGGTACCGGAACGTGCAAAGGACAAAGAGAAGCCCAACCACAACAAACAACGCATTCAGGCAAGAAACAAATCGCCCGTGAGGCCCCAGAGGTATAAGAATAGGAGGCCAACAGCTCGTTTGCACCCCCGCATCTCCGCTCTTTCATACATCATACATTGCATTCCAAAGAAACATACTGTCAATTATTATCATTATTATCACGCCGATATTCTCGATCATATAACTCCATACTGATCGACACGGTGCCCTTTTTGGCCTGCATAACTCTCCACCACATTTTATTTTACGCCATCGGACACAATTCCGACACCTAGCCTGGACCTTAAGTACCAAGCAGACCGATCAGAAACACTAAGGCGTCTTGACATCAACGACTCAGAAACAAAGCGTCGAATCATATCCAGCCATTTCCACTACCCCGACTACGGAGATTCATATCCTGTCGGTGAAAGGAAGCACGAAATTCGCAATCGAACGAAAATCAAAGGACTCTTAAAATTAACAAGAAGTCCTTTTCCTGAAATTATCTTCTTACATCCCTGCACCGGGGGAAGAGAAAGAAAAAGAAAATTATCTTCAGCTCTGACGGCACCTCCACTGTGCAACGGCAACCGACTCATTTCTACTACTTCGCCCATTCAAGAATCTGGGGTTTACCTGTGCTCGTGGATTGGGCACAGTGTCTTGATCCAGTGACAAAGCCAGCGTCGAGCGTGGCATTCTGATTTGCGACCAACAAATCTTTCTTGGCCCGTGACAACTTCACAGGGCTCGCCCTCACTGACGTGTGACTGGTGCGAAGGCAAAGAAAGAAAGAAAACCAGAAAAGGCGGGCTGACTAGTCAGTTCCAGTCTGGGCCCTGCGACCGACCCAACAGCCGAAACAACGCCAACCGGTGGTCGGAGCACGCAGCAGAGAAGTAAGAGAGAAAAAAAAATAAATACGGTGTGCACACGCTAAGCTCCAATTCGATCCTTTGTGACGCCCCGGACTCGGCGGACCGTTCCATGATCCTCTACTTTTCGCGTGTGCCACCCCCGACTTTTTACTAAATTTACTCCGTGCACTATATTATTTACCCCCATCCCACTCAGCTCCGACGCAATCCACCGCTTCATTGTTTCCTTCCACACACACCCAAACTTCTATTTTTCTCCTCTGGGGATAAATCCGTCTGGACTTCCTTTATCTCCAACCCTGCAGCACAGGCAACAACCTTACTGCAAAGTTTCCGGACTTGCTATTTTTCCTTGGATGTGTTGGGTTGTTTGCTACTCTGTGACACCCCCAAATTCAGCTTATACTCCGACCCGACAACGAAACAAAAGTTGCTGTGCCCTTTACTCCGTTTGCCTCTCTTACCTTTATTTAGCTCCTGGCGTGCGATATATATATATATATATATAATTATCCAGTCAGCTCAGAAGCTCCGTTTCCCTTCGATCCTTACAAACATTTCCAGTCACGACATACTACTACTACCAAGATGTGGTACGGCTACGGCTTCAGCAGCAGTGCTGCCTCTTCTCCATCACCCTCATCGCTCCCTCCACCACCTCCGCCACCATCTCCCAACGACTCCCTCCTCGACATCAGCCCCCGCAAGACATCCTTCTCCACGTCGTCTGGACGCAACACATCCTGCGCCTTCCCATCCTGGCCCAATCGATCCTCGCTCTTCTCAGACTCCGACGAGAGCGCCAGCGCGTTCCTGTCGGACGAGGATCTCTTCGTGGCCTCGACACCTGACTCGGTGCTCAGCAGCGACGACGACCTGTCGCTGCCGTCGAGCGCGTCGGATCTCACCACAGAACAGCAGATCGGCCTGATCCAAGCGGCACGCGAGAATGAGACGCAGGGGTTCTTCGCCCACGTTCAGGCGCACGCCCGGGCCCAGCAGGCCCTCCGGGTGGCCCAGCAGGCGATGGCAGCGCAGGCAGGAGCCAAGCGCAAGAAGCGACGCGTCGTCACAGACAAGAAACGCCGCGCTGGCTCGGCGTCCTCGTCGTCTTCATCCAAGGCGTCCTCCAAGGCCGTGTGAAACCGATTAACCGCGGTAACGATATTATACTCTTTCTTTTTTCAACATTGTTTCGCCCGATCTGGACGACGACACCTCGACTCGGAAGGTCAAAAAAAAGGAAAGCCGACGACTACTTTACTGCATGCGTTTGCAACACACGGTAGCCTCGGTCCATCGGCGGTGAGGCCTACAGACCAGAAAGGAAAAAAGAGCGTCACCCTCACCACCCTCTTTTTTTTTTAATTAAACTTTCAGCGGTAGGGCTGCGAACCCTGGCTCCGCATCCACCCGATGGAGGGAGAAAGCTTTTGGCGAACAAACAAGTAAAACAGCCACGGAAAAAGCGGTTGTCGCAACCCCACGTGAAAGTCAAATCAACCACGCGGAATCGCCACGAGAATACTTTTTTCTTATTATTGATGATTTTACGGACTTTTGCCGTTTTTCATCGATTCGGATGGAAGTCCAGCCAAAAAGAAAAAAAGCTTGAAAGGGAGGGAAACGACTTTGATCCGGAGCGAGAGTTCCAACCCCTCGACAGCCTCGGCTGTTATGCGATTCGCCGTTGGGGGGAAGACGGGGATTCTCATCTGCACCGTCCATCAGCCGCAAGATGACTCGACACACACACGCATACACACGCAAAAACAGTGTGTTACCTCTTTTTTTGATTTAGTGTTGACGGTTACTCCGGGACTCGTATTTGGCGCTGTGACAGGCGAAGAGTCGTGCTGTTCTGCATGTTCGTCGCGTGCGCCTCACCGACTCTGGGCGGCTGGCGGCGGAGCTGAGGAGGGAGAATGCTGAGTCAGCCAGCCAGCCAGCCAGCCTTTTCAGTCACCGCCTGTTGTTTGTCGTCGTTCCTTATTCGATTTTTGGCTCTCCATCATCGCTCGCTCGCTCTCCCTCGCACGTTACACCCGACAGACTCTTCCTCGCCCTATGAAATCTGGTTTTTTTTTTTTTTGTCGTGCATCCCGTTCCCTGTCTCCGACTCTTTTTTTTTTCTCCTCTTTGATCTTCTCGGGCTGCCCGACAGTTTCGATACCAAGTTTTTTATTATTATTATTTTCTATTTCGGAGTATCTTTTAACTGTTAGCCTATTTTTATCTTTACATTTTATTTATAATCTGCCCACCAATCGCATTATACCCATCTCGAGTCTTTGTCGTGTTCTCTTTTTAATTTTTTTTGAAAAAAATTCAGCGTTGCATGGCGAGGATCTTATTTACCGTCTGTTACTCCAGCATAGCGAGGTGGTGTTTGGGAAATTGGCATGCATTAACTACTACTACTACCACGATGGCATCGCAATTTCATTTTCTCTCGCACACACACATATATGCATGTTACATAGCGATATGGGGACCCGCAAAACTCGGCCCCCCGTCTATTCTTAGTTGATAGTCTTACAAATAGTTAACTACCCCCCCAAAAAAAAATAAATAAATAAAATAAAATAATCAACACAAAATCATTTTGATCTCTTCTTTCCTCTCCATCATCAAACAAAAGGGAAGGAGATGATGTCATCACCAGCCTTACCCGGAAGGGCCCCAGATGTATCGTTTCTGCCCAAGGCAGGCAGTAACTTCCTAAAACAATACTTCCCCACCTTCCCCCCCTTTGACATGACTCACAAAAAGCACACAACTCGTGAACCTTGTAACTTCAGTATCATTGATGCGTTCGACTCGAGGGGCTGGAACTTCTTGAAAGCCCCAGCGACACGCGGGCTCAACAACCAACAAACATGCATGCACGCACGCATGGACGGTCTGCCCTTCATCAAACTGAGACTTTCGAGTGTCACCGATAGATTGGACATACAAGATGAACCAACCCCACCCCCTTCAGGATTTCGCTTCATATTGAGTAGTAGATAATAGCAACATCTACATCTTCTGCGTGTAAAAAGGGGACCCCATGCCCAGACTGGGGGTTGTTTCGGGCTGCACAGCAAGTTAGCAACCTTTCATCCGGGCCGAAGGGATTCACTGCTCGCCCTACATCGCCACGGAGTGCATGGATATGCATAGAGTACATGATCAGATCAGGGTTGAGAGAGTGATAGAAGAGTTAAATTATCGGTTTCATGTTAGGATTGCCGTTGCTCGTTGAGGCTGTACTCAATTTTGATTCATAAATGTACTTTATAGATGAATGTGTGTAAGTATGTACCGAAAATGGCAGACTGTTCTAGTGGTGGTAGATTATTATTATTATTATTATTATTATTCATTATAGTCTTATGCAGTCAGTTAGTGGTGGTAGAGGCATGGTATGCAGACTGGATCTGTCTCTTGAATCGCTCACTGCCGCAGTTTCCCCTGTCTATAAGAAGGGGGGATGCCTATTCTGATCACTATCCTTTTCCTTTTTTTTTTTTTTAGTATGGGGACTCTGGCTTCTCCTGATGGGTGTAATCTAGGACGCCGGTGTAAAAAATATTTGATATCGAGTTTGACCCAGATGTGTGACCTCCAACACCCTGGAGTTTACTTCAGAGATACTAACAGGCTCCTCCCCACCCTCTTCGCAAATAAGTGGATGGGTTGTCGAGGAGAGATGTCGGTAGCTGTCAAGGCATGTTCCCGAGCTCCAGGCCCTCCAAAGCTCATTGTGCTTATCACTGCGGGACTCACAAAGATATCCCGTAATAATAAAAATTGGGGGAGAGAGAGAAGTGATGAAGGGATCTGAAAGACTTCACAAGTAAGACCCCGTCGCCGTGGTGCACTTCCCGGCATTCTGAGTGTTTGAATAAATAAACCCCCTCCCGCACTACAGCAACCATAATGCTGCTGTAGCCTCCAGAGGGTTATAAGTGCTCTTCTCTTCACGTTTTATACCCAGCACTCGGCGCACCAAGTTCCTAAGGATATGGAGGGGAGGCCTCCCTCATTCTCTCATTCCGACTCGGGGGAAAGGCAGACGCATGGAATCTCGGGCCCTACTGAAAATTTGAGAGTTACACTCGGTTTGAATAACACTGGAGTGCGACCAAAAAAAAGAAAAGAAAAGAAAGAGAAAGAGAAAGAAAGAGCCAAAGAAGACGGAAGGGGAAAAAAAAAAAAAAAAAAAAAAAAAAAAAAGAGAGCCGTCTACCGAGAGTCGATGCGAAGACCGTCCTCAGTTCGACAAAACCATTTACTCGTATGCAAGTTTTGGGTAACACAATCATTGAGATGATTGAGGACTAAGTATTTAAACAAGAAGGAACCATATCACGGGCGAATTTTTTTTGCGTTCGATCGTTTAGTTAATGGTTGTGATTGAAGGGTTATCTGTCCTTTGGCTTCTGTTAAAGTTGAGTTCCGGGATAGTAAAACCCAGCGTGCTAACCAGAAAGTGTGTATCATATTGTATAGCATCTTATACAATGAATTTGTCCGTGACTGCATGTAATGTCGTCACGCTCTTGTCGATCTTTTTCCGTAATGAATAGCTATGCTGCTGCCTCTGGCCGCGATCGGGGGGTAATGTGCGGAGCTTGGAGCCGACTGGCCATATGCGTATCGAGTTCGCGAGGGTGGCTGCCATACCAGCCATGCGTACACATGTTGCATCGCTTCGATTGGGGGATGGGCCATTGGATTCTGACGGGAATGGCGAACAAGAGGATTGGCTCATGTTCGCGCCGAATCAAGGTTCACCGTCACCACTCACATGAGACACAACGAACCAGCGAACCTGTGGATCTCCGAGGTCGAGAATGCATGAACGCTCGAGGCGCAATCCATAGAAAAAGAACGGCATCACAACGATCGAGGCGGGAAGATACTCATGTCCTGCATGTTCAGTATAGGTAACGGGCTCAGCGCGCAATCCGCCAGATAAAATCTGTACTTGCACGGGGGGTTACCGAGAACTCCATAACGTGGAGTCATTTTCACAGGTATGTGACAGGTTTCCACAGAGGAGTAGCCTTGATCAATGGGAGGTGGTGGAAGGAAAATCCCGCTTCCTGAGGATCCTGAGGACTCACGACGCTGATGGCGGCGGGTATGATCATGGTTTGACCATGTCCTCGTCAGGGGCACACTGGCAGTTCAACCGTGCGCTCGTAAGTGTGTGATTGAGTTGAGGGAAAAAGAGGGTAAGAAACATAAAAATTAGAGGAGGATGGGCGCTAACGACGACGTTATGTATAGCGATCACAGTGACGACGAGTCAAGCCCTGCAACGACTCGCTTACAGCGGGTGGTCGACCGGGTTGGCCCACAAAGGGCGAAAATCGTCACAAAAGGAGACGAAACTAACTACAGTATAGTCGCTGACTCCGGAGTTGCCCAGCTCACATTCCAGCACATCCGCTGATTGACATGCATGCCCGTGAAGAAGCGGGAAGCGGGAGGATCATGCATAAGCGCCGTCTTCAGCAGCATCTCGAGCGGTGAGTGCGGGATGAGAGTGGTGTCTGGACTCTGACAGAGAGTATTCACGACAAAAAAAGATTATTATCACTACGGAGGATACATCTGGAATTCTATTCTTGAGCAGCCTACGCCTCGAGTAAGAATAGCATGATGCTTTTCCTGCTCGATGCGAGTGGCACAGCCCGCGCAAGGGTTCTTCACCGTGACTGTGATTGAGGCGAAGCCGTCGACAAGGACCTCACACGGCGGCCCATCACCTTAGCACGACTTGCAACCTGTGATCATGGACAGCAGCTCTCCGTCGGGTTATCCTCTCTCTCTCGCGCTCACTCACTCACTCGCTCCCTCTGTTAACTCGCCTTCTGGGCCCTCTCTCTGTCTCGCGCACGCTCTCCCCTTTCGCGCCGCCAATTTCCCACATTGCGGCCTCGCCAGCCTCTCATCATCGAGCATCCCCATCGGCCAGATCACCATCACACTCTTGCGTGTGCTGATTGGCCTGCCCGCTGTGATGGCGGCTGCAGGGTGAAGAAACAACCCTTGACGCCGCCGGCCAATCCACGGCCGTGAGCCCGTTCAGCAGCACGGCGCTAGCTGCTCATCCTTGTCGGTCCAGAGGACGACCCCACGATGTCCTCTTCACCCAGCACGCCCGCCCCCGTGGCCAAGGAGGGCCCCCGAAGGGCTGCAGTCTGTAGTTAATTTCGTCTGTTTCAAACACCCGTCCAATCTGTGATGATGGATCGGCCCATCGAGCTCTTCTGCTCTCTCGTGCCGGTGGACGAGCACGTCCGGCTACGCTCTCATCTGATGACGACGTGCCGCTCGCACACTCGATAGTCGACCACAGTCTTACTTCGGGTTGCCGCCAATCGGTTGGCTGCACTGCATAGTCCATCTGATGCGATTTCGCTTGCACCCTTCTCCATTGGTGTCTCCGGCTTTGCAATGGACGAGATCCGTTCAGCCAAGGGACCCCTCAATCTAACGAACTGACCGTAGATACATCAAGCCATCTCTCGGCTATCCAAAGAATCCTAAGCACTGTGCGGGAGAGCTCTGTGCCTCCCCGCTCTTCGCTGCGGAAGTAATTGCTTTCTAAATCCCTTCCTCTCCCTTGCATGCCCCTTGAAAGACCCAGGGCACTGCAAAAGACTGCAGCTGTTCCTTTTCCTTCACTTTTATCCGTCTGTTCATCCATACTTGCATGCATGCATGCATATCCATACATGAACCGGCCCAAGGTGCATTTCTCCGTGCATGCATATCGCTGTTCTGAAAATAGTTTCCATTTTCACCGTATTAGCGCTCGCCCTGCTTTCGCTGCCCCTCTCACCCCATTCTCATATCCTTGTCGGCGCTTGCAAGGTCGCCGTTGAGCTATCAGTTTCCTTGCACACCAGCCACCATTTCGCTTCTCAACCGTCTTGTCGCCCTCCATTCGTCCTGACACTCCTTCTGTTATTTTATCTTCATCTCACGGCTCGCGACGAATCGTAGGGGGGCCACATTCTATCTCCTCATTCTTGGCCGGGCCGTTTGGCCTCTTCCTCGAAATCCTCTTCTTCCTTCTCTCCCCTCCCTTCCCTTCGACCATCTTCGCGCTCTGCTTTATGATCCCCGTACTCCGTTGTACATGTGTGCTGTGTACCGATTCCCCGACGATTGGGAGCCCCCGTTACAAGATTGTCTCTGCTGTACTTCCTCCTCTCCTCTTATCATACGTCTGGAATTGCTTTTTTCCCCTAACCCGCATTCTTGCTAGCCACATATATCTCCATTGACTCGGTAAATTACCGTCCGCATTCAAGCGCCGACCTCTTTCGCCGCCGGCCACTCTCGTCCCTTGTCTCTTCTCCCCCCCGGATCTTGCTGCATGGCCGCGACGTCCCGATATCTTGAACTTCTCTGACCTCATCGACCTAGAGGCCTGCGGGTTTCTTGAATCTAAGCGCCTGCTGCGCGGATTTGAGAAAGGTCAGAATTTTCCTGTTGGTGTCTCACCCGGCCGTAAGTCGGCCCATCTCATCCCTGTGATCTGCGTTCAATTTCTTCAGCCTTCTTTTGCCTATAGTTTCTGCTAGCTCCGTTGCGTCCTCACATCCGCTCTCTGTGGGATCTCTCAGACAAGCTGACAATTAAATGTAGAGATCGACGCACCTTAGGGGCTGCCTTAGCTGTCAGCATGTCTGCCGGGCACCTTGAGAGACAGAGGTCCATGTCCTCCAGTTCTCGCTCTGTCACCGCTGCGCTGATGCCGAGCCCTCCCCTTGAAATCAACAATGACTTCGAACCCTGTGCGGCGACGGCCTCTTCGTTCCTGTTTGCACAGGGTTCGACAATCCTAGTTTTACACCATGATACTCTTGCTGTTGACCGGAAATTCGACTTTCATACGGAAAATATCCTCTTCATCGCTGTCGACAACGTCAGCGAAAGTGGTGCCGGTCGACTGGTAGTGAGTTACGATACCAGCCAGACTGCGATCATATGGGACATTTTCACAGGCCAGGAGATTGCTCGCTTTGCTTCGTTCGAGCTCTTGCGTGTCGCTTCGTGGATGCGCAATGGGAACATTGCGTTTGGTGCGTATTAAAAAATACACCTTGTCATCCTGGTCGTCACTATATTAACACAGAGCGTGTCTAGGTGGCGTAAAGGGAGATATCATTCTCTTCGAACCTTCCACCTCGGAACATATATCTGCCAGAACCATATTCGACCCGATCACCGCCCTCGCTCCCGCAGCTGATTGCCGCTCCCATGCAATTGGGTACGTCAGCTCCTCCATACTGCAGAATCGTCTATTGACATTAGGCCCAGATACCATAATGGTTCAATATTAATAGCGACGCTCCAGCCCTTTACTATCTTGCACACGCTTAGTACCTCGAGAGGTCCGTCGCCGATTGTTTCATTGGCATGGCATGCCTCCTCGGCCAAGCAGAAGTCCGACATGCTGGCGTCTTTGGCAGTTGACGGAGACCTTCTCGTATGGAGTGTCTCTAAGCAACCGGTACAAGATGCACCTCGAGTAATAAGAACCTTGAGAAAATCGGAAACCGTGGGCATGAGCCCGAAATGGCTGGCTTGGTCCAAGAACGGTCGTATCGTCCAATATTCTGATGGGTAAGAAGTCTTCTACTCTCTATCTCGGAGCGATTTACTGACCATGTCTTCAAAATGGAAAGTGAGACATGGGCATGGGATGTGAGAACGAAGCAAGTAACCTACGAGCGTATCCCGACTATCGAAGGCGTTAAGAGTATGGCCAATTATGGCCCGACGGGGACGCTCTTCACGTTGGGACCCAACCACACCGTGCAACAGTATGATCTTCTTAATCCTATGATGGTTGCCAACGTTCAACACATCCCTGGGAACGCGACCTCGACACCCTCTGAGGGTTTGAATACTTCCATGCCCCTGCAAGCGGCTCTTGCCTCCTCTTCAGCAAACCAGGCACATCGGACGATCGAAGAACTGAGGCAGACCACTGGCAGTCCTCCGCTGCGCTCAACGCAACCCTTTGAGATGTCAGAGGCCAACCGAGCTGCATTACGGAGTCCAGACTCTCTGCGCAGTCGGCATCATCATCAACCTCGTTCTTCAAGAAGCCTTTACAGTGGCACGGCGACAACGTTTTCGACGAGTTCACCGGTGCAATCGGCCGCCGAAAGTGTTTATTCGTTGAGGTATGGCTCGTCTACATCAATTGTCTCAGGGGGATCTCTTCATGGAGGATCCCGGCTACGTAACGAATACCTTCCCAGCCCGGCCGACGAGCCTATCACAGAACTCTTCCCGCACACTCGCAGTCGTTTGAACGATGTGCCGTTTAGACCTCTACCTCGTTTCAACGAGTCAGAGTCGGATCCGGATGCCTTACGACGGCAGATGCTACATGTGGTATTCGGGTGGGAAGGCGACATCATGGACTTGTTGCAGGATGAAAGTAAGTCTCATAGACCGCGATATGCATATAGTAACGGTGGCTTACCTTTCCCTACCAGTACGACGCCATAGTCCCGGAGGCGAACATGCCGTGATTCTTGGTAGATGGCTTGGATACGTTGATTACGATGTCCTTGTGGGAATGGCGACCTCGCCAACGTCACGATATTCTGGCTGGATGCTACTCGCCCTGAGCACATTGAACGGTCAGCATGAGACGAAAAAGATGGGACACGCCTTTGTGCAGATATTACTAGCGAGAAGCGATATCCACGCTGCGGTTGCGTTGTTGATTGGCATGGGTGATGGCAACGACGGTATTGAGGTTTATGTCGCGAGGAATATGTACATGGAGGCCATTCTTTTGACCTGTCTTCTGATGCCCACTGAATGGTCCAGGCAATCGTACCTCGTTCGTCGATGGGGCGAGTTTGTCGTCCAGAATTCTCAACAGCACCTGGCAATACGGTGTTTCTCCTGCTCTGACTCCGACAATAATGGGAACTGGGGCTCTCCATCAATGCAAATGACGAACATCCTCTCAAATCAACTCGCGAGCAGGTCCTCGAGTCCACCGCCGATGATTGTCCAACCCTCGGCCCCGGCCAATTTATCAACTGGCTCATCTCGCCCTGCTGCTAAAAATCAGGCATTGAAGCTAATTACATCCTTCGGCCCCGATGCCCCATCCTTTAAATTCCCAGGTCTACAGTCCGCAGATCGCACACCGACCAATATGCCCGGCATCACTCCTATTGATTCCGCCATGGGAGATTCCATCATGTCTCCCGGCAGCTTTACTTCGTATAAACAGAAGTCCGGTCGATCGAGTCTCTCCGCACGAGCCATTACTCCTGGGAGTCATGGAAATCGCCTTCCGTCCATCGGAGAAACGCCTACCGATGTAAACCCGCCGACCTTGAGCGTACCGAAGTCTTTGCCGACACCCGACCACTCCGGCTCGGAGAAGGAAAAAGAAAGCAATGTTAATACTGCCCAAAATCAGCCTGTACAACAAGAGCCGGTTCTATTCCTATCTTCTGCCCGATATACTCCTCAAAACGAGCCTACAGAACAAGAACCAAAAGCAAGCATTCCGGATGACGGAAATCTCACTGCTAGACCAAGTTCAAAAGCGGATTCTCTGCCGGATATGCTAGTGGCTTCTCGAAATGGCTCGAGGGATCGGAAACCTGAAGGGTTGCACATTAAATGGCCTCCGGTCTATTCACCGAGGGACGTCGAGCCCAGTTCGGGGGGATCTCTTCCCTCCCTCGCGTCCTCGCTACAGCAGCGAGAAACAAGCAGTGCGGCTGGAGCTACCCCGACATGGACTATTGACAGTGCCAGATCTTTCGCCACTGGGAGCGCGAGTGGGAGAAGTGTTAACGAATACATCAGCAGCTTAGACGCGGCATCCTACTACTCGCACAAGGGAGGTGATCAAAGCTCTAAAAGTCATAAAAAGTCTAAGGAATCCCGGGGCAGGAGCAAACAGCGCTATATTCAACCAGCTAAACGATCTCCCTCATCGCCTGTTCCCATGTCACCAGAAGATCTTGCACTATATTCATCCACTGGAAACGAATCGTCCAATAAGAGTGCCCAAGAATCCAAAAGACAGCGCAGCCGGAGCGAGCATTCCCGTCCACGATCATCAAAGGCGAGAGCCCAGTCGCGGCCAAATGATGTTCCGGATCGAAGTCACAACAGGAGCAGACAGGGTGGTAGACGAAGGGATAATAGCTTCGGGCTGAGATCGCCTTCCTCGCCAGTTCCGATGTCACCCTCTGAACACGACCATGCAGCTGACAATAGCTTACGTCTCGTGAGCGCAGACCGTCAGCAGCGGATTCAGTCCAGAGAACGAGCTTCAAGTCGTCGAGCAGAACGCGGCACCAGCAGTCGGCGTGATCCCTCTCCGGATAGGAGAGCTGGTAGCCGATCTTGTAGTCGACAGCCACGAGAACAAGGGCTCATTTCTACGTCGGCCAGTATCAACCAGATACAAAGCCAGGAGAGGAATAATGCCCCTGGATATATGACTGATGGAGCCCCAATATTTGTTGAAAACATTGATTGGAATGGTAGCTCTAAGGGCGAGCACAAACATAGGGATGCGGAGCGTATCAGAAAGGAACAAGCCGCTGCAGAACTGGAGGCCCGACGATTGTCTCTAGCCCGTCGCCCATCGGCTCCCGTCATTCCTTTACCGGGCGAAGTTGGAACGCCCAGCAGCATTGTATCCGGAAGGTCTCGCAGACAGAGCGGTGGCAGCCCTCCAATGACTAACGGTTCCTTCAGTCAGAGAGCAGCCGGTCTGTATAGCGGATCTCCCGCAAATTCAACCTACTCTGATAATTCGACTAGCAGGGCCCCTCCGGTCCCTGTTGGTCTCCCGGCAACTCCTCGTGCAATGAAACATCCCAAATACAGCGCCGGATATCACGATGTTCCTCCGGTGCCTGATATGCCTAGCATTGATAACCTGAGTCCTGTTAATCCTGCTGATCAGGTGCGTTCGATCAACATATCTCGCTCAATGTCGGCACCAATACCAGAGGACACTGGCGATCAGGCCGTTGATGGGATGCCTACACATCCCCACTTCCGGCCCCGGCTTCCCAGCAGCAGAACTGGTAGGATTTCCATGCACAGGAAAGAGGGATCGCACGATGCCTCAATGTTGAATAGTTCGCAGTACGGCAGTTTCTCTGGCCAGGCCAGCAGACAAGCAAGCGAGGCGACCGTGATACCTCCAGTTCTTCCAGAGTTACAGCATCTCTCAAATCCTCCGCCACCACCTCCACCGCCCCCACCAGCGGCACCCTCCCAGCCCATGGATCCTAACAGCTCCTCACAGTCTGAAGAGCGCAACTCCTTCGTTTCTGGCGTCGGCACTATCAACATCGCCATTGACGAACCCGCTGTCCTTGCCCCGACCGAGATAACCCACCAGCGGTCGCAATCAGCTGTACCTCCCACGGAGTACATGCTGCCACCGACAATACATCGTTCGGCCAGCGCACAGGGGTCGATTCAGGACGCGCACACCCACCGCCGTGGACGCAGCATTAACGACAATCTTGCAAACAAGTTCCGTAGCTTGACAGGACGAATGCGAAGTACTAGCAGGGGACGGAATGTGCGAACACCACCCTCCAGCGATCCTGAAACCATGATGCCATACGAAAGTGTGCCGATGGCGAGTGTGATGGAGGGCCATCATGTTAAGAATGAATTTTAGTTTTGAAATGAAAGGAAGGATGGGGGGTTGGAGGTACATTGATTTCAAAGCTATCTATCAGGACGATGAAGATAAAAAATAATGATCAAGGATGAGGTTGTTTTTTATTTTATTTTATTTTATTTTATTTTTTCCCCCTTCGATGACCGATGACGCAGAATTTCCTAACCATCCCGGAGTTTTTCTTCCATTTTCTACTCGAACTCTACTCTACAGTACTACTTTCGTGGTCATGATTTCTGTCTGCCTTATTATATGTCCCCTTTTCGCTATATCTGATGCTTACCTTCTTTCTTCCTTGAGATAACTATACCCTATTTTACTTTCTACCTGATCATTTAATTGACATAACTCCTAGGCATATTGTGTATTTACCCTTCCGACAGATGTACAGAACATTTTTCTCTTTTTATTTTGATGACGGCCTCCTAATTTACTTCTTAACAGCCCTTGTTCTTTTAATTTTTCCAGAGCGACACACCGATAACTCGATGAGAACGTAATGACATGGAGGTCTGACCGTATGCATGCATGTATGTGTTTGTATATATGTACAAGCGGCTCAAAGAAGATAATCCAAATTTCATCCTGATAATACACATGATAAATAAACATAGCCAACTCCTCAATTGGCTCAATGGAAGCGGGCATTTCAAGTTGTGGATAGTAGAGAGTATGTACAATACAGACGTTCATCAGATGAATTTAAAAGCGCCTACCAACGCTTACCCCAGGCGCTGTCTCTTTCCTTGTCAGACCCAAATTCTCTCTCTCTTTCAATCAATTTGTCAAAATCTCTCTGTGCTTGCTCCCTAGAACTTTGCGCGTACTTGTCGCCGTAGTCCCGACCGGCGCCATAATCAGAGGATCGCCAATCATCGCCTGACGACGGCTGTTGTGATTGTTGCTGTTGTTGTTGCTCCTGCTGCGGCGGCCGCCTTGCCGCGAAACCACGGTTGTTTGAAGATGATTGGGTAGCGGCTGACTGACGGATACGCTCCCACGCACTTGCGGAAGAGGTCTGAGGTGTGGCGTCAACTTCTGGATTTGTTGGGCTGGCATCATCGTCCCAGAAGCTTTGGCCTTGACTTGGCTGACTTGGACGATAATACTGGGGCTGTTGGCTAGATTGCGGCTGGAATCCGCCGTTTGGCTGGGAATACACCTCGGAGAGGATCTTGGAGTCACCTGGCTGAGAGCCGTATTGGCCTGACGAATTTCCAGATTCGAGGTAGCCGCCGGTATGGCTGGCATCCTCTCCGAATTGGGAGTTCCTCTGTTGCTGTTTCTGAGCCACAAAGGCGCGCCGTCGGGCAGCAGCTTCCTCTCGAAGCTTCTGCAGACGTTTCTGCATCTCTTTCGGATCCTGCTTCTCGAAGTCCCTTTGGAACTGCGACATTCTCTGATCTCTAGCCGTCAGGAGGCCGACGCTCAGCTGGGCGACCGTGTTTGTGACCCAGTACCCGACTGCAAAGCAGAGCGGGAGGAAAAACATGACGTGCACCATTCTTGAGGTCCTCATCCTCGCAATGGGTGTTAGTTTGCTCACCACTTCGGCGTCTTTGGGGTCAAAGTTTGTTGGCTTTCCGCCTAGATAGAGACCCAAGCTACCCCCCGCGAGACCCGCGGCTTCGGGGATGTCAAAAAGCATGGATGCCTGTTCTACAATGGCGTCGGTTTCTTCCTGGGAAGGGAACCTGTTCACCATGGCAGAAGCGGTGTCCATCTGAGCGCGGATGATCATGGAGAGCTTCGTCTCGTAGTTGCTCTGCGTCCAATGGAGAAGTCTCCTGCCGAAGGTAAAGGGAGGGAGAGAGATGTTCGTTGGGAATTTCGCGAGGAGGCTGTTGGGTCCTTTCTGCGAGGAGAAGTAGGGATCGGAATCGGACATTGGAGCATCGTCTCCAAACCCGGAGGCGGACTGGGACGGTTGATCGTAGTCGAGCACCATGATTGTGCGGGGAATTGACTGTTTTGCTTCAAGATGAGCTTTAAGTTAGAATGCGCGCAAGGCGTTGGTTGGTTCAACGAGGAGCTGCAGTCTCACCAATTGAGTATATAAGTAATGACGCAGAGGTCGACTTTGCGCGGGCGAAAGGTGGATTAACAAATAATACTGCGGGCGAGATGCAGCTGTTTAAGGTTGGGCGCCGTTTCCGGCTGGGCGAGCTGCTGAGTAAGACGCAACCGGTAAACTGGCTGACTAACTATGAGATCATCATCATGTGACCAGCCAGTCGGCGACCAACAAAAACAGAGCAACGAAAACAACCGAGCTTTTCGCCCGTCATAGCTGTCGATTCTTTCTCGGAGTACGGAGTACGGAGCTTTATACAGGGTATCAAGTAATTGCAGGTCGACGTTTTTCAATATCCACCTTTGAAGTCATATTGTGTTATTGACTTAATGTTTTATAGTTGTAATTCGTTAGCTAGTTAGTCATGTAATTAAGCTATTCTGTAAATCCAGCTTACATAACAGCAGCATTGGTGGTTTAGTGGTAAAATCCGTCGTTGCCATCGACGGGCCCCGGGTTCGATTCCCGGCCGATGCAGGACAAAGTTTCTCCTTTTCTTTTTCTTTCAATATTTTTTTTACGTTTTAACAAATTCGAGACTCCAACACTAGTTACTGGTTACCATGGAAAAGAGTTCGGATACCACCAGTGCAGACCAGAGCACAAATGTCATCTGATGTACGGAGTACTCCGTACTCACAATGATAAGGAGCGGATGTTGATCAAGGCTAGCGCTAAGACCACATGCAGTTGTCTAGATTGTACGGAGCAGTTGTCAAGCTTTCCGATGTTTTGTTCGACGATTAGTGTTCCTGCTTGCAGATGCCGGAATTTGGGATTCGAACCCCGCCCAGTCGTCTCGATGAAATTTTGGTGCTAGTCAGGGGTATGGAGCCGCGCATAATTAGCTCACAAGCCGGCTCGCTCACAACATCGCGTTTGATCACCGTCACCATTTTGCTTTGCTCTCTTCGGTCGAAGGCCAACCTGCAGCTTGTTCTCCGTACATATCTACATTATCATCAAAGTCCATATTTGGTTATTGCCATTCCAAAGAAGCTGGGCAGCAATGGCGTGTTTGAAAACTGCAAGCAGCATAGTGAGCTAGGATGGATGTGCGGTTTTCTCCAATGTTGAAAAACTCTGTCTCATCTTTTGATGCTAGCAGCGATTTGGGATCGACCTCGAGAGCTCGAGACTGAGCTTGTTGGAAAATCCCGTACTGTCCCGTCCCTAAACGCCAGTCTGTGAAGCAGCGGCATGCTGGAAGATCCTTGTCTTGCTCTTCCGTCAATATGACGTCTCACCTTCAGCTTAGTTGCCTAGCCATTTTCTGTGCATCAGCGCCCAGCAGCTCTTCCTCTCTACCCCTCTTTCGTCCTTGAAGAATTAAAAAGGGTTACTATTCCGGGTATGCTTTTACCATCACTCACCGATCAGAAGCCCTCAATATTATGCCGCCAATCAAAAAGGGAAAAGGATTAAAGGGCAAACGCTGTGATTCTCCCTCCTCAACGCTCTCTTCAGTTGAGTCTCAAGCTAGTCCTGGCTCACACTCCACCCAGACGTGAGAACTGACAGCCCCAATCTTTATGAAGCAGTCTATCTAATACCTGGTTAAAAAGCTCCGCACAGCCCACTACTTCTCGCTGCGATATGGATACTAATGAAGGTATACATGCGTTGTTCACTAGCCTCAAAGGGTATGGGTATGGTTTGAATAGTTAGTTCACTCCACAGACTGATTCTCGCAGATACTTGGCTTCAGGCCAATTCGCAGACCTTACCATTCGAGTAGCCGACGAGGAATTCAAGGTTCATAAAGTAATTGTCTGTGGGCAATCCGAGTTTTTTTCTCGCATGTTCAGCAGTGATTGGAAGGTATGTAAAATCAAAGTGTACAGTATATGACAAACGCCCTAAGTTTTGTTGCTAGGAAAACGTCAATAACGAAGTTAAATTGGGGGAGGTTGACCCTAGTGCTGTTGAGGCAATGATTCATTTTATGTATGGCATTGACTATGACAGCAGCGGCAGTAGCCGCGGTCGCGTGTCTCCTTTATTCTTCAATGCCCAGATCTACGCGCTTGCAGAGGAGTATGAGGTTCAGAAGTTGAAAGAGCTAGCCAAAGAGAAGTTCGCAACTTCAGTCCGTGCCTGTTGGGATATGGATGATTTTCCTCCAGTGATTGTGGAAGTTTACAACACCACACCTTCCGCAGATCGAGGCCTTCGAGATGTAATAGTCAACACTTGCGTTGAGCATATTGAGCCCCTCTTACTCAAGGAGGCCTTTCTAGACGTGCTGGAAAGCTGCAACCATTTTGCGGCAGACATCGCGAGACAGCTAGCGTCAAAACCGTCAAAACCGTCAAAATACCGATGTTCACAGTGCGGCTACGCGTGAGAAGGGAAGCTTTCTTCTTAGACGAATTACTATTGCATGCATTGCGGGTCTGGCCACTCCAATCAGCATGACTTTGTTGTGAAATAAGCAGGGAGTATCAGTCTTTAAAATTGTGACCTTGTCTTGAGTGATAATGGGTGGAGTAGCAGCTTTTGAATTATCTTAAACCAACTGCTTGGATAAAGTTAGCAACTGCTGAGAAATCAGCTTTATTCAAGCGGAGTTTTGGCTGAATTATTCCATGATTCCATAGGTATTGAGTTCCTGAGCTCAGCCAGGATACTGATATACTCTTGTTCTTAGGACTGGACAGAAGAGATTTGGGTCGATGTACGGAGAAGTATTTGAGCGACATCTCCAAGCCACAGCCAGAATTTATAAGCCAAAGTCCATTGATAGACTGATGATTCGTCATTAGCGATTCGGAGCTTTCTTATATTTATCGCCTATTGGATCGCTCTCACTATAAATGCAAAAATGAAGGTTACAGCTGTGCTACGCAAGGCGTAAGCCTCATTGAATGTTGACATCAAGACATCCCGATCGCCACGGCTTGTGCAACCTTGCGGTTTTCACTCTTGCAACTCCAGGACCAGCACGCTAAGCCCTCTCGCAGTGAATGGGGAGTAGTTATAAATATTATTGATGATCCGATCACTGTCTTCCTGGGCGCCAGAGACCTGTTGCCCTCTGGTGCCATATATATCTTCTTTATTCAGGATCACTACTCACGACGCAAGAAACAGGATGGATTTCTTATCTGACTCTGTACGCATAGTTTTGTAAACTTGATGACCTGTTGCTGATGTCTCTGTAGGAGGATGGACAGCGAACAAGTGTTGCCGAATCCCCCAATATGGTTACCCCTTCTAGCTGTAAAAGCTCTGGGGATAACCCGACTCTAACGAATGCCTCCTTGGAGGCTCTGCAAACCAGTGAGCATCGAGAACTGATGGATCTGGTCGACCGACTTCGTCGTGCGGGGTTGAATTCAGTGTTGCAACTGCCCCAGATTGTTGTTTGCGGGGACCAGTCCTCTGGCAAAAGCTCTGTTCTGGAAGCGATCACAGAGATTCCATTTCCCCGTAAAGAAAATTTATGCACTCGCTTTGCTACAGAGATCATCATGCGCCGGGATGCAGAATCCTCCATAATTTGCAAAATCAATCCCGACGGCGGCCGTAGCGAGAGCGAGCAGATTAAGCTTCGCAAATTTTCGAGAAATATCAAAGATTTTAGCGAGCTGCCTTCCCTTATAGACGATGCTACCGCAGAAATGGGTCTCAATGAACATAGAGCATTTGCAAAAGATGTTCTAAGCATTGAAATCTGTGGACCAAACCGGCCTCAGTTGTAAGTTTCCGCCATTAGCCACATTTTCGATTCGAGCTGACACCGGGCACAGGACACTGGTCGACCTCCCCGGCCTCATACATTCGGCCAACAAGTCACAATCTGAGGGGGACGTGGAGCTTATCAAATCTTTGGTTGAGGATTATATTTCCCAGAAGCGGACTATAATTCTTGCTGTGATCTCGGCTAAGAATGACTATGCGAATCAAGTGATTCTTAAGATCTGTCGAAGGTTTGATCCAAAGGGGGCTCGCACTCTCGGTGTTATCACTAAGCCTGATTTTCTGCTACCTGGCTCTGAAAACGAGCGGGTATGGCTTGATCTAGCGCAAAATCGGGATATATACTTTGAACTCGGCTGGCACTTGGTAAAGAACCGTGGTGACAATGAGCACCATCTGTCCTTTGCGGAACGGAACCTTAATGAGAATATATTCCTCAATAGTGGAAGATTCAAGGACCTGCCACAAGGCATGAAAGGCGTTGACTCTCTCCTCAAGCGTTCAAGCAACCTTCTCTTTCATCATCTAAAGCGAGAGCTTCCGGTACTCAAGGAGGAACTGGACCTCATGACAGAAGATGTTCACATGGAAATTCAGTCTCTTGGTAAAAGCCGCCGAACATTGATGGAGCAACGATCGTTCTTGGCCGATTTCTTCCACGCAGCGTACGACATAATCAAGATGGGTATAAATGGAAACTATGAGGATAAATTCTTTGGAAAGGTTGATATCGATGCGCCAATCGATTGCGAAAAAAACCCACGACGACTCAGAGCGGTGGTTCAATATCTCAATATCCAGTTTGCAGAGCGAATGAACAAACATGGACACAAATATCATATTGAAGCTTCGGTTGAGCATGACAGTGGAGGAAGCGAATCGGATTGCAATTCCGACAACTTGGGGCGGGATGCAGAATGCCTGCCGCCAGAGCACACCGGGCCTCTCAAATTAAGTCGCAAACAGGCGATCGAACGCGTGGTTCGGATGCTTGAGAGAAGCCGTGGCCGTGAAATTCCCGGGACATTTAACCCCATGCTAATAAGCCATTTGTTTTGGGAACAGTCAGAGAGCTGGATCCCAATAGCACGTGACCATATCGAGAGAGTCATTTCGACCTGCAAGATCTTCTTGCGCCATGTTATGGAATACATTGCTTCCCAGGAAATCAAACACCGACTGCTCGAATTGACTGTCTTCCCTGTCTTAAAGAAGGCTCGCGAGGGGGCTTTCGATGAACTCAGCAAGATTGAAGAAGATAAGTTGCGGCATCCAATCACATACAATCATTATTTCACAGACACTTTACAGAAAGCACAGTATGAACTTTTCTCGGCTGAGATTAAAGACATTAGTCAAAAAGCCACTGTGGAGATTGACGAGAAGACGTGGAGCGGTGGGCGGGGATATGAAAAGAGGAGCTACGTCGAACCTGGGCTCTTTCGTGGAATGCTTGACCAACTACTCGAACGTGACATGGACAGATTTTCTGCAGAGCAGGCGGTCAATGCGAACGATGCATATTATAAGGTATGTCAAACCCTAATGTCTGCCGTTCCTCTGAGAAGCTTAACTAACATTACATCAGGCGGAACGAAAGTATTTCATTGATGTGGTCGCCAAGCAAGTCATCGAGCGTCATCTGATTGCTCCCCTGGCCAGTATTTTCTCACCAAAAGTTTTGGCCTGCTACAGTGACAAACAGGTCCATTTTCTTGCATCTGAATCACCCAAAGTGGTTGAATTGCGAGAACATTTGGAAAACAAAAACAAGATGTTGGAAGGAGGTCAAGAAGCATTTCGCATGGCGATGGGACAAAAGTATGATGATTAACTAGTTAATATGCAAGATCAGAGCGGTCATTTTTCTCTTCGAATACCCTTTGGCTGGTAGAAGCAGGAAGACTTGAGGATTCTGTATTCTCAAGATAATGTAGCAAAACTAATGAGCGTTTGTGTCAACTTTAATTCCAGAATACGGATCCATGCTTTGCTCTGAGAGACCCACAATTAGACAAAGACAATGGAAGATAGTGTAGAGAGCTTAACGCCAATTTGAAGGCAAAATTAGACCCGTGAAGTTCAGTTTTAATTTCAAGCAGGTGATTTGTGAATCCTTGAGAAAAGAAGAACTCAAGATGAAGTGATTCAATTGCAAGCTATAACATCTCGTCCTTAGGAAGCAAGTGACATGGATGCCATGAATGAATGCGGGAAGAATCGAATGGGGCCTTGATATTGGATGTAGTTGGGATATTTCACCGACCACGGGTACTATATGTGAAGATAGGCCTTCAAGACTAATGATTAGTACAGCCTGCAATGGTGGTCCATTGGATGCAAATGGTAACCTGAATGGAACTGTGAAATGCGCAGAAAATTGAACTTAAATTATGGAGAAGATTTTGACCATAAACATCCAAGTTTCTATAAAAAAATCGGAAAGCATGAATAGCTGAAGTAGAGATCCACCCCTCATCAATGGCAGCGGAGTGGTATCACAATGATGGCTGTTTCTCTTTATGCAGAAACCTTCTTCACTAGTTTATTACCAATATGCTCCAGAGATTTCTCAAAGCCGGCAAAGTTCTTTGCCTTCCAATTTGCTCCCTTAGCGCCAGGCTTGGCCGCGTTTCCTTTAAATGCGATATAGAGGACGTCGTGCTTCTCGTGGCCATTGTCTCCATTAAGACCCTCCTTAGGGAAGCAAGCCTGCGCAAGAGATACTGAAGTCTCTCCAACCAGAGTACCACCGTTGGTATCACCCCAAACGCCATAGAACTACCAAATAGCACACGTTAATCAGGGGGGTTTTCCTCTGGATAAGTAATCGGGGATGCCAAATTTACCAGTCTATTATTACAAACCACAGCCACCACGCTCAACGGCTTAATGCCGTACTTTGCCGGATTGAAGCTTGGTGAAGATCCCTCATTTCCGAGAACGACGTATCCATGTTTATTTGAATCGAGATCAGGAATACCATATTTCTTTACTTCATCCTTGAATGCAGTTTGATCCTGTCCCGAGGGATCGTTTTTGCAATCACCGGCGGATCTATTGGCGCCGTCACAGTCCACATCCATGTCTGCAAGACCCCTTGAATTCGAGGGCCCTGTGATATATATTATTCCCTGCGAGTCTAAGCGATCACCGCAGTAGACGAAGCCCTCTTTTTCAAAATAAGTGCGTTAGCTTGCTGCGTCTGGCATGGGGTGGCGGACGGGAAGATCGGGTGCCACATACTCCTTCCGTGGCCGTCCTGGAATGAACTGCTTAAAGGCTTGCGGCATCGGTGGTTCTTTGTTTTTTTGGAAAAACCAATACATCAGTGTGGGGAACACATACAATTGAAGAGAAATATTCATACTTTGGCATAATTATACAGATCCTTCACGTTTGAAGGTACCTTCCGACCAAGGGCCATGCATTCAGCGCTCAAAAGCGCGGCAAGGAGAAGGGACTTGATAAGCATCTTGACCTGTAAGAGTGACTTTTAAACTCGTAGATGTTTTGGGGTCTATCAACAAAGAAAGACCGGATGTCTGGCGGCGCTTTATATACCTACGTAGAGGTAGAATTTCTTTCCGATTTTAAGACCGAAGGCGGTTATCAGCGCCGGGATCACCCGTTCATGGCACCATACTTTCCAGAATCCAGAATGCGATCAAAAAGGGATCACCAATACAATTCAGGCCCGCCATGTACAGGGGTGTCCTCCATACAGCTTGGGGGTTAGCCTAAAGGCGAAAGCGGTGTTGAAACAAAAACGGCGCCATTTGAATCCTACGGGCCAGCAAGCCTGCAGTTTTGGTCTTCACATAGTAATATGCATCAAGAAGCAGGCTTTCGGCTCGATGGCGAATCGTGAGCAATCCGAAACGACTCTGGTTTCTTAGAGAAGGGCTGTAAACAGGCACTCCTCAAGGAGCAGAGCACCCGCACGAGCGATTACTTGAAAGCCCTAGGGAGTAGGAGTATAACCGGAGAAGCTAATGGGCATCTCAAATGTCCAGGCCATTCCAAAGGACGGGCCGCGCGCGACGAGCCCATGATTGATTGGCAGCTCCAAAAGGGGGCGGTAACTTTATTCGGGGTGAAACGGGCCGTGGGGCACGATCGTCCCAAGGTTCGCAGAGTGCAGAAATCTATGTATTTTGGTGGTCATGCAGCAGCAATCCTTCATGTAACAATTTGAGGAGGACAATGATCAGACCACTCCATGAGGTTGATTGCACGATAACAACGGCCTTGCAAGTTTGTGCAGGGGAAGCCTTGCTCGTGGTCAGAATAAGCTCGCGGGACTCGGATTATTGTTTTCCCATACTTAAACGTCCAGCGCCACTTATGTGCACAGCCACTATTCTCGAATCGAAGGGTGGCGGTGCCAACCCAGAACCAGCCAATCATAAGCTAGGCGCTGTCGGAAGAAGCATTGTGCCGCAATTGCTTGGCCGAGGCTTTTTTTTTGCAGCTCGCAATTGAAAGCCAACAACAGCATTCCGACTCTCAGGTTGTCACAAGGAAAACGGGAGTTGAAAGCAATTCATCAGACAGGGGATTTGCGAGCAACAGGCTGGCTGTTCTGGATGCCCCGCTAATTTTCTGATTGGCGGACATCAGACCAATGGAGGCGAGGTTAGCGAGGAAGTATGCCAGGAAAGGTTACATGCTAATGTATTTGAGCTAAAAAGGAACCCCACAATGGGGAGGCTCCCAGCTTTGCGGGACCAGTTGCACGACTAAATCTGACAAGCTTTGGGTAGGGAACATCGGTTTGCTGCGTTGTGGTTCAATGGCAGGAGACGTCTTAGCGATTGGCTAGTTATATTTCCTCTCCATCGTTCCTATCCATGCAGAGATTGATCGATGTGCATAAATTGGCATGGATATGCCTGTATTAAAGCTTCTATTTTTCCTCTTGCAGAGTTGCAACCGTATTGACGTCTGCGAAATGAAGTTGATTAATTTGTCTCAGTTGGCATTATTACTATCTTTCCGGGTAAGCTCGCCGGCAGCCACAAATTGCCGGAACGATCGAAACATTTATGCCCAAGCGGTATACATGTGATCGTTTTTTATCCGAGAGCCACGCCCCTGGCTCACTTTCTGGATCCTAACAGGCAGGAAAAAGCCGGGACTATTACATTCTTTTCGGACAAGATGTCAACAACAACATAGAGAATGCCGTTGAGACAGCTGGGGCTTCTATTGACAGAGACCACAACACTCAGAAATTCTCTTCTTGTGATGACTGACCGAGAAAGCGGTGTCGTCCGTCGTATCCCTGGTGGGCCCGAAAATCCATCCAGGAAAGTTGCGCCATCACCCCATCCTATCCTTGTAGCGATCTAAGCCAGAAAAGATGCGGGATATGCGCTGGAATAAAAAAAGGTAAAGTGCAAAGTCGCTCCATGTTCGGCATACGTTATGAAGGGGCTGAAAGATGGCGCTTTGGCAAAACGTGATCTTGAGAAGGGAGCAAGAAGGGTCTTTCAACTTCGGGGTAAACCTCGCTGCTAAAGTTTCATAAAAGCACAATAACGCTGTACCATGACAAACGACATCCATCATATGCGCAAAATTTTCTTTATAAGACCATCCCCTCTGAGCATAACTTAGCGTTTTAACTTCCCCTAGCCATAGTAAGATATACTCCAGAAGTTTGACAAATTTCCGCGACGATGTGTTCAAGGATGATACTCCCTTGGGATTAATGAATTCGCTGCAGAGCCTTTCAATTGATGTAAATCAGAATGAGCGCTCCGGGGAGCATATCACATATCTTGGGCTTTCATGATCATAAAACAACCTTCCACAGAGCAATGCAAAATGTTTGGATATGATGTCCCAGGTCTAGAACATACCACCGTATAGGCAATTATTAGAATGGACGTTCGAAGGCATCCCAATCTTCATGAGGTTTTGAATATGGGTGGTTGCCGAGAAGGTTGGAGGAGAAAAATTGAAACGCAACAATTGGACCTCAAGCACTCGATCTCGGCTGAATATTTTTCCAAAGGCCGGATAAGCTCAGCGGGAAGCCTAGTTAGAAGGTTATTTGGCTCTTATCTTATCTTATCTTATGGGCGTTGGGCTCCGGAGTGACGTCACTCTTGGTTGTGCGATCTCCATTGAAACAGCCAACAGTGGTGGAAGAAGGTATCAGGCAGAGAGGCTACAAAGTTAAGTTACAGTATTATTCTTTCTCCATCTTGATCACTGTCATGTTACTCCCAGTTGCTAGGTTATTTCCCTGCATTCACCACTTTTCAATGTACGGGCGTAGGTCAAGCTCTTGCGTGAATGCTGTTCGGGACTGTGTGTGTAGATACCAATATGTATCCGCGATCTCACAAAGAGACAGTTAGCATAAACCATTCGTCCCAGCCAATTCACACAGTGTGATGATTTGCCACTTACCGAATCTGGGCTAAGCTTCGCGTCCGGTGCATCGAGCTTGATGTGCTTTGTGCGCTCAATATCGATAATTCCATCGACAACAACATGGCTAACGTGTATTCCCTGAGGCCCAAATTCGCGAGCCAGGGACTGAGATAGCGCACGGAGTGCAAACTTTCCGGTTGAAAATGGTGCAACTCCCGCAGAACCTCTCAAGCTTGCGGTTGCTCCTAGGAAGGTAGGCCATCAGCTATAGACCATACTGAACTCACAATTTGATTCCATACCTGTAAAAATTAGTGTAGGCGGATGCTCTAAATCCAAGGCCTTCAAAAGCAGCGGAATGGCCTCCTGGGAAAAGTGAAATGCCCCTAGCCTGAATATCGGATGAACGTCAGCATCGGACTCGCGAAACTACCTCATACCAAAGCCATCCAATTGTCAAAAGGTAATTTATCCTCACCCATTGCTCGAAAATCCAGCCTTGAATTCGTCTTCTGAAAGCTCTAAAAAGGGCTTTCTCGGCAGTCCGCCGCCAACATTATAGATCGCCGCGGCAAGCGGCATATTTGGAAACGCCTTGGCTATTTCAGCAAACGCACTCTTAACACTGTTGCCATCCGATACATCGGTGCTGATCCCAACAGCGCGTCCGCCACTGGAAGAAATTTCCTGAACAACAGGTTGATAATTGTCCGGATTACGGGCTAGTAAGGCTACCACGTAAGACTTGGCAAAGCGACGGGCAATAGAAGCGCCCTATGCATCAATAGCGTAAGTTAATACCGGTAGCTATACATGTAATATGGAAAAGGGGACTGCGGTTTGCCGCAAGGGCTCTTTAGACTTGACTCTTACCGTTCCCGGGCCCACACCAGCGATGACAGCGATAGCTTTTGCTGCCATGATAGACGTTTTCAATAGGTTCGTCGCCCGAGTCGAATAGTTCACAGTGTATGCGAGATTTCAAGGTAGCAGGGCCAGGCTATCGAAGCTATCCACTGATGCATCTAGAGTCAAAGCGAACGAGGGCTATTTGTGTGCCTTGGGTGGACACGAGATATGAAAGCCGGATGGTGGTGGAGTAGTCTGGATTCTGGCATTATGAAGCAATTGATTAGAAATCAACGCGATTTCACAAACGAGCTATGGAGCTGCTGTGGCTAATCAGATCGTGGATACATTGGCGTTGATCTCGACCTTTCTCAAGGACAGCTATCAGTCCACACCGTGACAGATTGGCCATGTATAACTAATGTTTACATATTTCATATATTTCATCTGCTCGGAATGCTACAATATAGGGAGTACCGCATCATATTTGAAAGGAAGTCTATACAGCAACGCTGATAAGGTATATTTGCCCATAATCAAATATCTCGATACCAAATAAAAGCATGTAGATCAGCCTTGTGTGAAATCGCAACCAGGCCTATATACATCTTCGCTCACCTTGTCTCTCTCATCATTCGCGAATTCAACTTCCTCCTCAGCGCTGGAAATCCATGTAGATATAACCAGGAGAGGATATAGACGGCAAGAATGTTGAAAACAACATAAGACCAGAATATCGCCTAAGTTGACCTGCTATTAGCCTAAAACCTATATCCTCAAAAAGAAAATGGTAGTCACTCACATAATCCCTCCACTTGTACTTATAAAACACGTTGAAACTCGCTGCAAACTCATTTCCATTCGCATACTGACAAAGTGCGCACATCCCGCTTCCATCTGTAATCACATATCCACCCTGTTGCTCAACAAAAGGACCCGCATAATCTTCGCATGTTAACCCTGGTGGGGGCCTGAACCGTGCAAATTCGTTTTTGGTGCATCGCACTGGGATCTTATTGGTGACGACACCCAGATATCCTTCCAGTAAGTAGCGGAAAGGAGTGAGCCAGTACATCCACGAGCGCCAGAAATAAGGGATGCCTTGAAACGGAACAACTACCCCGCAGAACGAGACGACGAATGTGAAGAAAGCTGGAACAAGGAGGGATGCGAATAATTCGTTCGGCGAAATGGACGCAATCATCTGCCCAAAAGTAACGTAAAACACTTCGAAGACCATGAGCAGCATCCACGTAAAGCCAACTGCAAAGGAGTTGCGAGGAAACCATGTTCCAAAATACCTTGGTTGTATTAATTTCTGTCGGCTCGATGACCAGGTGCAATATGCAAAAAGGGACAACTCACCAGCAGCAGAAAAACAATGTCCCAGCCACCACTGAGTAGGGAAGCTCCGGTAAAATGATGCTGGTGATCAGTGCAAACCAAGTATATATTTTGGACTTCTCCTCTCGAGACTCATATAAACCTCGAAAGTGAAGATAACGTGGCTGGAGTTGTTGGATCAAAGGGGGTGCGATGACGAGGGACAAGAACACTGAGAAAAGTCGGGATTGCATATCAATGGTCGAATCTCGGATATGCCAGAACGTGAACGTGTTGAAAAGACCAGTCCATATGTGCAGCATGAATTTGCCCTATTTCCTGCTTGTTAGTGTTCAAATCGTGACAAGCGTAGCCAAATAGAAAGGAGGATATTACAATTGTATAGTTGGGAGTACGCCAATATGCGATAAACGAACGCTTCGCAGTTGCAAGGATCTGAGTCCGTTTTGGCATCGCAAATTCCCTTTGGCCAGCTGTGCCGGCTGGGCTGCCCTCCTGAGCAGAAGAATGGACAATACGTTTAATCTCATTTGTCACAGTTTCATGCTTGGGAGAACTTGCCCATATATCAGCCCAATCTGGACCCTTATAATCGGGGTTACCAGCACCGATAACATCAAGCATATACTGTATCCAGTTAGCAATTTCGGACCAAATTTCTAGGGATATACAGCCTCCTACCTCTGCTGGGTTTGCATCTGGTGGGCAAGGCCTGGCACCGTTGCGCTCAAAATATTCAATTAGTTTTCTCGAATCTGCTCCCAAATCGCCATGAAACACCACTCTCCCGCCTGACTGAAGCAACAACAGGTCATCGAATTCTTCAAACAAGACTGAGGACGGTTGGTGGATGGTACATAGGACAGCCTGGCCTACGTCTGCTAACTTTCGTAAGAAGCGAACAATATTAAAAGCGGCAATGGAATCCAAGCCGGATGTCGGTTCATCCAGGAATAAGAGAAGATCTGGCTTGCTTGCCAACTCCACAGCGATAGTCACACGCTTCCGTTGTTCCTGGTTAAGACCTGCACCCACATGGCCGATTGTAGCACCGGCAATAGGCTGCAGTTCTAGCAGGTCAAGAATCCGCTCACAATAGTCGTACTTCTCTTGAATTGAAACTTCCGGCGGCCTACGGAGGAGCGCCGAAAATCGCAGGGACTCTCGGACCGTGCTTGTCGGCTCATGGATATCTGCCTGTTCTGCGAAGCCAGTTGCACGCTGAAAACTCTTTGGAAGAGGCCTTTTCACAATGATCAGTAAGGGTTTTCTTTTTGCAAGGTCCTGCGGAGATCGGCCACTTACTTTCCGTCTATAAGAAAGGTCCCAGTCACAACGCCGAAATCGACTCGCTGAGCCAGAACATTGAGAAGTGTAGTTTTTCTGTGATCGAATGCTGTCAGTGTGTCTAAGCGGCTAAAAGGTACGTTTGAAATTGACATACCCGGCTCCTGACGCCCCCATCAAAGCAGTCAAACGACCAGGTTTTACATAGCCTTGGACGTCCTGCAAAAGCGTTTTTCTAGTCCTTTTGTAGGGGATTGTATAGTTGACGCCTTGCCATGTAAGAGTTGCGGCATTTCTTGAGATAGCTTGAACCTCCTTGTCTTCTATAGCGTCAGATTCAGATCCATTAGATAGCACACTTTGTTTTCCTTGTTCCTCGTCCAGCCCCTTTTTCGAATTTTGCATTTCATGTTTCACAGATCGGGGTACCTGTCCTCGCATGAAGACGGTGACTGCAGCAGTGCTATGAGCTGAACTGTGTGAACTAGCTTGGGTTTCGGTGCCAACCATAGTCAGGACAATGAAAAGCACAAGCAAAGCTATAATAATGCCGAAATTCCGCCATAGGTGATCCCGAGTGTAGCCATAATTAGAAAATATGTAGGCCGAACCGTCCACGAATGTCTGACCAGGCTCGCTGCCTTGGACAGTACAACTTTGAAATTCGGGGGACGCATTCGGTCCTTGGGGAACCAAATTAGGGCCAACACATTCGATTCTCAAATTATAGAATTCGTTGGCCATTAATGATTCAAAAGTGTACTGAACAGGATTGATCCAAATTAGCCATTTCAACCAGGGTCTCATTTCTCCAGGAGGAATGAGATATCCTAAACGCCATGAGTAAGAAACAGCCCTGGAAAAGGGAGCAGGAGCATTAGTGAAACTGACCGGTGTAGACAACTAATGCTTGTATTGCAACTCCTGTGACGCGTGTAGCTGCAAACAATGTCAGCATATTTGTTCCGTTTATAATAGCAGAAAGGCATACTAACCAGCATCAAGGGACGTGACTAAGGCTCCAATTGCACGGAAAAAAGAATACATGACCATGGTGACCAGCCACACAAAGAGCAAAGCGATGAAAAATTGAGATGCTGTGCGAGCTAGGTCTGCCATACTGTAAAAAAAATTAGTGCATGCCCAAGCTCGTATGGGGAAGGGTCAGAGAACGTACAAGTACACAATTATCAGGAAGATGAAAACTTGAGTGAACACCAGGGGAACATCGACAACTACTTGGGCGAGAGCGTAAGCCGAGGGCCGGTAGAATGAGCTGATATGAATTAGCTGTTGTTTGCCTCGAATAGAAAAACTACCTCGTACATACAAGCTCTTATGCTTCATCAATATTGGCCGACTTTCGAATGTCGAGGTCAATTCCGCCATAGAAAGCAAAGCATTGAATAGGATTATGTAGAACATAACCCCTCCTCGGGTGAAAACCCCTTGACTAGTCATAGGGTGTCAAAATCAAGACTTGAAAAGGGTAAAAATTAGAATGACTTACCTATTTTTGGGGAGGTTATAAAATAGACTGCCAACTATTAAAGCAAGAAACAGAATCACGCCCCATTTGCCGAGCAGCGATTCTCTATCACCAATCATTATCATGAACTGTCGTCCGCTGAGCGCAATGACCTGTTGGTAGTAAGGAATGGTAAAATTCTTCTTTGGCGTTCTCCGTCGGATATCTTCTAGTTCGTCTTTTTTGGCCTCGGTTTCATCCTCCAACTCTGCGATCGATTCCATCGTAGCCTTCCGTACAGCACTCTCATCATATGCGCGTTTAAACTGTTCAGCTGACCGTGGAATACGATTTTCCCAGCCGCTTTTAACTCTTCGAGCATGTGGTTCGGTGACTGAAGTTAGAAAATCGGCAGTTGTCCATCTGGGTGGACACTCAAAGCCTAGGTTCTCAAAGTATGCCTTCGCATCGCTCGTTGGTCCAAAATAGGCGCATTTTCCTTCAGTAAGCAGGATTACTTTATCAAAGAGCTTATACAACGATTCTGAAGCTTGATATATCGCCACCGACGTCGAGACATGGGTCATTGTTGTGAGACTCCTGAGGCATTGGACATATTCCAAAGCAGTACTTGCATCTAGTCCTCGAGTTGAATTGTCCCAGCATTGAGTACTAGCTTTCGTGATGAGCGCCTCAGCTATTGATACTCGCTTCTTCTCACCTCCGGAGACGCCACGGACCAAGGCGTTTCCAACCCTCGTATCTAGACAATGTTCAATCCAAAATAATTTTGCCACGCTGGTCAGGAATGTCTCTCTATATTGACGACGGGATTCCCCAGGCTTTCGCGACCCTTTTCCCGGTGTGCGAGTTCTGATCGCAAAGTTCAGCGTTTGTTTGGCCGTAAGTGTCGCATAATGCAGGTCATCTTCGGGGTTATACAAGACTGCGGGACCCAAGCACTTAGAAATAACATGGAAATGGGGTGGAATAGGCATACACACCCTCGGATCTATACTTTTGAGCCATTGTCTTTGCATCTGCTCCACCATATGTGACCTCACCGTCAACGGCCTCGTAACCTGCGCGCTGATTGCCCAAGACCTTCAAAAATGTGGAACAGCCGGATCCTGGCTGACCCAGGACCAGAAGCATCTCTCCGGGCTTCACACATCCCTATCAATTTAATTAGCTATCGCACCATTGGAGAGGAAGGAATTGAACCCCAAGCGAAGGAAAACACACCGTAAAGTCATCCAATATCGTCCTAACTGGTTTCCTGTTGCGGATTTTCCCCGTAAACAACCTCCCGAATAATCTTGGGAGCGCAAGAAGAATATCCGAATTTGTTGGTTGCAGAGTAGCCCCTAAGCCCAAGCCTTTTACGGTCAAGTTCTTCCACACCAATCCAACGTGTCTGCTCTTCTCCTCCTCTGAGACTTCCTGCCGCGCACGTCCAAACATGTTGGACAGGATATGCTGTAGATTGGCCCATTCTTCATCGCGAGATGATGGAGCAGTGCTCCGGCTTGTCTGTTCATACAATGGCTGTCGACTGGGAGAGACGGTCTCGACCCCATCATCGACCTCTTCCCGCTTCGCATGCTGCGTATCCCGTCCATACGATAGCGCAGCTTCAGATTCAGAGGATCCTGGACCCGAGCCCGTTGACGATTGAGGTTCACGAGGGGTTTCGGAGCGGATCGGGTGGAATCCCTTCTCGTCTTGCAGTGACGGTGCATGTTCGTTCTCACCGGTGTTGCTCGGCGTATCGACGCGTGCTGCTGGCTGCCCAGGTTGCGCGTTCGTCCCAGGCGGGCCCACGGGCCGGCCAATCTTATCAGATGCGCCATCCATGCCTGCGCCAAGAACCGGTTGGTCAGTCGAAAAGACACAGCTCAAGATTTCACCCCACGCCGACTTTTGTCAAAAGAGTCGCCGCAATGGCAAAGGAATTCAGCATTTTGGCTTCTATATACAGGTTCTTTCAAACCCCCCGGAGATACGGATATAACGAAAGAAGAAACAGCCTTTTTCGAAAAACAATGGAGACATATTTCCAACCCAGAGTCAACTGACATGCGTTTTGACGTCATGCCATCGGCTAAGGCGTGGCACTTTTGAGTTTCCGATCAGGGCATCGTGCTGGAAAGGCACAGAATTAGGATTCAGCATTACCCAGGAAAACGGATGTCGGAATTCAGGATAGCCGATGAAGCTGTTAGTGTCGGGGTATCGGTAAGTCCAACTCTTCATCCGACAGAATGAAATTGGTTTCTTAGAGGCGATATCACAGCGAACTACATACAGGTACGTACAGAAATACCTCGAAATATCTAATTTCATCCTATATCCTCGGAAAAGGTCATGCTGAAAGAGAAGAAAGAATCTCTGAATCGCAAGATAACTCGACGACAACCGTTAAGTCGTGAAGCGGAACCGAGGATTCCGATCGCCCATTTCCTGAATCTCCTCTTCGGTCATCCCCTCGATCTTGCCATCCTCTTTGCCCTGTTCTCTGAGTTTATTGGCTCTCTTATACCAATACCACATAAAAGCATATATGCAGGCAGAAAACGCGGTAAGGGAGAGTGTGACTGCGTGTCCCATCACATATCTTGGGGAGTGGCGAGTCGGATATAGGAACGGTGTGACGATTCCAGCAACGTTTCCAAGCGTAAGTTGAAGACCGCTGGCGAATGCTCGTTTACCGAATCGCGGCAGATTTGTCGGCAGCCAAGCAAGTGGCAAGCCGACACAGACGTAGAGGCCCACGGCCACCAAGAAACATCCAAAGTAATGCACTCCTGCGCTAGCATCTGAAATCAATACACCATAGCCAATAATTGCGACCCCGCAGAAAATTACAGTAAATATTCCGCGCTTTTGTGTTCTGTCGCTGAACCAGGCGACAACCAAGTAGGTGATGGCCCCAACAGCATAGCAGGGAATGGTTAGAGCCTGGACTTGCGGCGCCGACCATTCATTGATACCGCGAATGATAGTGGGCAAGAATGTGCTGTATCCGTATAAAACAGCATCGACACCAAATTGTCCCAAGCAAAAAAGTAGAACCGTCCAATCTCTGGCGCCCTCTTTCGCGTCCTTCATATGAAATTGCTGTGCGGAGTCGGTTTGTCCGATCTCACGACTCCGGCGTGCCTTCATGAGAGCCTTCTCTTTGTCGTTGAGGTAATACGCCGTATCCGGATCGTCTGCTAGACCAAACCAAGTTAAAACACCCAGCAGAACGGACGGTAGCCCTTCTATTATCATAATCCATCTCCAGCCTCTCTGGCCCGCAATTCCGTCCATGTGGCCAATAGCATAGGCCAGCAATCCGCCGCATGCACCAGCAAGCGCCGCAGCGCTAAACAAATACCCTACTCTAAGCGCGATCTCCCGTTTTCCGTAGAATAAGGTCATGTACGCGACCAAGCCAGGAAATAGACCTGCCTCGATAATTCCAAGGAAAATGCGGCATACTATAAGGCCGGCAAAATTCTGCGTGATGCCGGTCAACGTGGCTATAATTCCCCAAGCCCCCGTGATAAACGCGATATATCGAGATGCTGTAAGCTTCCTGAGGACCAAATTTGACGGGACTTCGAGGAGCTAGACGGGAAGTGGAGTTAGATCGGGGTTTCTTCCCGTCGCCGTCCACATTAGCAAACTTACACAGTAAGGCACGAACAGAATAGACACCGCAATCTGAAATTGATCTCCATGGAGGCCCAAGTCCTCCTCCAACCCATAGAGTCGCGCATTTCCGATGTTCACTGCCAGAGCAAAATAAAACTGCCATTAGTTGTCATGTTCAAACTATCACACCAGTGCTCAACGTACCTCGATCTAAGAAGCTGAACAGGTATAAAACGACGAGAAACGGCACAATGTGCAAATCAATTTTCCGAATCAAAGCCTTTTCCTTCTCGGGATCCAAACGAAACGCCGAATCTCCAGCGGTCGCCGCGTCTTGGGGTGAATATCCCTGCTGAACCTTTTGGTCCGCCTTCAAGCCTTTGTCGGCGAGTGAATCCGTCATCGCTGCGGGCAATCGCGGGCAGATCCTCGAGGAATTATGTCGAAGGAGAGAGTCAATACGGACAAGGCCCTGGCTGAATTTTCAAGAGTTGTTCGCAACGTCCGGCCTGGGTTAGTTAATAATGCGAACTGAACCGGAGATTGTCGAACGCGCAGCAGATCCGGGGCGATCAATCGTCGCGGCATAAACCGACGCCAAAACGGGTTAAACGGATAGAAAAGGAAAAGTGCCACGAGTAATTCTGCATGTTTAAAAGCCGCTCTTTCAGGCCGGTTCGCTGTACAACCGCAAGAGCGTATTAATTAATATTCAATGGTGGGGGGAGTTAACCAGCGGTGACTCTTCGAGAGGGCAAAAATATTTTCTTACTCGGCAGCGACAGGGCCAGAACGCGGAGAAACGGGGCGCTTGGTTGGAACCGAACCTAATCGCTCGGAGATAAGATTAGCACATGTTGCGATCAACTGGCTTGAGGTTTAGGGCTGGTAGGGAGGATCGAAAAGCGTTGAAACAATTTCCAAGCAAATTATATTGTAACACTAAGTAACTAGTTAAGTAGTTAACTAGATGTTTTGCTGGAAAGCGATTCTACTAAGCTTAACATCAGTGCGTCTTGTCAAGGCACCACTCCATCGATCAAGCGCATCAACAGTTTGATCTACCGAGGAAGAGTATCGATGGTATGTGCCAGTCGTCTGAAGCTCTGGATCCGCTCAAGATACGACAATGATGTTCACTCTAGCCACCATGCCTGCAGAAAAAGTGATGTGTCGAATGCATTGCATGTGTTTCACTCTGTGAGACTTTAACCACTTGGCAAACCAACTACTCGCGTCAAGTTTCAAAAACCAGAACCACTTCTTAATAACAACATGGTATGATGTGATGATAATTAATAGGCTGTAGGATTAAGATGGTATCTATCAAAAAACGATATATATGAGGAAATACAAATGTGCAGAAAGAAAAGGGAAAAAATAATAATAACAATAATAATGAGAGTTAAATAGAAGAAATGCTCATAGCACAAGTAAGGCTGCTTCATATTACTCCGTAGCTAATGGTGAATCCTCGCGGAAAAGGGATGGGATGTAAACCCACTGATTGAAGAGGAAGCTGTAGTATCGATGTCCCATCCCATCTTGAGGCACCTTCGCCGCCAAGTTCATCGCCGGGCTGGCTGATATTTTAGAGTCCTCCGTACACCCTGGCATATTACGCGGTTTACCCCGTTCTTCGTCCGCAGAGACTTTCGGATTGGGGATTGATGCCTCCTGTGAATGGTTATACCATCATTTTTTGATCGACAATTAGAGTTCAACCTTGTGAAAGGGGTTCCAGCTAGGCCAGAGTAAGCTCATTCAGAAGGCTTAAATTGAAATGAGCGAGGCCAAGTGGAAGGATGACTGGTCTGGGGATACCGGGACAGCGTAAAGATGAAGACTACAAGCCAATTGCGGGACTGCTAGATAGGTATAAGTTACCTCGGAGACGGTGGGATCTACCCTTGACACTTGCCAAATACTTACTCGTCTCGGTTAATCTAGATATAATATTAGTCTCGACCGTATACTTCGGACTCGGAAATGGATTAGTGTCATTGCATAAACCTTAGAGAGGCTGGCCATTGATCAGTAAGCTGGGACCTGGCTCGCTCCCTGGGTTATTTTTGAAGGGATACATATGCATATCATGAATAGTGTAGGGCCCGGCTGGGAGACGGTTAGAACCATTGCTATCCAAACGTGGAGACTGAAATGATCGTAATACAAAACACCAAAAATAAGATTTCGACTCCGAACTGAGGACAAACATAAGAGATCCAATCAGTATGATTTAGGGAGGCCCAAAACCCTTTCGCCGATATAATTTCGAATCATCTCCCTGCTGACCGGCGCAATGCGTGGGATAAATGATTCTCTTAGATATCTCTCAACATGGTATTCTTTGGCATATCCCATTCCACCGTGGGACATAACAGCCCGCTCACATGCCCGGAACGCCGCTTCCGCAGCGAGATACTTGGCGGCATTGGCATACTCGCCAGTCGCGTGGCCGGCGTCGTACAGCCTCGCAGCCTGATATACCATCAATCTCGCAGCTTCAAGCTGCATCCAAGAGTCCGCAAGAGGGTGCTGAATGCCTTGGTTCTTTCCAATGGGCCGACCGAACACCTGTCTCTCACTCGCATACACCGCTGCTCTTCTAAGAGCAGCGTATCCCAAGCCCAACGCCTCGGCGGCAATCAGAATGCGCTCCGCATTCATACCGTGCATGATCATCTTAAAGCCATTGTCCTCTTCGCCAATCATATCCTCTGCAGGGACCCTCCAGTCTTCAAAGAAAAGAGTATTCGTGTCCACGGCCGCACGACCCATCTTCGGAATTTCCGTGACTTCAACCTGCGATCTATCCAGGTCCGTATAGAACAGCGAAAGCCCCAGCGAAGGTTTGGCAACCTTATCCACAGGCGTGGTTCTAACAAGGATAAGAATCTTCTCCGCATTCTGCGCGGTAGATATCCAAACCTTTGAACCCTTCAAGATATAATGATCGCCATCTTTCGTCGCCATCGATCTCAACTTGAGCGTATCAAGGCCGCTATTCGGCTCAGTGACCCCAAAGCAAGCCCGTTCCTTTCCTTCAATCAACGGTGGTAAGAATCTCGTTTTCTGCTCCTCACTCCCAAACTTTACCACCGGCTCAAGTCCAAAGATATTCATATGCACTGAACTGGCGCCGCCCATGCCCGCTCCGGATTCTGAGATAGTCTGCATCATCACCGCAGCTTCGGAGATCCCCAGCGCCGCGCCGCCAAATTCTGTAGGCAGACAGATGCCCAACCAGCCATCTCTGGCAAGAGCCTGCTGGAAATCGGTTGGGAAAGCTTTGGATTGATCGAGCTTTAGCCAGTAATCGTCGGGGAAGTCGGAGCAAATTTTGGCTATAGATTCACGCACGGTGATCTGAGATTCGGTCCAGTCGGGATTGGAGGAAGGGAGATACTCGGTGGCTTTCGTGGTAAGAGACCTCGCAGAGATCCTTGAAAAGAATGGAGTGTGTGTGTAAAGTGGCGAGAGAAGGTGGTGTCTCGATGGCTTCTGAGAAAACGTGGCTTGTCGTCCGACTTGGGAGATCTAGGCAGTCCGTCAGGGGCGAACATGTCAGCAATCAGTAAAGGCTGCAGCGATCGATACGTGCAACGGACCAGTTGACCTCCACTCCGTAGGATGTGCCCCATGGCTGTAGGTATCAACCTCTTTGTAGAAAGACGGAAGACGGAAGTCGAGTTAAAAGTACACAAGTTAAAGGGGAGCCAGTGCGCAATGGAGGAAATCTCCAATGCGCCAAAGTTTAGGATCGATCCAACTTCATATTATTCCCCGTGCACCCCTAACCGCATGGCACTAATATTCTAGTGCTGCCGTCCTCACCACCGTCTTAACCCATTCCCGTCCGACATCGAATCACCTTCCGCAGTGAAGTTGTCCATCGCGCAAGTCAGCATCGCGTCCGCTGCAGCCGAGAGGCGTCGGATTCGGAAGACCAAAACTGGCCAGTGGAAGAAAAGCCGGAACGCCCCACATGGACCAGGGATTGACGCAACATGATTGGCTATCAAGAGACACCAGAATGCCGGTGAAATTGCCGAATGCCGAGCTATTTTGCGATTTCGCCGCGATTGTTGCAGGACAGACGAGCGAAAGCTGGAGACGAGAGCGAGAGAGGGAGAGAAAGTGAGACTGGAGGGAGAGAAAAGTGCAGACCCCGGCGCATCTGGTCTGAATTTCACTAAGCCTGCGCACGGACGCATTTTCGCAACCGTTGAGTGCGGCCTCACATAGTTCGACGACCTCTTCAGCTCGAGTATCTGTAGAAAGTAAAAACATTTATATTCTTTCGAATATACAAATGCTCCTAGCGCGGAGAGCCACCATGCCACCTCATCCTCTATTGAGACCGCTGTCCTTTCATGCAATTCTTCATTGTCGTTCCGCCGGACCCTTCACATCCTTTCGTTGTTTTCCGCCCTCAGCTTTCTTCTCCTCGTCATCTAGGTTCTCGAGTTCCCATAGCAATGCGAGAAATCGCACCTTATTTCAAAACACCGGGGCTCTAGATGGGTACAAGATCTTAGATCTCACAAGAGTTCTAGCAGTATGAACCCACGTTTCGAAGCGCTTTGGCATTATTGAGAGAGACAAATAACAACTGACTCTCATATGTTAAATTGAACAGGGGCCTTTTTGCACCCAGATCCTCGCCGACTATGGTGCCGACGTGATAAAAGTTGAGCAACCGGGAAAAGGGGTTTGTTCTCCCCTCTGCATTCAGGTCTTTCACATAAAAAGCTCGTAGTGCCGTGTCCTGACCAATGGACAATCCCAAGTTAGGACGAAACGAGATACTGGCGGATTCATGGCGAGAGCGAAAAGTGGAAGGAAGAAGGTATATCGTGCTATTTTGCTTGCGTCAACAGGAACAAGCGCGCCATAACGCTGGATTTGAAAAGTGAGAAGGGAAGAGAGATTTTGTTGGATCTTGTGAAGAAGGTTGACGTGATGTGAGTACTGCAGCCTTGCTGAGCGCATAGTTAAGGTCCTCACAGCCTCTCAGCGTTGACAATTTCGTCCCGGGGAAGATGGACCAGCTCGGAATCGGGTACGATACTCTTTCGAAAGTAAACCCATCCATCATCCACGCGAGCATTTCGGGTGAGTAGGGATAAGCGACGGCAAAGACCAAGGAAGATGCTGATAGACTTAGGCTACGGAGCTGGAGGACCATACTCCAAACGCGCAGGGTACGATATAATCGCCGCGGCTGAAGGAGGGCTGCTTCATGTGACGGGAGAAGCTCAAGGTCCTCCGACAAAGCCAGGTGTGGGACTTACAGATCTCTGCACCGGGCTTTTCATGCACGGTGCCATTGTATCCGCCTTGCATGCGCGAAACAGGACAGGAAAAGGCCAGAAGGTTGACGGCTCCCTATTTGAAACCCAGCTGGCCCTGATGGTCAACATAGCCTCAGTTTGGCTCAACATGGGCCGCGAAGCGAAGAGATGGGGAACGGCGCATCCCAGCATTGTTCCATATGAGGCGTTTCCTACCAAAGATTCCTATCTTGTCATGGGTGCAACGAACAACCGGCAACTTGCCATATTAGCAGAGCGCCTGGGCCAGCCAGATCTCGCACGGGACGAAAGGTTCCGAACGAATGACGCCCGTATCGAGAATCGTGTAGAGCTGAATAAGATCCTACACGAGCTGTTTCAAACAAGGACCACTGATGAATGGTTAACAGTGTTCGAAAACAGTGGTATGCCATATGGGCCGATCAACTCGATAGAGAAAGCGTTTAGCCACGCGCAAGCGCAGGCCAGAGACATGGTACACACGCTGCAGATGGATTCTGCAGCAGACGGAGAGTTCAAGGTCACAGGTATGTTAACGGTCTCCTCCCAAACGCCATAAAGGTGCTTCTGCTAAACTGGCTGTCCCTTAGGGTTCCCGGTCAAGTTCAGTGAATCGAAGCCGTCGGTTCGAATCAATCCGCCCCTCCTCGGTCAGCATACAGAGGAGGTCCTTGCGGAACTTGGTATCACCGGAAAGAAGGTCGACGAACTTCGGCGGCAGGGTGTGGTTTAGATAGTTTCAGAGTGCACATTGGGGTAGAGCTGGAAAACATGGAGCTGCTGGGGCCTTTGTTTGTCACACAGCGCATAAGATTCCATTTTGAATAAGATATAATTCATGGGCTAGTGCAAGCCATCAGGAAGTATTATTCGTCTTCACTGCCCTTTCGTACTTCACACTTCGTACTCGGTAGCGGTCGTCGATATCATGCAAGCAGTTTCATGCGCGATCGCGGTAAAAATAGGAGAAAGCCAAGTGGAGATCCTCGGCTGGCCCAACGTCGTCGACGGGTCCCTTGCGCGCTTCTCCAAATCTTCGTGTCGGTGTAGTCGGGTTCGGCAAGAAAAGAAAGCCGCACTCATGAAAGAATTTATCAGCCTGCACGGATTCCGCTGTCCTGCTTCAGAGAAGATCGCTGGATGCAACTTGGCAGAGGGTAGAAGTCGAGCTGAAGACCCTCGAAGCTGCAAACGCGCGAATTTAACTCGTCTGTTAGTCAACTCTTAACTAGTTACTTAACTAGTTGAGTTAGTTTGACAGGGATAAAGCTTTTTTTTGCTTTTAAATTTCGGTAAAAGAGGATCCCAACCAGAGATTCACGTTGAGTCACTTTGCTCTTCACAGGCGGGAAAAAGGCAAACAGGGCTTTGTGATCTTTTCCTCCGTAATACGGAGTGGCTATCTTCCTCAAGCGAAGCCTTTTGGGAGCTATGAAGATATTTTACGGTCTTACAAAGAGAGCGCGCTTCGTGGACCTGATCGCAGGATAGAAGGAAACAATCATACGGTGTATTTCGCAACAGAAATTGAGTTGAGCCCTTACTCTCTAGGGCCGCAATGGCATCGCCCAAGTTGCATCCCGCCGAGTCATCGCGCAGATCAAGCAGCGAACACAGCCAAGGCATGGCTGCTGCACGTCGCGATGACTGTGGGGGAACTTCAACCATGGTTGATGCCGGGCATGGCGCAGATACGGCTGTGCAGGGCACACCGAACCGCGATGAACATGGACGCGGCTGGCTTGCGCAGCGACTAGAGGGTGAAGTTACCCTCAAGCATGCAGACATCATATTCCTTTTCTGCTACTTCCTGTCCGGACTGTGCGACAGCTCTGTTTTCAGGGCCTGGGGATGTTTTGTTAGCATGCAGACCGGTACGCCTGTTCCTCCTCCTCCTCAAACTTGATCCAAGCGGCCGATCAGAAGCAAGAAAAAAAAAAAACCTGACCGTTCTTCTAGGCAACACCGTTTTCCTGGGCCTCGGAGCCTCAGACTACGCGTTCCGAAAAACCTCCAAGTGGCTCAAGTCCCTGGTTTCCATCTGCTCGTTCGTGATCGGCAGCTGCGTCTTCTCCATGAGTAGATGGATCGGTCCGCAGAAGCGGCGCACCCTCGTCAGCACATTCGCGATCCAGTGCGCCCTCCTCATCATCGCTGCATCCCTGCTCCAGTCTGGCGCGATTTCGGGGAAGACGGGACCCCAATCCAGCAGCGGCAGCGGCAGCGGCAGCGGGATCGTCACCGCAGATGACCCCCAGCCGGACAAGGCCATGTTTCTCGAACTCGTCCCCATTGCGCTCGTTGCCTTCCAATCCTCCGGGCAGATGGCGGCCAGCCGCCTTCTCGGATTCAACGAGATCCCCACGACCGTCCTGACCAGTCTGTACTACGACCTCGCGTCCGATCCGGGGCTGCTACTGCCCCTATCGCAGAACGTAAAACGAAACAGACGGCTCAACGCCGCGATTGGCGTTATTGCCGGCGCAATCTTTGGCGGGTGGCTGGCGCGCGCGACTGGGGGCATCGAGACGGCGTTGTGGATTGCGGCGGCTAGCAAGTTCGTGATAGCGAATAGCTGGTTGTTCTGGAAGGGAGAGCAGAAGATCCCGTCGCCAGTTTGACGAGCATAATTGGCTGGCGGGTGGAAAATGGATTTGCTTACAGTATTACGATGAAGGCGGCGCTTGCATGTTGCTGCCGGGCTTTCCCGGTGGCCTGCGCCGTAAAACACAAAAGCCTTACTGTTTATAGAGAGATAGATATGTAGATACCCCCCTCATGGACGACACCCTCACGATAGACATACCATACAGAGAATACGAGGAAACTAACATTCATTATTATCCCCCCGAATGTCCGAACCCGTAAGCCACTAACTAGGCATCAACCGCCGTCGTACTTTGATCAGAAAAAGGGAGGACATCGTATCAACACGCACCATCCTGAAAGCCGAAACTCAACCTCCACGGCTCCGAGAATCGGAACAGGTTTCTTCACACCTTGGGCATGAAACCATCATGCATCCATGCCTAAAATCAATCATCACGAGCGGGCGCACGCTCCCCAAAGCTTTCACACACACATACACCCCAAGAAGCGATGAAGCCAACTAAACACCTTCGATAAGGCTCGCCAGCTCATTCCCGACAATCTGGAAAAAAAAAAAAAAGAAAGGCAAACTAAGGCTTCCCCGCAATATGTATGTATGTATAGTCCGCCATCCAGAAGCGCCAAACAGAGAAGACAACGCATCAAGTGAAAGCCAACCACCGATGTCGCGCTCGCGGGCCGGCGGCGGTCCAGATTCGCGATAACGAGCTTGATGACGGAGCCGGCATACATTACGATCTGACATGCAAGCAAGGGAGGGCGTTCGTGAACTTCATGCCTGAATTACATCGTGGCAGATCGGCCTTAGATCACACCCTCGATGGAAAGTTAATCAGCCTCATTGACACCATCAACTTCTATATGGTGAGCAGATGGAAGATCCCACACGGTCCAAGCTTTCTTTTTTTTCAGGCCGAGCAACCGGCGAGCACTGACACATCCCCTCCGCCCAGCCGGACTCCTCGCCCACAAACTTACTTGCTCGTGAATGATGTTACCGCGCACGGAGTAGTTTTCACCGGGCCCATTCCGAGGTGTGAAAATCGCCATTCTAGAAAAAAGCTTCCAAGAAGCTTCGCGAGAATCCGCAATTTAGCCTATTTAAGTACCAGTTACTTCCGTACATTTAAGCACAAACGAGCGTACCAAGCTCGTATCGCACGAGTACATGGTCTCCTTGTTTTTCGCAGGCTTAAGCTAGAAAGAAGTGGTTGCAGTCATTGACTCAGGGGAGAGGCAAGCCGGGTGATATATCGCGTAATTGGTGGTATTCATCTACCGCCACAAAGGCAAGAGAGGCGTGAGAGCGATCCCGAATTGACTTCCGGAGATGTGCCCTACCACAAAAGAGTAGCACGCGAAGTAGTATTGAGGCTGTCGATGGTCCAAGGCTCAGTGGATGATACCACGCTTTAGGCTTCATACTTGTCTTACTATCGTAAAAGGAACTCTGGTCATGTGGTACATGAGAACTGAGTGTCTGGCTATCGGAAAGTATGGAGGTTGAAAGAAATAGATTTTAAATAGTATTGCGTGAGTGTACGCTTATATACATTGAGTGACTGGTATAGGTAGGGAGCGTCATGAAGTCAAGGAGTGTAAAGTAGATCAGAGACAGAAACACAAGGAAAAGAAACGCACAAAAAACAAAGTGGTATCATTAAATTAAAAGCGAAAAAAAAGAAAAAATTAAATAAATAGGAAAACAGAACAAAGGGAATAACAAAGGAAACAGTCGAGTAGAGACAAATTGGAAAAACTAGAGACCACCTCTTGGGTATGAGCAACAAAAAAACAAAAAAAAAAAAAGAAAAATCTCTCAGACACACCGGACGAAACAAACTCAATGGCCGAATAATAAGAATGCATCGCGCCGAGGAATGAGGTAGCAGTTAGACAATACTTTCGAACTGGGTACGATTCAATGCAGACGAGAAGACCCCCAAATGCATTTCCTGAGCGCCGAGAGAATAACACAAGGCCTTTGGACGAGTCCCAACGTTGAGTCAAGACGGGGTATATCGGTAAACGTGGAGTGGATAGAATATGGGTTGCCGGCGACGGCGAATAGTTTATATGTAAATCTCGGAACGAAGTCGAAAAAGCAGAGCGCCTGGTCGCGTTCCAATATAAAAATAGAATAAATGCTCCGGATGTTACTTCCCACCGTAAATTTGTGGCAATAATTAGGACAAAAAAAATATGCCGAATTTGCTTGTCACCTCGAACGGACAAGGGGGAAACGTTGTGCGATTAGGGTCATGTTGCTGGATCCGTCTCTTTATAGAATATTTTTTCCCCTTTTCTTTTTTAATTAGAACAAGGAGGAGCAAGTTAATTTCATACCTCCGTGGGCCGTCGGAGGATCTCTTCACAGTTTGCGTCAAACCGCATGTTCCACAACCGGATACTGTTCATCAACTTCTCCGTATTTTCTAGTTCCCGATCCCGGCCGAAGATAGAGTCGACGAATTCGCATCCGGCGTTTCGACCCATGGTGACAGAATTCTTTCCGCTTTCTCGCTTGGCGGCTTTCCACATGAAGTATTCGCATGCCTTGAGCAGCTTCTTGAAGCGACACCACAACCGCTCACCGCTCTCCAAGAAGTCCTCGACCATCTCCCTCGTCTCTCTGCAACGAATCAACGGGGCGCATTCATCCGCTCTCTTCACTTTGCCCGCGAGTTTGATAAGCAGCAACCACAGATCGCCGGCGACATCCGACATTGGGGCCGTCGCACCGTAGTGGAAAATGGTCCAGTCGTAGATCCACTTCCCGAGCGAGTTCGCGTCGAAAACGCTACCGAGAAGGAGAATAGGGGCTTCGGTGGGGTCCCAATTCTTGATCGAGAAGCCGGCGGGTATTCCGGCGCGGATTGCATCTTCCTCGGTAGCTTTTGGCGGCGTCTTGAGGTTTGTGGTGGTGGTTGGCTTTGGTGGCTTCTGCGGCGTGCGGGCCGAAGTGGAAGCGCGACGGGCACGGGAGCGTTTTGGAGAATCTGCCTCTTCGTATACAGAGGGGGGAACCTGATCATAATCAAAATAAGCATCAGTGGGGTGCCTGCGACGAGATTCATATTTGGAGCGGCCGTGGCCATCATGGCGCGATGTTCGGGTTTCATAGAAACGAGCACCGGCCCCGAGGGGAGTGTGTTCGTATACATCAAGGTCGGAGTCAGACCGATCGTCATCAAAGAAGACGGACTGTCTGTGGGACCGGGGGGTGAAGAAGTGATTGTAGTGACTTTTGCCAGGCATGGAAGGACGGCGCGGTCTCTGCCAGCCATGGGACCTGGGCCGACTTTCATCACCAAAAGCACCACTTACATGCTCGGGCTGCTTTCGCGGGGTGGCGGCGTATTCAGGCACGCTCTCATAGTAACCGTGCCACGGGTACTGTCCGCCAGAAGTCGAGTAGTACGGCCCACCGTCTTTGGTCCCAGAATAGCTGGCTCGATAGGCGTGTCGTTTGGCGGAGCGAGGGGAGGCGTGCGGTGACGAGTAGGGAGCATTGTAGTAGGTATAGTGCGGGGCAGAGGGAGAATGGAGGTAGTCGTAGGCGGCAGACCACCCGGGTGGTGGACTGGAGTAGTGATACATTATCGAAGATCGGGCATGGAGGGTGTACTGATCGAACGAACGCTGACGGGTTCAAACGATAATTTTTGGTTCAGGAAAAATAAGAATGCAGCCGGCGCCTCGAGAATCCCACTGAACTCCGCTGTCGACAGGGAATAGCCACGTGAAAAAAAACAACGACGAAAAAACTCCAGCCCCAGAGCGGAGACCAAAAAAAAGACGAACTAGCGAAAAGCCCAAAACAGAGCAGAGTATATATTGTACAGGGATATCACTTTGCAAAACGACACAAACAGCGCAGGCAAAAAAAAAAAAAAAAAAAAAAAGGAAGAAGGGCAGAATGGGACGTAGTATGATATGCGTGTCGGTCACCGGGGGGAGGTGTGTATTGGAGGCAAGAGGAAGCGATAGCACTGATCTTGGGCGCGGTGCATTTGAGCTTTTTGGATCCGACGTCTCCCAGCAGAGCGAAAATGGACCGTTTTTGATGGTTGGATCGAGAACGGGGAGTCGATCCAACAAAGCGAGCGGTAGCCTGGAGTTGAGTTGCAGACCCTGCTTCGGGGTTCGAGCGTGGAGAAAAAGATATTAGAGTCTCGGGAAGAAACCGTGGATCGATGGACGGTTGGTATCCAGGGGACGAAGGCCGTCCGAGAGACGATTTGACTGGAGGCAAAGTATTTGATGGTTTGAGGGAATAAACCCAGGCAGGTTTTGGGGGAAGAAGAAGAAGAAGAAGAGCGAGACGAAGAGGGAAAATTGAGATTGAAAGTGTTTGTGCGAGTGTGGGCGTGGGCGTTGGGACATGGTGCGTGTGCTTTTCTACCCGTGCTGGGGAGGGGGGGCCGAGAGAAGGCCAGGTCGCATCCACCAGAATTACGCGGACGTGACGGCGGGCGCCACAGGGCAGGCGGGGCATGGCGGCTGGCTGGGGCCCATTAGAGACTTGCGATTGGCCGCAGGGGTGTCCTAGGTGGGGCCGGCGGAGCGGTAACAAACGTACTGTACGCGGCCTTACAGGCGGCCCTATCAGCGTCCCCTGCAACCCGGCGCTGGTTTGGGTGTGGTTGCTGCGTCTTTTTTTCGCCCGTCATTCCCACCACCACCGCCATCTTCTGCTACAGACACGCTGGGCTGACGGGACTGCCGATTACACAGCCCAGGACAAAAGAGTCTCTTCTTCTGTCGGACGGAAAAAGGCAGTAAAACAAAAAAAATCATCTAAAATACCAAAAAAAATATATATAAGATACTTAAAACTTAAAAAATAAACTATCAACCATTAACAATTCGCAATCCTGGCACATCCACGGGAGTCGCAACAAGCTGAAACGATCCTTTCAAGGGCAAAAGAAGAGGCGCGGCCGTCGACTAGCGAGGCTCCAGCGCTTTCTGGCGAGGTTCGTGAGTGAGCGAGCTCTTTGGATAATTTAGTTATGACTGTGTCCTTCCGCTCGGACCAGGATCTAGGCAGACGAGGGAAAGGAAAAAATTTTTCACTGCTTGATTCACTAGCGGCCGCCTGCTGCGAAATGAATTTTGATTGCCCTTTTTCGACGGAAATTTCATCGCAATCCACAGTCAAGAATCCTTCCACTGGCTAAGCGAGCTATTGGCTCCGCCACGTAATACATTTGCCGCCATTTTCACGGCTGCCTTGAATTCAAGAGTCCTCGTGCGCGTTTCTCATCTCCTTTGGTATGACTCCCCCCGTTCTCATTGACGGAGCGGTTTCAAAGCGTTGGAATGACGCTCCGAGAGATTGAAGAAGGACAGGCCATGAGGTTGTCAATACGACAGATGGGCTTGTCCTATCACGCTGCACCCAGCCCATCCCGCACGCAGACTGGCTAGTTTCAACAAAGAGTCCCCGTATATTATCTCGGACGGAGCGCGGAGTTTGTAGCACTCGGTTCTCAGGTCCCTCCCACCCCCAACCAAATATCATCAGGTGGCGTGCTGCACCCTTCATGTGTCCTGTATGCACCCTTTTCCCTTCCGACCAATCCGCCCGGGACAGGGATCCTCATAGCCGCGCCCAGCCTTGGTACAGACACGAGATTAACTTCCTCCCAGAGCGTTTCCCATCGTTTATGCGGTGGAACAAGCACGGCAAGTGGATGCAAACGGACCAGGGAAACAGGAATCTTGTCGGATGATGTGCAGCCAGGGCGCGCAATTGGCCGGCAAGACGCGTGCAATCAGGCTGTTTTGTTGCATACATCTAACTCCTCATGTCTGTCCTCCTTATGTAGTTCTTGAAGCTGCAATGTATGATGTATGTTCTGCACACGGCCGCAACAGACGCAGAGTTTCTTTCAATCGAGCCAACCTTCCAGTGACTTATTTCGTGGTACCGTAATCTCCGTGCTGGCCCCATGGCCCAAAAAATTGCTATTTTTAATTCATGTTTTATCCCGTCGCATGAATTTTTAGCAACGTTTGCATGAACTGAAATATATTGCATTCCTCTTCAGAAGATTCGTACAGAGCATGGAGGACTGACTTAATCTCTTTAGGTCCTGCGAGTCAACAGAGTTTTTCCCTCTTTTTTTTTTTTTTTTTTTTTTTTTAAAAAAAAATTTTTTTTTGAAAATTTCCGCCGGAGTGAGTTATCTGTCTTGCGTCTGCTGCATGGAGACATCATCCCGCTCGTCCTGCGCTTCTCCCGCCCCGTTTTCTGGGCGTGTTGCCCATCTGCGCCTTGGAAGAAGAAGTATCATCGAACTTTCCACTGAACAAAACCGGGAATGTGCACGGATCCACGGTCGGTGATTGATCACCTCGGGGAAGTTTTGGTTCTTTTTTTCTTCTTCCACTTCTTCTCTTTTTTTACTTTTTTCTTCTTCTGTGTGTCACCAAGGACAGAGGCGACTTGTTCCATTTGAACTCTTTGGCCAGTTCTTTTCGTGATCGTCAAATTATTTTTTGTCTGCAAGCCACCGGTTCCGAACCAGCCAGAGTGACTACGGAACACGGAAGTGCGGAGTTGCAGGCTCGTTGAACGCTGTACTCTCGGATTGCCCAAAGAGCCAGCTCATTCCCGAGCCCGACACGCGAGAGAGCGAACTTTCTGAAGATGTGTCGATGACCGGATTGAAAAATGACCACTTTTGAGACGATTTCCCACTCAGCCTCTCCGAGTAATTCCATATCTTCAGGTGGAATATGAAAGATAGTTGTTTCAAGCTGGTCTTTTCGAGTGACTCACTTTTGTTCTTGCAGTGATTATGAGCCTCTGCCGTAACCCCCCTGCAAAATTGGTTTCATCCTTAGCTTCCTTCAGCCCTGTGCAATTATGTCCTGATTTGGATTATGCGCAGCCTGAGAGAGATTTCTTAAAAGAGAAAAGAGGAATGGCACCAGCATCAAATGAGTCATTCATCAGCCAGCCGCTGGTGACACCTGATTGCTAGGAAAGCCGACTTAGAACATTGACGAAGCTCACATTTGCAACAGACTGCCCTCTGTTCGCTGCCATCTGCATGAAAGAGGTCTCCTCAGGATAAACCCTAGCACATACAAAAGCATGCTATTGGAAATTTCTTGCAGCAATAACAGGAAAGCAAAACTTGGAAGATTCTAGTCTTGTTGTGAGGAGTGCAACATATGTTGAACATATTGTTTCGTACGGCCAGAAACTTTCAGATTTTGAAGGCTCTTTTCATTCACCTGTGCCCGCAGTTCAGCACAGCTTCTCCTTCCATTCATAATTACTGAAAGTCGACAGCCCTTTCGCTTGTAACGTTAGGGAATATACCGAACCCCCCACAGCTGGTCGTTGTGGGCGATCAGTCTAGTGCAGAGAGCTCCGCTCTCGATGGTTTAACAAGGCAACTTCGCCTTCGAGACAACGGTCTCTGTACGCGATTTGCCACTCAAATTATCTTGCGTCGCCCCCCGGCGACAAAGCTCACCGCTTCCATCATCGCAGGCAAGCAGAGCGCCAAAGATCACAAAGCACGCGTTTCAGAATTGCTGAGGACCCAGCTCCAGGTTTTGGATGCTGCTTATTTGGAAAGCATATGATGGAGGCTAGTTTCCGACCCATTCTAGCTTCCATTAAGGAATTAAACCCAGTCGAAAACGCTAGGGGTATTGGCGATGTCGGCGACACAGGTATTTCTCGGAGGACATCCGCATCGAAGTCTACGGGCCAAACCAAGAGCATTTTAGCGTCACTGACCTCGCGAATATCTCTAGAAGAACGATGGCCGGAGTCTCCACCAAGGTAGATAAGTCCACGGTCAACTGCATGGCGCGCGGATACATGGAAACCCAATATCCGCCATTCCCACAACAATACACACCAAGCTGGATATTGCCACGCAGGATGTGTTTGAATGGGCAGTGGAGTTCGATCCAGATAGGAACAGAACTCTGGAAGAGTTGACGGGGCCTGACCTGGTCGATAAATGAGCAAAATTGGACGTGGGAAGAATCCACCAGTTGTGGCTTGGGTGACGCATTCTCCGGATTCTTAGCCAGGCACAATTTGTAACACCAGTTTTGGAACCATGGAGACATCGAAGCACATTTCTTTAAACATAAACACCTGTGGAACGATTTAAGTACAGACAAGAAGGGAATTGACTCACTGCGACCACGGCTCCAGGAGATAACGGCGTATTCATATACGTCAAGAATTTTCTAAAGGTATGAATTCCCTTGAGCCGGGACAAGACATGCGGCAATTAGTACCAAGGCGACAAAGAGATCAAAAGCGAGATGAGACAGACGATGAAAGAGATAAGGAAAGCCATTGAAAGTCTGGGTGCGAACACGGACACCAGCGGAGCAGAGCCGCTCCTTGATTTGGAGTACAGCCATGGTAACATCTTTGACAGGCATCCGAGTCTTCGGATCGCCACTGAGGCGATTGCTTGCAGAAAAAATATTTGCCCGTACGATGGCCATAGCGGGACATGTCTCCTGCTTCGATATCGATTATCGCAATATACACAGTAGAGATAAGTCTGAGGAGAATCGCATTGATAAAGCTCCTTCTGTGGAAGGGTCAGGCCCTAGGGCACCGGGAGAAATTAGTGTGAGAGTCATTAAAGATCACCCTGATATTGCTGACCTTCTATACGAGAAATACCTCTGTGCCTTGGTCGCATACCTGCGGAATGCTTGTGTGGCTGAAAAAGGTTCATACGGAGTCCCGCGGGTTTGAGCTAGGAACTTTGAAGGCCGCACTCTCCTATTCATCATGATGAAAGGACAGTGCTAAAGGGCTAATCCTAGCTTTGGGCTATATCAGTGATGTGATAGCCTTGGTGTATTCTCTGATCCTGGAGGCCAGATCAATATTCACAGCCGAACCAGGACCGTTCTGTCGGCTTACATTCAATTTACACAACTCTGCCCTGACTCGCCGAAACTCTCTTTCGTTGTCTTTGGGCGAGATAACACCTGGAAGCAATATCTGCTCGATTGCATCTAGGATTCCAAAATTGGCCGGGTGGAAGCTCGTCGCAAAGCAATCTGAGTCGAGTTTTCCTGCGGATCTATAGCTTGGCTCCAGGATGTCTTGAGAACCTCTGCTAAAGGTGGCTGGAAAGCAGTCTCTGACCAGCGGGTCCAGAGTTTCCCCCTCCAGCGGAAGAGTGACGGCTGATGTGACAGCACCCACTGTCGAACGCCAGTAAATGTCCACTGGAGGAGACTCTCGCGGGCTCGAGACGTCTGGTGGATCTGTCAATGTGCCTCGGCGAACTATAGTGATGTTGCCGGCACAGGAAAATAGGGCTAGATCTCTCTTCCCTTCAATAGCAAGCAGCTCGAAGGTTCTTCAAAATACTTGTTGAACAAACCCGCTCTAGGGACGGAACACTACTCTGAGATGGGGACAAAGAAACCTCAATTTCGTGAGGCTTGCACTTCATCAAAGTTTCAAGCGAAGCTTCATAAAATTCATTCTTTTCTGCCCAGAAATCAGCATATCAATAACAACAGCGCCTGGACAACATCAGCTTGCCGTACTCAGACGCGCGCCAGGCGCTCCATCTGACTTTTACTTTGAGTTCAAGACATTTGAACTTTTCCTCTACACTTGCAGACGGAGCAACCTTCCGCTCGATGAATGCCGGTGCAAACCTGTCTAGATCTTTCATCAGGTCCGATTTAAAGGCTTCTATTTGACCTCTAGAGAGCTCCGAGTCCTCTTTGAGCTCCCATGGCACATCCTGCTCGTGATCTCCCCCATTCGCCTCGCGTAGCTGAAAGATACATCTATCGAAACAAGCGAGAATTTTGGTGTCCTAACTCTTTGCTATGAATGAAACCGTCCTGATATACTTGAAGACACCAGACCATCTTGGAAGTGTGTCAAAGAGATCCATACCTCGATCTATCTTTGAGCAACAAGCTTCCTCGTCTCCTCCGCTGTATATTTGTACGTTCTCCCCCGAAATGTACGAGCCCAGGAAGGCGAGGAGAAGGAACCTACTATGGCTGAACGATCCAGCGAGGTCGTCTATCTGATGTAAATTCGAATCCAAAGTGCCCCTGAACGTCACCACCTATTTCGGCTCGGAGAAAGGAGCGTATTCACTGGCTGGCGCCTCGATCGAGCGACGTCAAATTTCCCTGCTGGGCGTCGTGGCGGCCTGAATTCTGAGAGCTGCTGATCGCTCTTAGAACAAGTGGCACGGTATCTAGTTAGCAGTTACTTAACTAACTAGTTTATCGGGACCGCTGAAGGAGACCGACGAATATTGTCTACAACAAAACATAGAAACCAAAAAAAAAAAAAAAAAAAAGAAGAAGATAAAAGGAAAAATGGAGAAAGGCGGATAAGCCAAGGGTAAGGCGAGCATTTAATTCCCACCACGGGTGCAAGGGAAGTGGAAAGCAGCACGCAGAGAGCTTGGGAACCATGGCTCCCTCCACCTCCCGGCTGGCAGTTCTTGTGGACGGATGTATATGTATGTAGATACATACAATTCGTTTGCTACCTCTAACTATATGCATAGAAAATTGGCTAAGTAGTTTGGTGGACTTGTCGTGGAAACACCATATTCAAGTGTTGTGCTCGTTTGCAGATGAGGACTCTTAAATGGAGTCGGGCTGTTTGCCTGGGTAGATGTTCATGGAGCTTGAGAGGACGACGCAAGCAATATTGACTTCGAGAGGGGTAATAACTTGGAGATGGCAAAGGAGAAGGAAAAGCTGGCGTGAAAGAAGTGAAACAGCATGGCTGAGAAATTTAAACAGTTAGAGACTGAACTGATAATCTATACGCTGATTACGAGATTAGGGCATTGCCGCAAACACTCGAACGTATGTACACAAGGGGAAGATTTGAGACAAGGAAATGTAAAAAACCCCGAAACACACCGAGAAAGGGTATATTCGAACAGACAGGTACTCCATCTCGCGTCAAACAACAATGTACTCCTGAGTCATTTTCTCCGAATCAATAATCCGTCTCCACTTGAAGCCTTCTCCACCAACAAGTTCTCGGATCGCACACGGTGGGCCCATTGGACCCGCAGAACTCCCCGGATGCTCCGCCTTTGTAGCTGTCCGCAAGTCGGAGGGGCTGTTAGTGACGTCTGGGAATGGTTCGGAAGAACCTTGTTTAGAGTCGCTCGCCCAGATCTTCTCGAGGAGTTGCAAACAAGAGAGATTATTCACAAACCCTGAATCCTTCTGTATATCACAACACCTCTGACGAATGATCTGCCTATCCGCTTCGAAAACGCATTCTGCCCCTGTAATGAATAGAGGCCAGAGGAGAAATACGTCCGACTGAACAGCGGTGATATAATGCAAAGCGCCATACACTAAGTTCTGAATTCGTGCGTGAGTAGAAGGGATATTTGGATTCGCAAGACGCTCGAGATACAAAAGACCTGCATATCGGAAAGATTCAGATATACTGGAAACATCGGGGAGATTTGCCTGGGGTACATGGGCGAGAGTTGACGTCGCAGGAGGTGTAGCGGAAGTAAAGCCGGAAGAGGATGGGAAATGAGCAGAAGAAGTAGGTGTGTGCGCAGGTGTAGTAGGGCTTGGTGCCGTTGTAGACGCGGGATCCATCCGCCACGACTCCAACCTTTGCCGCATTGCACGCCATTCTTGCCAGAATTCAGTACGTGGATCAGAAACTTGATACGCATTGAACGGCATGTCGCTGGGGAAAGGAACAAACCCTTCACGCGAATAAATAGGGGATGAGAAAGTGGGATAGTGAAGCATAGAGGGAGGAGGAATAACTGTTGCAACCGGTTTCTCCACAAATTCGTTCGGCTCAACTGGTTTCATTTGACTGAGTTGGTTCAGCCGACTGAGCTGGGCAACCATCCGAAATAATCGCGACTCGCAGCCCGCTAGGTTTTCCAGCGCCCATTCATCGCCTGTTTGGGTTACAAGGTCAAGAAACTCGGCACTCAGCTGGCTGTCCCGATCATTGACGGCGGCGGTCATCGTGTCAAACCAAGTGAACATTCTCATGAACCACTTTGTTGCCTCGAAGTTGGAATTTCTGCTATTTTTGCGAAGAGCAAAGAGCTTTCTCACACCCGCAAATTGGCTTTTGAAAGATGCAAATCCGGTGTCGCACATGTGAAATATGCTGAGTACCAGCAACGTCGCCAGCAAGGCATCGGAACGTCTGGCGATAGGGTCAGCCAACTGAGCATTCACTGAATTGATCACAATTGCCTTATGGAGCGTTTCCTCTTTCATCTGTTCATCTGGGCTAAGAAGCCCAAAGCCTTCGGTCATCGACCTGTCTGTCAATCGACAGTGTGCCTGGCATGACCTGCGAGAAGGCAAGGTTTTGCCTGTGGACAGTCCCCAGTTTTTCCTTCTCTGCCTTAAATTACTGAGCGACAGAGTAGCAATCGCATGCTGTAAGGTGTCGCTAGTTTTAGCTAATTCTATCATGTATAGCCGGAACGGGCTTGTTGGGGTATCGAATGCCACGATCACAGGAGCGATCACTTCCATGTAATAGCCGATGAGATACCGCATTCGTGGGGTCTGACCAACCATTTGGTTCCAGAATGGCTGATGGATAAGATAGCTTTGCGAGGACACCGATTCATAGTTATCACCGGGGGTTGACGTGTGTGCTTCCGGTGGGGATGAGGAGGTTGGGCTGATTTCATCTTCAGCTGGCCGTGAGTAGTTGCAAACTACACGTTTTCTCGAAATATTTGCATGCAAGGGCACAGACTGGTCAGACACAGGCGGAGATGGAGGTGACACATGCGGATGCGAAGTCGCCAGGTGCGTCCAGGCAGTCGGATGGAACTGGTCATTGTCAAAAGATGCGATAGATGTAGTCCCCGGCCCAGTGTTGGAATACACAGATTGGCTGGGAGTATATTCTGTATGGTTCTCAGAAGGGGTATATGAAGACTGTTGAAAAGAAGCTATATTAACAGGTGATTGGCTCGTATGCGATGTGATGGGGACGTCTGGCGCCGCGACCGTCGATACCCAGCTCGCTGGACTTGAAAGCGAACTTGTTGGAGTCAATGGAACGGACGAGGATATGAATCCGCTGAACTCATCTCGAGCCTGTGCAAGGCCTGTCACGTCATTTCTATCTTTCGCGTGCGGAACACTTCTCGGTGTTTGTTTCCTTGTTGCAGTTTGGGACACGGGTACGGTAACTTTCTGAGAGCCGGATATCGGCAACGACAAACCCCTAAGCTTCCCACGACTCGCAACACCTACACCCCATGTCAACGTTGTCTTGTATCCCGAACACCGCCTCCCCAGATCCAAACACTGAGTGCAATATGGTCGTCGTCGGTCACAGCTGACTTGGCGGTCCGCACAGGTAAAACAATCATCAGCAGCACCGCTCCCTACAGCTCGTCTACGTCGTTTCCGGGGTGCGGGAGCCAATCCGTCACCTTGCTTTGCTGACCTTCGGCTCTTTAGGGCTGGAGGAGGAGCTGCAGTGGCGGTCGAGCCTCCTGAGGACATGACTGGTCACGGTAACGCCGAACTCTCTGAATTAAATAGGTAACGTCGGGGAATATTCCTGCCCGCCTCGCAGGTGGATCGGGCCAAAGAAGGGACGGAGGACTTCGAGGTCGTATTCAGTGGGCAGTAACGAGCAATGCCATTGTCTCCATGCTGGCAGGAGTGAATTCCTAATGTATTCATATAGCTAATATTCGGCCGGGGTAGAAAAAGGGGGGGAGGAAAAAAAAAAAAGAAAAAGAAATGAAATGAAAAGAGGCCCTCCTCCAAGTTGAAAGCGATGGAGAAAAGCGAAGGGGGAGAGAGAGATATTTGGCGTCGTTGAGATTTAGTTTAGTGCCGATCTGCAGAGTTTCAAGTCGACGGTTCTCGAAGGCGGCAGAGAAACGGTTTAGAGCCCAACACGAGGTTAACTAGTTAACAGCTCATCGTCAGCAGCGAATTCCTGTGCCCTCACAGCCTTGTTGATACTAAGGCTTGGGCCTCATCTTATTGTCTCCTCTGGGCACCTGAGGAATTATGTAACTTGTGCACGGAGGATGTCGGGGACGTGGCTGGCGGGAAACCGAACCATGTTTGGGAGAATCGCATGGCACTGGATCCAAAAGAGCCCGCCTTTAGAAGGATTTCGACCAAATCCAGAGTGAGCTGCGCCCGATAGCAGAGGATTGCGCTGTCATCCCGGTCGGCAGCTCGATAATAGCGAGTGACGAGACCACAAAAGAAAAGAAAAAAGAGGGATGAGGTCGACCACGTATCCGTAACATCACCCCATTCCACTGACGCTAAGCCAGCGTGTTGATGGTTTTTAGCGCCCCTCTATCCAATTGTACTTGGGAAGACGGCGATCAGCGGCCCACAAAATCAAACACGCCATTTTGCCTTAGTCAGTAGCGACACGTGGGCCTAGCGTGGTCCGCGTTCCTTCCCCTTTCCGTGTTTCGCCAAGGATTCTAGAATAGGTTAATTAAAAGGAAGGGGCAACCCACTCAAATGCAAAGGGGAATATTCTGATTGGACAGCCGGTTGGATATTCCCGAGCATTGTAGGCTCCTGATTGGACAATATCGACAATCTGGTCCTGATTATCACGTGATGTAGTCCACGGATAAACGTGCTGCCGTTCCTAATTGGCTGGCTGGCCCCACTCGATTTCTTGGCGCCATTCCCCCCCCCGCTTTCGCTTTTCCGTCGTGTTCGTTCCTTTTTGCGGCCGCCCGCGTCGAGCCTTCACCGATCGCTGCCAATATTCCCTTCTTTCTGCCAAAGCGCAACAGGCCTCACGCGTCCACAAGCATTGCATTTATAATCAAGGAGTGCCAATAGCTCTTGGCCTTTGGTCTGTTTTGCACTTCGTGTTTAAGGAACGGTGAGAGATCCCGCCTTGATTCGGTCCAAATGGCAGTTCCATCCTTGCGTTTGGAAAGTCGATTGGCCCTCGAGTATGTATGGACTAACGCGGCCTGCGTCGTGGAACTCTTGTGGAATGTTCTCCCGGATGGCCCGGAATACCGCAGCTCCCCTTAACCGGTAAGCCGCAGAGAGCCGTCCAGTGTCGGCGACGGGACGCCGATGATGGCTACATGCCCAGGACTCCCTCATACACAAACACAAAGTGTACCGGGGCGCTTCCAAGGTTTGTTAAACGAAGGACTCCCGCAGCCCAGATTGATAAAGTTGCGTCCGTCGGTTGGCGAAAAGCTGGCGGCTCGTTCGGGTACTGACGCAGAAATAAGCTATTCCTTGAAAAAGCCCTTGAAAAGCTGCGCAGGGACCTGGGTTGATGGCTCCAGGCGGGATCTTCGCTTGTCTATGACGCCAGCTCCAAGGCTCTTATTTCTACTCGTCTCGCGCCGAACGGGGCAAAGATCTGTCAATTCATACTAAATGGGGCCTGGAAACGTGGTTGCCCACGCACTTGGACACCACAAGCTTGGTGCGCCGCGCCATCTCGCGGCCTCGTCGTCGGCGGCCGCCCCCAAGCCATACTTCCGCCTTTCTTTGCGGGGACCTTGCTTGCGCAAAAACCTGTCTTTGTCTATCGCCTTCTTGGGATAGACGGAGGCCCAAGCGCCGCAGTAATGTATTTTAATATATTTATTTTATTCTGAATCATGCATGTATAATCGAGTATTAGTTACTTATATCCTCTGTACATAGGTACAGAGTAGTGAGCAGGGAATCTGGATGTGTGCCTGTTCCGAGTTAGTGCAAGAGGATCACCGCTCTGTTCTCACCCCTTCCTTTCCATGTCCTCACCCATCCTCACTAGCATACATGGATGCGATACAGACTTTTGCAAAACCATGCAGGAATGTTTACACTGGGTAATTGTGTGGAGTGGTCAATGCTGCCCGAGGAAGTCCACACATTCGCGCAATGAGGAAGTGCTTGGACGACCATCACGTTGCATATCTTCTAATCATGAATTGGCATCAACTTACATAGATGGTAGCCGTCAAGCATAGGATCCTGCGGGGCATTGATTAAAAGATCTCTTGATCAAGACTAGATTCAATCATCAAGGGGAGTAGGCCTTTGCAAGCGATATAAATTCCTCATCTTTGGTCTTGCCGGCAAGCAAAAAAAATTAGCAATAAAAATAAAATAACAATAAAAATGGAAAATAAAAAAATAAAAAAAAGGGGAATAAAAATAAAAAGAGAAAAATTTCCATCCCACATCATATGGAAGGAAATTATCAAGCCCAGGCTCAGTTACAGGCCTCTGCACACCTCCACAATCTCCTTGGCTACTTTTTGATCAGCTTTATGTTAAAGTGCTCTATTAGTTTAAGTAACTAAACAATTAACCACCAGGGTAGTAACTGGAGTCCATGTTTGACTGCGGAATTGAAGAGTTTTCAAAAATCGCATCTTCATCATTGACGACAGCTGGTCTGACATTTTGCATGAATTCATATGAAAACAGATCTCCCGCCCTATACTTGGCGCCTAAAAACACGAATTATTCAATAATTAAGAATTACAATTGTTTTGACCCATCAAAGACATTCATTCTCTCTCTCTCTATCTCTCTATATATATATATACCTGTTTGGTATCTCCTCATATCTCCAGACCGCCATCCGGAGCAAGTCCCTCTTCAGTTTCCGGTGAAAGGTCTCCCAGCCCAGCACGATGTCTCTATCGTCATGAGACTCGACTTCGAGAAAGTCACTTAATTGGAGCGCGAGTGGGGGTGGAGTGGGTGCAATCAATGCTATAATTAACATAAGGTCAGAATGATGGAGAACGATAGCGATAACACTGAAAACCTACAACCCTGAATCAACGATTCTTCACCCCCCCCCTAGTTTGCGCATTGCGCTTCCATACTTCAAGGAACATGTGTATTATCCCGATCCATTGGGTGTCACCCAGCTTAAGAGGACCAAGTTGACTCTCAAAGTGGAATGCGCCTTCTAGATCCCGGTCCCCTTGTTGGAAGGGCAAGAGATTCTAGCACCGCAGCTGGAGGATTCTCAATGGGACAGTGGTATTCGGAACCGTCTGTAAGTTCCACAAGGAGTACTCTTTGTACATCCTGTTTTCCCTCAAGCCAGAGCTTCGCACTCTTGACAAGATGGTCATATGTTCCAGCCAAAACAACCTCAAGGATGAGCATCCTCTTGCCCGATATAAGGGCTAGATCAGGAATTTTGTATTAGGCAGGATGACCACCCCTATACAGTCGAAATCGCCCATTGGTCCGTATCGTGGTCTCTAAGCCGGTATGACAAATGCCATCATTCAATCAATTGTAGAATGTCTCAACTACAAGTCTGTGAAGTGAAGATACCATCCTCCACACTCAACTGCGACGTAGATGGGTCATAAAGAAACTTCGGGAAGCTAAGCATCTTATCTGTTATTAAGCAAAATCTAACAAGTGTGCTGAAGATAGCTTACCTTTCTGCTTCCCCTGGGTCAAGTTCAGCTTCCAGGCTGTACCACTGATGGGGACCTATGCTGATGGACAATATTTCCTCTTCATTGATGCCTGGAGGGAGCGTGTTATTAGGCCTGGATTGCTCAACTAGAGATTTTATATACCCAGAGGGCGAATCAAACTGCCAGCTTTCTAGTTACCCATACTGGCGGAAAGTGGCAGCAAGTTTGTTTGGCTTTGACGTGTTGACCACTGCAGAAAAGTCCATCAAGTAAACATGTGTGACTCGCAGCTGGAGATGTTCGACCGTTTATATGTCTCTGAATGATGAACAAGACATATGAGAAAATTCCCCTAGTAATGTTGGTCTATCCCAGCCAATCTTCAAGTTGTTGGGGACAAAGGAGAGTTGATGCTTCGACAAAGAATATGCCTCCAGTTTTATCAGTAGCAGAGAGAAGGCATAGTTGAGAACCTGACAAGGATCGAAGATCTCTTGGACGGTTGGTCTCAACCGAGTTCCCTTTGCTGGATTAGCTTTAGCAAAAAAGAGATTAGTTAACAGACAAAGATGCAGATGCAAAATGAAAACAAAAGTAGAGACATTTTCTGCAGAAGATTATCCCACAGAAGAAGTATTTCATAATAGATTCATCGTGTCCAATCTGCGTATGCGCAGAGATTGTTACCCACGTAACACTTTCTATCACGAACGTGGACAAGCTCTTAGATTGTAATAGGTGACTCTCTTATTTTCTTTGACAATCATTTGTAGGTACAGTGTCCCAATGTCGCGGACCTTTAGTTCAGCAGGAGGTTTCGGGCATGGAAAGACCTGAGATGTTCCGGTGTCTATCGATGATGCGGATGCAGTGGTGCCTGTACTCGGACTAGTGTCCCAGGGCTGCATCCTAAGGGTAGGATAGTTCCCAATGATCCGGGCAACTTGGGGGACGTGTGGCAAGATATCCAAAAGTATAAGTAGAAAAAATTATTCAGTCAACAATAAGGCTGCCCGACCAGAATGGGATTGGGATCTCTCAATCCTAATTGGGACGCGGGTTGGATTCTTCTCAACCACAGGATTGGGTAACAGCTAACTATACGAAATAGAATGAAAATGGAATCACAGCATGAGTTCAAAGTTGTTGGGAACTTCTGTTCTGTTCTTGTTCCAAACAGTCGGTCTAACTAGTAGTTGGATCTTGGATGTGAATCAAAATTTTGTGATACAGTAATCAAAAGTAAGGATCATGCAATTACCAGCCGATTACAAAATTTGGCGGGTTGGATGCTACAGGCTGCCGTAGTAGCTCCATGACTCGTGACAACCTTAAGAGTTGCGGAAAAATCCAGGTTCCTGGGCTATCCTGGGTATGTACTGTACATGCCAACCATCCATGACGGCGGGCCTCCTTCGTCCACCTTGGATGTACTCCTTGAACCTGGGATGCAGCCCTCCTGGGTTGCGGGTGTCCAGTTCCGCCTGGTCCGGGCCCGAGCTGAGAACACCAGCCTGTTTTGGTGGAAATTTGAGGACTACTTTCGTTGATGGCCGGAGGGTGAGTGGTGTCCAGCGCTCACTTCATACTGACAATCAGCCCCGCTCGAAGGTTATCAAGCCCTATCCCAGTCCCTCGTCCTCAGCTCGTCGATCACTTGTAATATCTTCAAACGCCATGGTATACCTCGTCCGAATCTCCCACCTGAGATCTCCTCGTAGACCGCGTTTCCAGAACACGGCTGAGAGACTTTGAGATCGACTTCCTTTTTCCCGCCCTTCCCCTCCTCAAGAGCTAGTAAGTTTATCTTTACTTGATTCGAACCCCGACATTTTTGGCGTCATCTCCATACATTCCATGCATGGACTTATTCCATCTTGGACAAGCATCCACGGAGTATGTTGGCCGATTCGGCCCGAGTTGCGAGTCGCGAGGTTGCTTCCAAGTGTATCTGTCTTGCCTTCCCGGCCTATAGCTGCTAGCTTGACCTGAATGTATTTTTTTGACAGCCAGCTTACTGCCAGACAATGAGAATTACGTGCGCAGGTGCATGGTATATGCAGGTTGAAATAAAAAATTTGAATTATTGCTCAGCTACCATGTGGCGGAGGCACATGAGAAGGGCCCCTCCCGCAAGCTCCGGCAAACATCAAAAAGGCTCATCCACTATTTGGCTTCCAAAACAGCTCCATTATATGTATTACATACACACAGAAGACATTATCAACTCCGTCAAAAGTCTGCCAAATTAAACGCAAAAATGTCAAAATGAATGACAATGGTCAGCAGAAACACAAGGTGTGAGAACACAGGAATCTATGTCTTTGTAGATCAGGCATGTAGAGAATGGCCAAAGGGTCGGGCGGTATGGGAATGTAGCAGTAGCAGGAACGGCATAACGATCAGCAGGAACAAATAGTTAAGCAACCTAGAGAAGTCTATGCGCTTGTCGTGAACTAGTCAAGGGAGGACACAGGTCAGAAGAAGCACGATGACCAGAATGTTATCAAACATCTATGTACTGATTAAGCCCAGGCAAATATACAGCGCCGACGTTATCTCATCTCCAACTGATCCATAAATACACCCCACAATTAAGGCGCCGATAAAAAGGGACAATATTAAAAATTAAAAGAGCTATCCGAAAGGCTTTACCTCGACACAGGCGCCTCCGACGAAACAGTCATGTCGTCAGCCATTATGCCCACCTCGTCGGGTTGGTCTGACATCGTGCTCGCATAGAGTTTGCTGAAGTCTGAATCAGCAGACAAGAGGGTGTAAGGGTCGTCGAACTCTTTGAGCACACCGCCATCAAGGAGGGCCACTTTGTCAAAATCTAGAATGGTGTCGAGCTTGTGAGCAACGGCAATGATGGTGTGTCGAGAAAGCTTTTCCCGAATGACGCGTTGCATAATCTCGTCGGTCTTACGGTCGACACTACGCAACAAAGTGGTCAGCTTTTTTCGGACGTACAGGGCACGATAAATTAATGGTCACAGCACCACTTACTTGCTGGTAGCTTCATCAAGGATCAAAATCTTGCTAGGTCTCAGCATAGCACGTGCAAGGCAGAGCAATTGCCTCTGGCCGTGTGACAAGTGGAGATCGTCGATATCAGCATCGAGACCGCCATTTTCGTCGACAACAGACCACAGATGCACGCTCTTCAAGGCATTGATAATGGCACCATCAGAAAGGAAGCCGGTAGGGTCGGCATTCAAACGCAAGGTACCCTTCAAGAGGAAAGCGTCTTGTGCAACGCCGGTGATTCTAGAGCGGATCTCTTGTCGAGGAATCGTGCTGAGATCAACGCCGTCGACAGTGATGGTACCACCGCTGAGCTCAATCATTCGGAAAATGCTCAGGACCATTGAACTCTTTCCACTATTGGGGCGGTCAGCATTGCTACTTCAGACAAGGCAATTAAAAGAAAATAGTCAAGGGATGTAAGATCCCTGGATATTTTCCTTACCTTCCAGTTCTGCCACAAATTCCGATTTTCTCGCCCGGGTTAATTTTCAGGGATACGTTCCTAAGAACAGGTTCACCAGGCCTATAATGCGCCAAATTAATAATTATATCCTTGCGTTCCATGAATAAGGCGTAGCCTACCTATATTCAGCAGAGACATTCTGAAATTCGATGCCACCCTCTCCCGGCCAGTTGGTTGGAGGCATATTGTTCTCAGTAACCTTGTCTTCACCCACCATGGTTTCATTGAAAACTTTGATACGCGCAATCGCACCGATGTGAGTTTCAAGGGTTGTCCAGAACGTAATCAACAGCTTGATGCTCTGGCTAAATTGGACGACGTTCAGCAACGCAACACCAGCGTACCCACCGCCGATCGTACCACGCAGCTTGACGACAAGGATGATTAGAATAGTAGCAATGCCGGCCACAACCAAATCCAACACCAGTGTTAACCAACGCTGCGCGGAGAAGAGTAGGTAGAATGGCTTCTGAGACCGGTCGAGGAGTCGACGGTTCTTCTCCTCAAGGAACTTTTGCCATCCGAAAGCTCGAATTGTTGCTAGACCGTTCAGGCACTCAGAGAACTGGGAGTATAACGGAGCCTTGGCCTCGAGATCCATAAATCGAAGCTGTCGAGAGGTCCTAAGATAGTACCTTTGGATGAAGTACAAAGCTACAAGGACGACTGGGAAAGATATTGCACCATAAACAGAGGCCACACCAATAATGATCATCTGGGCGATACAGAGAACAAATACTAGAAAGACAGATGTCAGCAATACACTGAAATATACATAGATTGGAAGGATTGCTTACCTGCAAATGTGTTAAGTGCAGCAACAGGCAATTCCATATCAATGAGTTGTAAATCTTGACTGAAACGATTGATGGTCACGCCTGTATCCGTTGTGGAAAAAAACGACATTGGTGCGCTACAACCCAATTGTCAGTTTGTTTCTCTCGGGGCAATCTGGGGGAACCGGTTACCTTAAAACAGTCTTTAACAGTGTCAGATGGAAAGCTTCACCAGACTTTGGCACCATGGTGATAATCATTTGCCTGTTGTTCATTTGTCAGTATATCTGTAGAATCCTTCAAGGTTTTTAAAATACAAACTAACCAGCAGCTAGCAATAAGGCAGATAATTGCCAAAAAGCCAAGCATGACATAGATGCCTAAGTAGTAGCCGAGTCTCTGGTATGGGTTTTCAATATTTGCACTTGCCCACTCCTTGAGCCAAATGGCTGTGAATAGATCATGTTAGCAAAATATATGGTAAAGTGTTGAGCAAACCGAAGGCGACTTACTCGGGTAGGCAATGCAGAACACAAAGCCGCAGACAAAGACAACGAACATGAGAGCGGCGAACCAGCCAACGGATCCGACATAGTAGAGGTAGATGCCTACGTCTCCAGTTCTCCTGTTGGCTTCAGCCTCCAGGGCCTCGTTGCTGCGAAGGTTGTCGGGCTCATCCTCCTGAACGATCGATGTAACGCCACGGTGGGCATCCGGGTCGGCCTTGTACGTCCAGTCTGGAGGAGGAAGCGAGAAGCTAGACACATATCCGGCAGCGGAGTTCAAGGTTTGGAAGCTACCTTGCTCACAGATCTTGCCTTCAGCGTCAAGAGCGATGATGTAGTCGGAGTACGGGAGTCGCTTAGCTATCTCGGAGTTAAGACACGCTTTCTTCTACGTACCAAATGATGGATATACTTACGGGAAGAGGAGACGAGGATGATGGTGGAGTGGATTCTCCGCAGCAAACCGTTCTGTCCTAACAGATTGTGGAAAATATGGTTTTCGGTGGATGCATCAATACCGCTCAGGACATCGTCCAAGATGATAACATCCTTTTGGGCATAGACAGCCCGGGCGAGGGACTGTTCATGGGCTGTTAGTGGCATGTCGGCGATCGGTACTGATACGGATACTTACAATACGTTGACTCTGGCCTCCACTGAGAGCGATTCCCTTGCTTCCAACAATGGTCCGATCGCCTCGAGGAAGTTGTTGTAGATCTTCCTCTAGCGAGCATGCGCGAAGGACGGTTGTATACCACTGCTCATCGAAACCCGACACGGCAGTAATGCTGTCTCGGATAGATTCGTTCATATGCCAGGCGGTCTGGTCGCAGTATGCCATGTTGAGAGTCGCCACATCGACGCGTCCCCCCATGCACGGTACTTCGCCGAGAATAGCCTTTAGGAGAGTCGACTTCCCACATCCGACAGGGCCAACAATCATAGTGAGTTTTTCCCTGGGGATCGACAAGCTGATTTCCCGAAGAAGCGGTTGTTTATCCGGATCCCAGCCAAAAGAGCCATCCTGGATCGTGACGACGTCTCCATCAGCAAGCGGCTGCGGTGCATCCTTGAATGGGAAAGACAATTTCGCAACACTGAGGGCGCTTGATACACGTGTCTTCTCTGTTGTCATGCTGTTGTGCTCGGTGGCCGGGAAACTCTGCGAGCTGTCCATGATGTCATCGGGGATGTCCATGGGCTTATGCCGGGGATCAACACGTGAGGGCTTGTCCAGGAACTGTTGAATTCTAGAGAAGCAGCCCACGGAGCCCAGGAACGTGACTAGGGCCAAAATGAGCGACTGTAACGGTTCGGATAGCAACGCAAACAGTGACAGGGACGTGAAAACTCTGGCGAAATCGAGAATTGAGTTATCGCCGTTCTTCTTTGCCAAAATCGAGAAGACGGTGAAGGTAAGAATAGGGCTGAAGACCTGGGAAACGTAGGCTATCGTTATTGGTCAGTAAACGACAGGGTAACGAAGCAGCGGGAAGCCACATGGGATGTAGCGTACCAAATCCCATATTCCAGATCAACAGTTTACGGAATTTTTTGGAGATGGTCAGCTCCTCAATTCGAAGATTGTGCAAATTCGTCAACAGGGTCTGCTTAAGACCACACATCTTAACACCCTTCATAGAGCCAAGCATCACGGTTGTTGCCGAAATACGGCGCTCGATAGCCTCGAGCCAAAGCGCCTGGTGGGCAGTCACAAAGTTCATTGCGATGATTGATAAGACCAGCGACAAAATCGAGACGGCTATTGGCACGGCACAAGCCACACCAAGCTGTAGGTAGAGAAGGAAAATGGCAATGCCGACCTCAATAATATTGGCCCACATTTCGTGCATTGTTTGCCAACCCTGCACGATGCGCTCAATATCGGCACTCATTAAAGTTAGTGAGGAGGCGGGGTCGACGTCCTTGATGCTTAGGTCGGTTGCCTTCCTGTAGAGCATCCCAATGAGGCCACCTCGAGCCATAGTAATCGCGCGATATGTCAAATGCTGGTATTGACCCATGGATACCTGAAGAGAAGAAAATAAGACAAACATGAATCAGTAAAACATTCACCCGGCAGAGACATGTACGGAGTGGAAAGGGGGCCGTACCGCTATTCCGATATAAACCAGGATGTATGCACCGATCAGGGAGTTTCCGATGCCCTCGCTGTTTCGTGATTCGGGTTGCGAGGCAAACTTGATTGCTCGGTTGATCAAGAATGGTTGTGCAAATGTGAATCCAATGAGACACAGGCGCGGGAATATAATGGACATTAGTCGCCATTTCAACACTTTTATTGTAACCCACAAGAGCGAGTTCGGACCCTTGCTCTTGACTAGAAAAGGCGGATCTCAAATTAGTAAAGGCACCTCTAAGAGTAGAATGGAAGGTTGGCAGTACCTTTGCTCCATGCTGCTTCCATGCGTTGGTGCACGCGCTCCGAAACAAGATGCTTGTCGAGGTTGAAAAGGTTTTCGATGGAGAGGAGATTCGAATACCCGAACCAAAAGAGTGGATTGACCCACCAGAAGAAGGATCGATTGATTACCCCACTTGTTGCCTCAGGTGGATACGCCTGGTACTCGGGTTTCAAAATACCGCGCTTCGGGGCCGCTTCAAGCACCAAGATGATAACCTTGAGAGCAACCGTCACCGTAAAAGTGAGAGCAATCAGATAACCGTAGTCGCTCGTTCGGCGTAGCCATAATGTCCTACACCGCGCAGCGTCGAAAGGAAGGGTGATAAGGAAATATACACTGAGTAAGAACGAGGGCTTGACAGTGCGGATATGCTCGAAGTATGACAGCAAGCAGAAGGTGAGAGCGCTTCCAAGTGTGAGAGCATTGGTAACAAGAGAAGTTCGAGTCCGCTCGACGGATGGGCGAGTCCAGAGGACCAACAGGATCAAGTGAAGAACTGCGAAAGCGGCTAGGGCGGTCTGTTACAGCAGCCAAAAGTTAGCATATGCCATGTCTTCGCTCGAAGAGCGAGGAGCAGCGGGAGCGACGGTTGCCGTGAAGAACATACAAGCTTGAGATGTACTAATGGGCCATCGTTGACTTTCTTCTGCTTCTTGAACAGGTAGTGGACACGAAACGGAATAACAAGCAGCAGCAAGCCGACGGGAATGATGGTGAGGAAGGTCTCCTCGAACAAAAGAGTGAAGTCGAAACCCCCCCGACAGTGTAACGCATACGGGCCGAAGGTGTCGTCAATCCTCCCACACGTCGACAGATTGTGGGAAGCCATGTTGTCTCGTTGAAAGTACAACACAGGGCGAGACAGCAGGCTTGAAAGGACAGCGGACAGAGGAGAACAAGAAGATTCTCACTCAGTGAGAGGAGAGAGCGAACACAAAGAGAGTCCTTTTGTGTATCAGTGGCCTCCCAGCGGATTAAAACATGTCATCACGGATCCACGAGGGTGATGCTTGACAGAAAGCCGATCATCGAGGCTTTTTCTACTCCTGATCCGTGGATGGCCGTTCCCTCTCTCTCAAGCTCAATTTCTGAACCCAAAAAAAAGATAAAAAGAGAAAAGCGACACCAAGGGAGAGCAGCCGAACCGGGAAGCAGCTTAGCTTCGGACGAATATAGTCACTCTAGTTATGTCTTGGGAAGCCTCCGCGTGTCAGGTCAGGTCCCCGGTCCAGCGTGACAGGGAAGGATGAAGAGGAAAGTGGTAATACGGACGATGGAATATCTTGCATCCTGGTATATTAAAATAGAATCTCTAGGTATAGACCAGCTTTCCATGATGTTACCATTTCTCGGAACCTCGCACGCACCGAGCCAATGGAGCGGAAGCTCAGTCCACCAATTGACGGGAAAGTAAAGTAGCGTCCCTGTACCGTATGCCTCAGGTAGTATTCTGGCGGGCGCTGGCTGGAGTTGATGAGCAGGGCAATGGCTGGCGGTGGATAGCCAGGCAGCTTCTGGCTGAAAACCCAAAACCTCAACCAGAGCCTGGGAAAGGTTCGACCCAGCCACCGCCCTTCGCTTTCTCAATTGCATGAGGAAAGTCATAGCCTCATCAAAAATATGCTTTATTTATGTAATTTTTTCCTTTTTTTTTTTTTTTTTTCTTTTTTCCTTGTTAAAATTATGGCGTCGATCGAGAAGAACTCTTTTCTGCAGCCTCAGCCGACGTGTTGATATCTTGTCGTTGTGGTTTGTTGTCGAGGCCAAGCTTTGTAGTGTGGGCAATCCCGGCATAAGATTTGCGTCCACTGCGAGTTTAAGCCTCGCTGGCCAGACCCGCTAAACGTGGAGCTGCTCGGTACCTTTGTTACCGCCACGTGACCAAAGTTACATACGAGGTACGGTAGTTACGTGAAAAAAAACGCCAACTTCGCACGAAGCTTCGACGGCGATGAAACCCAAGCAAGACCTTTCCATCTCATTTCCCGCCAAATGTTTCGGGCGACAGTATCCCGCCGCAGCCTGTGGTCGTTGATCCAAGCCTGGTCACGTTTTCTGCTCGTCCTGATTTCGGATTCTTAAGGATGTGTATGGCAGCATTTATTAATGTAATAGATGTACTCCGTATAGTACCTTGGAAGTCTGTCCATGCTCCCGTATATGTATGTTGTACATACCCATGAAACTATATGTGGCGCGACGGAGCACACCGTATGGGGCGGTTGACTCGTAGCCGAAGGGCGATCAGGGAGGGAACTCGTGCCCAGACATTCATCAATGATGCGATAACTTCGTTTTTCCTTTTTCTTTTTTTTCTCTCTTTTCTTTTTCTCTCTTTTTCTTTTTTTTTTTTTTTTTTTGAGTGTTTTTCCCCAAACCCTTCATCGTACTCGCTACGGTTATGCTGCCTGCATGGCTTGATACGGAGGAAATTGAGACCATGGTAGCGAGCTCGCCTGCTACCGTGCATGGCACTCAGTTCGCCGCCGCCCAGTCGCGCCGGTTGCGTTCGTATTGCACTATTATTGAATCTTGCTCCCTTCCCGGCACGCAATGCTCAAGTTTACTCCGTGTATGTACGGAATACGTATCCCGTGCTGTACATGTACTTTTGCGTGGGCGATTTTGACTCGCGAAGCCCTCAAAGTTACCCCGGATCGCCAACGAGTCCCCACCACGAAATTTTTTGTGGTTCTGGTTCGCCATGCCCTTGGCAGGGAACATGCTGGCACTCCAGATGAGTTCCGAATACCAGGGAATCACGTCCACCGTCGGAGCTTATTCCCGCACAAAAAGAACAAGAGAAATTTCCATTTCGACCTGTGGAACCTTGATGGTCACGGTCAAGAAGGTTAATGGAGATGCGATGGAGAATAGCGAGACACAAATGAACTGAAAGTTAATGTCATCAGGCACACCCAGATGCCTCCACCACCTCCGGATCACATCATTCGCCGATATCAAACCTTGTGAGCTGTTCAGCAGTCGCAAGAAGGAATTCATAGTCGAACTAAGGCACACTGACCTGATCAGCAGCTACGAGTGCAAAGATCCAACAGCAGTCACCTCCCACATACAGCTAGTTTAATTTTTGGTTGGGGGGGGGGGGGGGGGGGGCTGTGTGATGTTCAAACTTGGTCAGTGATTGTTGGAGGGACAAATCAACATTGCTTTTTCTTGTCGTAATCTGGGAAAATAGTAGTGTACACGCATCCTCTGTACCTCCCCAGGTACTCAGTACAGTACAAATGTAAATACTTTAACAGCGGCGCGCCTCTCCAGCACTAGGCATTCTTTCACCCGCCTTGGCCGGTCGACAAAGATTCTGCTCTTGAATTATGATTCCATCCACGGGCTCTGCCACTCGAAACTGCCGTCGTCCAGCCCCAATCCAGGAAGTAGTGATCGTCAACCCAATGAGCGCAAGCCATCGCCGCTGCGTTCCCTGAATTCGAGAATTTTAACTCGAGAGCTACCGCTACCATCTCATGGGGCCACACAAAGGAAATCCAGGTTCTGGATTCTAGAATACATTAAACAAAATATCCTTAGTCATTGATCTCGTGTGCATGTTGTGGCGTGAGGAGTTTTCGTGATGTTCTTGATATAGTAACATAGTCGGGGTTAATATCCCCTTTTCCATTTCGTAAACACCGTGGGACTCTGTTTCTGGGTTTCCTCTCGAGCTCCGATTAGACGCACTTGGATTCGAGAACGGTGGGCAACAAAATAAATACTCCGTTCGGATTCGATCCGGTAAAAATAGTACCTGTCAAGTGGTCGCCGCTGGCTGGTCGTCGCGAGTTACCGGATTTTCCTCCCTTTGGTGAGTTCGACCTACTGGCTCGAACCGTCAAAGATGTCATCCATCAAGAATCCGTTTTGCTCCATCCGGAGTACGGAGTAACCCACAGAGACATCGAGCGGATAGCCTTTTAGGGTTGCACGTCGAAAAACATTGTCTGGCCAGTGTGTTGTCGGCAGCTGATGGGCTGGAGCTTAGCTACTGGAGACCCACGTGACGAGCGCGCGCGTTCATCGTCGTTAGATTGGGCAGTTCGACGACGCTGAGCTCCAGTCCATACCGATCTCCCTGGAGGTACTCCGCATGCTGGTGCGCATTGTGTCTTGTTATGGCCTTGGAGCCCGGAGTACGAGATACCAAGCCTCGAAGCCATGTAACGGTCAGTCCGTACATAATTACATTATGTACGGAGAAATATGCTCTATTTCTCGCCACAGGTTTCTGTTATCTGAGTTCAATACGGCACCCACCGTGCTATATTTGGCATCTCCGGTCGTGGGAAACCGGGGCATTTTGATAAGCCTGTGAACATCCCGGGACGGGAGACGGCATAGACTAATGTAGGTATGTCCACACATAATGTCCTAAAGTTTCCGGTGCTGAAATGAGAATCGGGCGTGCATGAAGTGTGGCGAATGCCCTGTCGAATTTCAAGTCCATTGTACTCCGTACAGAGCAGTCGCTCAGTGGGCTGAATTCTCGTGTCCAGTGGAGGAGCACGTCACAGTGCAGGCGGTAGGCGAGATTGCAACTGGCCTGGGTGGGCCTCCGTACCCTGTCCTCTGTAGGTATGTAGGCATATTGTATACGGAAGATACGGAGGAAACGCAGCAGCTTCTCGACTGTCAGTTTGTCGGCGGCGATGATACGGCGTCTCGGTTGGAGCACAGGCCAAAGCGGCTGGTTGGTGGGACCTGCCAAGACTATTCTTGACACGTTCGGGTACGGAGGAGGGCATTATGTAATCCAGCCCGTTCTTCCACCCCGGCGGTGGCTGCAGGTCAACCTCAACCCAACCCCAGCGATGGGGAAAATGTCCGCCGTCCAGCAGCCAGGAAACAGGGAACATCCTCCCCATGGCACACCGTTTGCTTGTCTCAGACACTGCTGTTTCTCTCCTTTGGAATCCTGGTTGCTTGTTTTAAGACATCGGATGGTGATTGGACACTCTCTGGTCAAAGTTTCTTCATTTGCAGGTTGAGTGGAGCGGATGCCGGGAATCAAAGGTGCAGGTTCGGAAAAGAGCAATGTTGAACCAGCCCAGTACGAGGTCGACGGCTGTAGATCAGATCCGGTACGGGATACCACCTTGGTACCTGACTGATACTATGGACCGGCAGACTACCGCTCCGGCCAACCCATGCTGAGAGCATTGACGGCGTTGTGTCGGTATGGAATGCATTTTCACTTTTCCAGGCGATACGAGTCTTGTTTCTATCATCAACGATCATCCCTGCTGGCTACTGGAGCCTGAGAGTGGCCATTTCCCCAGAACTTTTCCAAATTTAGGACAAGGGATCTAGAAAGCAAGCCAGCATTCCAGAATGCGATCAGACTCCTCATTGCGGAACTAGAAACAGAAGAAACGAACAGGTTTTCTTTTTCTCCTTTTTTTTTTTTTTTGTCTCTCACTTTTGCAGTCGCATTTTGGGATTGCAGTCTTTCCCTGCATGTCGTTGCGATCTCAAGTATCCTGGCGATCACTGTCGTTCGAACGGTCACAAACCAAAAAGCGATCAAACGACCAGCGTGAGGTTGGACACTTAACCACGGGTTTCCGCGTATCACCTCTCACCGCCGTGCAAGCTGAACGCTTATTCAATCCCTGCTCTGGGAACTCAGGCGCTATCGGTCTTTCGGCCTGTACGTATGCGCATACCTACAATCCCCTTCTCCTCAAGAACCGCATCGCGAACATCTCGTCCCCTCAAACCCACAGAAAGCCGCCAACTGTTCGATTATCCGAGCAAAAGCGAGACATGGAAGCCCTCCTGACACTCGTCGCATGCTAATCTTTCCTAGGACTCGACATTTGTCAAAGGATAACTTTAGCACAACTGCTCAATCTCCTTCCCGTCTTTCGCGTATTGAATCCCCCACAGCTCCTCTCCTTTTCACATTCTTGGATAGATTCCGTTTAGCTGTGTGTTTAGACGTGATATATAAGCACTGGGTTACCAATTAATCCCCTGTGTAACAGCTTAATGTGAGTTTTTCCACCGAGTTGTGTCGGGCACTTTACTGAGCTTGATATCAGAGATAATCAACGAACTCCTCGCTATTAACGGATA